ATTTTAATAGAAATTTTTTTGAATTTCATTTTGAAAAATTTGTATTTAAGAATTATTGTAGCACGTGGCGATTGTATGAAGATACTTTTTTTATATAATGATGAGAAAAGATTTTACACGTGCGTTGAGTTTGTATTTTTTTTAGATTCGCAATTTCTCTCTTTTTTTTAATTTTTTTCTTTTTGGAATTACTTCAAATAAATCAAATTCATAACGAATTAGTTATATAATTTTTCTTGGCATCAATTGCATATTATATCGTTTCTGTGATATTAAATTAAAATTCAGATTGTATATGTAAATTGACTTCAATCCAGAATATTATACTTGCATAATAGTTTTTCGTGAATGTTCGTACTTTTTCTTCTTCTTCTCGTTTTTTTTACATTTATAGAGCAAATTTAAATTTAAAAAATTTTCTAATTAGAAAATAAAAATTTATTGAGGAAATTTTAATTTCTTTTTAATTTCGATTTTTCTGGTTGTAATGAGTCAGAATTTTTATTAGAATATTAAAGCGTCATTTTACCCATCTCAAGTGGCGGTAATTAATTTTTTTTTTTTTTTTTTAATATAAAAAGAACACGAGGACATTCGTTTACTAATTGTTTGGTAAATGAAATGAGCTGACAGCATATTTCTCTATAGTTAATACAATGCCTATTCAGGAATTACACAGAGAAGTCATTAAGAATGTCAAATAACCTCGAATCGAATAAAAGTGATACGCGACAGAGAAGAAACTTCTTCTTTGAAAAACTCGCGCGCGGGAATATCAAATGTCGTCTTTTGCTTTTTCTTTGCACGTAGCAAGCATTAACTTATGTCGTATTGAGTAGAAGGAAACTTGATGCCCACTTCACCTCTCTAACACTTTAAGAGCACTACGTGTATATAAAATTACCTACTTTTATGGAAATGGCAATTTTAACGAATTCATTTTTTTTTTGTATTCATTCCAATTTCCTTTATCTTTCAACTTGTAAAACCAGTTTTGTATTTAGATTTGAGATTTAATTTTTATTTTCAAGTTTAATATCCTTCTAATTATTCTTGTATTTTTATTTATTGGAAAAAATCATCATTGTTAATAGATAAATTTTTATTAAATGATTTTTAATTAATTTTTACTGTAAATTAAATTTTAAGTATTTTTTTTTTTGTTATATTTTGCAATTTCTACTTTGTTATTTTTATTATTTTAAAAATACTTTTCAAGTTGTAGAATAAACGTCAAGGAAATTGAATTCAGAATATTGTGACCTTCTTAAGGTTTCGGGACTCGAGTTTACTTTTCTTATTTAAATAAAAATGGCAGAAATTAACATAGAATCCCAACGCCTTGAACTGACTACAATTTTGTTTTCTTTTCTTCAGGACCTTTTATATATAATTTTTAATTTTAATTAATTGTTCGATATTAAAAAAAAATTAAGTTTTTAAATTCGATTTACTCTTTTAAGTAAATAATTATTGTAATTCATTTTATTACTTTTAATTAAAATTTTTAAATTTCCCGTTTTCACATAACAATCCACAGAATGTTTTTCTATTTTTCGCGCATGCAATCAATTCGAAAACATTGAAGTAAATCACTATAAATAATTTATTCAAGTTACATAAATTTTATTTTTTATTTACAATTAATGTTTCTTAATCAGGGAGGGGGGAAAAAAAAGACATTTTATTAATAGTCAATTATGAATTGACGCCAAATGAAGTTAAGAAACTCACGAGACTTGTGTTTTTAATTTCGAAATCATATTTACGCGAAACAATCGAAAAATTTGAATTAAACAAATCTTGAAAATTATAATTGCAAAAAAGATTGATTCAATTTTTTCTTTTTAATTAAAAAAAAACTTAATAATTCAGTCGCATTTTTTTTTTTTTTTATTTAATGACTTTATTTTTGTTATCTTTTATTTTAATTGTATTTCTTTTTTTCTTCTCTCTCTCTGCAAAGATTGATTCTTGTTAAAGCACGAATTTTGATTATGTAATCGCATAACAAAAAAGTGGAAGTCAAATAAATTATTTTTTTTTTGAAAGGTTCATATTTAGCAGAAAATTCTTTTTGTGACATAAATTCGTGTGACGCGAAATAAAATATAATTATAAAAACGCCTGCAGGTTGTCTGCATCTATTTAACATTATGTGCGTAAGCAGTCTTATTGTCGAATTACAAAATAAAGTTTTCATTTAAATTTTAAGTGAAAGCGGAGCGCCCAAACCGTAAATAATTCACTCTCGTTTTTTTGTCATTTAAATTTTTTTTTTTTGCAAACACATCAAGAAAAAAAAAATTTTGCTGGTTCAGAAATCTGAAACATTGTTAATTTTTTTTTATATTTTAACTGGTTAATTATATTTTTATAAAATAATTTTTATAGTAGTAAAATTTTATAAATTTTTTGAAAAAAAAATTCGTAAAAAATTAAGATTTTTATGATAAATATTTAAAAGGGGAAAAAGAAATTTAAATTTATTTTTTTAGACGAATATTTATTCATATTCTTGAATGAAGGATATTTTTTAAATTGGTAATTATTTTTTTTTTTAAATTTATACACACATCTTTATATTCACGCTGATCGAGTGAAATAATTATTATAATCGATTTAGATCATCGCGTACGCGTATCACAACGAGGCGAATGTGAATTGACGGTCGACGGCTAATAACGTATGTATGTACGTTAATTAGTTGGCTACCAATGACGCATTTACATCGGGGGAACAATCGCGCGCCGTCTCTTTATACAAACTCGTATAAACGTTCAGAAACACCACCACTTTCGCAACATTCGTTCAGATGATCAAAAGTCAATTCATCCCACTGTCGATTCAGTATTTCCAAGGCATTCTCGGTATTAAAAGCTCCTCCTTGTGCTCGCAAAAACAATTCCCCCCTCCCCCCCAAAAAAAATTACTACAATATTTTTTTTTTTTTTTACTATATCGAATGTGTAAAAGTGAACAATTTTTTATAAAATGGAAAATTCTGGAAAAAAACGATTTTAAAATTTAAAAGCGAGCAAAAATATTCTTTTTAAATATCTCCTATGGAAAATTGTCGTGTCTTTTGAAAAAGTGAAAAGAGGACGGGAGCAAAGTTGCAGTTTCTTTTTTAAGACAGAGATTGAAAAGTGTCGAGAAAGATAAAAAAAAAAATTTAAAAAAAAAAAAAATGAAAACCTCAAAGCGAGGTGGGAATATATTAATATTTTCTACGTAATAGTCGGACAGTCACGAGGAAAATGGCGCCTGTAAATTAAAATTGTCTGGGATTTTAATAAAACAAAGTTTCAGATAAAAAAAAAGATTCAAAAAATGAGAAAATATTTCAAGATTTCAATGAATGGAAAAAATATAAATTCTTCTATAATTTAATTATTATTATCAATTAGAAATGTAAAAATGAGAAATTGAATCAAAAATATAAAAAAACAATGAAAATACACAAACATTAAAGAAATGCCGACTTATATTTCAATAAATTAAAAAAAAAAAAAATACAAGTGACAAGGATAATGAGAGCATTATTAATGTGAGCATTGAGAGTGCGATTTGACGAGACAGCAAAGAGAGAAAAAAAAAATTATGAACTTTTTTTTTTTTTTTTTTTTGCGAGGAACCAGGTGCGGAAACGAAACTCGTCGTGTGAGGTCAAGTGCGATTAAAAAGTAGCACACACGCTTTCCATCCTCGACGACGAGGAGGAGTACAAGAAGAAGGCTCGAGAACGTGGGTGAAGTTCAGTTCATCGATGTCGATTCACTCGGGCACAAGTAATCGAATAAAATTTTATCAATATTGAAAAAAAAAATCAAAAATTATTATTTATTTATTAATAATAATTAATTCAAAGGATTTTAAAATTATTTTTCAATAAAAATAAAAAAAAATGCAGAAAACTTTTGATCATGTGATACCAACGATCGTTTGTACAAGGGTGAATTTCAGCGAAAATGGTTTACACACCGATGAAATTGAATGCGAAAGAAAATCAAAGAACAAAAGAATTGCAAGATCGCGATCGCGAAGAAATTCTCGACGTTTGTCAATTAATTTGGCGCGATCGTCATCGTCATCGAGAAGTCCATCGCCATTGTCACCGAAATTTCGATCGTCTCAGGAAGATTTGAAACGTTCGACTAACAATGACGTACAACAGGAAACGGAAGTGAACGTTCCATTTAGTCCCGGTTATCGTGAATATCTACAACTATTGAATGTACCATCATCCGGGTATTCGCAAAATTTAGAATGGAGCGAAAACAGTAACGATGATCTCAGCTCTGAATGGGATTCTGATCAATCTGCAAGATCGTTGGATATTCGAAGCGTTGATGATAATATAAACTCGAAGGTAAATTCAGTGGGATACGTATTTTTCAAAAAATTGGAAATTTTTTTTTTTTAATTTTTGTGAAAAAAATTCAAATAAAATATTAAATTTAAATATTTAAACATTTAAATCGTACCCGTTTAATGTTATCATATTATTTAAAAATAGAATTTACAACCAATTTAGTGTATGAACGAACAACTTCGTTTTGCAATGATAAGAATGGAAAGAAAAAAATTATATACAGTACAGCGAATGACTGTATAACTTTAGTTTTATTTGCTTTTTATCAAGGTCCAAGTTCAAGTCTAATTCAAAGGTAAAGGAACGAATAATTATGTCACAATTCCATTATCTATATTGAACTTTGACGATTATTATTACACTTGTCATTATCACAATATACGCTTAACAAAAAAATTTAATATCGAAAGGTTTTTCAACTTCATTTTATGTTTTTAAAAGATTAATTAATTGCAGTGATAATTGAATGAATGGAAAGTTTAAGAAATGATAAAAATTAATTACGTTCATTAATATTATTTATGAAAATATTCTTTTAAAAAATAAACTATAGGTAAAAATAGAAAAATTTCTTTTTTTGGGGAATTATTAAATGTTAAATAATATTTTATTTTTTCTGTTTTAGACATCGGGTTGGAGAAAATTGAGAAACATTGTTCATTGGACGCCATTCTTTCAGACTTACAGGAAACAAAAATATCCTTGGGTAAATTATTTTAATATTTGTTTTTTTTTTTTTTTTAATTGAGAAAATATTTTTTTAACTCCTCCTTAATTTTTTTTTACCGATCTTTAGACAATTATAATAATAATTAATTTAATTTATTTTTTTAAATTTTAATTTGAACTTGATAATTTAATTCCTCATATAATGAATTAAATGTTTAATGTAAGAAAATAATTTGAATTTCATAAAATTATTTATTGAAACAGGTGCAATTGACTGGTCACCAAGGAAATTTCAAAGCTGGACCAACTCCAGGAACTATTTTAAAGAAACTGTGTCCACAAGAGGAGGCGTGCTTTCGTTTATTAATGCACGATATATTGAGACCTTATGTACCTGAATTTAAAGGAGTCATGGATGTTCGAGAGGCGGAAGAAAGAAGTCAACAAGAAGTTGATTCAATGGTGACGAGGGAAGGTGAAAGTGAAGCAGATAAAAGAACAGTTATCTCTTCGTACCTTCAGCTTCAAGATCTTTTGGGCGATTTTGAGGAACCATGCGTTATGGATTGCAAAGTTGGCGTTCGAACCTATTTGGAATCTGAACTCGCAAAAGCCAAAGAACGACCCAAGGTAAGAGATTACAAAAAAAAAAAAATGGAAATTTTATATAATTTTGAATTCTGTTTTTTAAAAATTATTTTGCGATTTTTTGAATTCTAAAAAAACGAGTTGATAATAAAATAATTGGATGTTTCACAGTTGCGAAAGGACATGTACGAGAAAATGGTACAAGTTGATCCAATGGCACCGAGTGCCGAAGAACGAAGACTTCAAGGCGTTACAAAGCCTCGATATATGGTTTGGCGAGAAACAATTTCGAGTACCGCGACTCTTGGTTTTCGAGTCGAAGGAATCAAATTAGCTCGCGGCGGTTCGACGAAAGACTTTAAAACGACACGAACTCGAGAACAGGCAAGTATCTTTTTTTTAAATACTCGATTTTTAACTTGTTTAAATTTTAAAAATTGTTATAATAATTATCAACATTTATTAAAATAGTAAATTAATTAATTAATTAAATTTTTCAGGTAACCGAAACGATAAAACGATTTGTGAACGGTTATCCGCACGCAGTTCAAAAGTATCTTCAACGATTGAAAGCAATTCGCGCGACACTAAAGGCATCGCCATTTTTTGCCTCACACGAAGTTGTGGGCTCGAGTCTTTTATTTGTTCATGACTCGCGAAATGCTGGAATTTGGATGATTGATTTTGCAAAAACATTGCCGTTGCCACAAAATTTATTAAGAATTCATCACGATGCAGAATGGCAAGTTGGAAATCATGAGGACGGTTATTTAATTGGAATTAATAATTTAATAAATATTTTTGAAGATATCAAGAATTCTGAGACGTAAGAAAAATTAATTTTTTTTTCTCGAAAGAAACTTTAAACACTTTCCACTGCCAAGTTTTTTTTAAAAAAAATAAAAACCAGTGGACCAATTATGTACTCTAGTGAAAAAAAAAATGAAAAATCGTGTAAATAATTCAATCAGAAAAACGAGGACTTTTAAAGTGAGTGATACACATTGTGTTCAGACTTCATGACGAATAGATCAAAATTTACATTTTTTACATTAAAGGAATTTAATATTCCCTAAAAGAAAAAGAAAAACTCGTTTGAAAAACGAGCAAAAAACATTCATTTACAATTAAAGTTATTTCTTCGATTTATTGGAATTTTACAATAAATACGAGAATTAAAATAATTAGTACGAAAACCAGACCAAAGACGCGGTGGCATTTTTTTTTTGGTGTCGCCTAGAAACCTGAAAATTTTGTACATTTAGTTAAAAAAAAAAAAAGAAAAAAATGAAAAAAAAGAAGAGCGTTAGACTGTAATATTAATAGTTAATTTAATTTAAAGTTCGACGTATACATAAGTTTTTAATTTATATTGCAAATAACTTTATATGAAATCAGTTTTTTGATACAGAATCTTCCGTATTTTGTAATCACAAACTGTAAAATCATTTTGTAAATTACATCATCTCACACACACACACACTTTGTATTCATTTTTTGATCACAATCGCGTAATAAAAAAAAACAACATATTTTAATTACCGACTCTTGATCTTTCTTACAAATACACTACCTTCTGTTTCCTCTACTATTTAATTTAATTGTACAAATTAAAAAAAAAAAAAAAAAATTAAAACATAAACGCAATCTCACAACTTGCGTTCACGACAGAAAAAAAGCTGTCATTTTTTTGTGAAAGACTATAAACGAGAGAATGACGTCCGATAATCAAACCAGATCGTCAAGAATAATTAAAAGGAAACATTTCGGAAAATTGATATTTGACGAAATTTTTCTCTCCATTTGAGAGAAAAATAGTCGATATTTTTTTTTTCGATAAGAAATTTTCTCTCAAGTGTGAGAAAAAAATTGCAATTTCTCATATAGGAGAAAAATATATTCTCCCAAGAGAAAAATATATATGTATATATATAAATATATCCTTTCACAATGAAAGAATGCAAATTTTTGTACTAATTTATTTTTTTTATTTTCTTTTAAATAATCTAAATTAATTCAAATGTCCCTTTTCCAAAATTAAGATTCCTTTTATATATTTTTTTTTTAAACTCTTCAAAGTTTATCATAATTTTTCATGTACAACATTAATCGGAATAAATTTTCCGATGGTCAATATAATTAAATAATAGAGAGAGTATGATCACCATATTCACTATTAAAATAAATAATAATAATAATGAAATTAAATTCTCTTATTATTAAATTAAAGAAAAAAAAAAAACCTACTTTTTTAAAACTTCTTCTCACGGTGGATAAGAATTAGTTCTTGGTGGTTGTGTTTGAATAGTTTGCTGTTGATTGCTTGTTGTTTGGGTCGATGATATTGTCGTTGGAGCAATAACTCGTGCATAGACTGCAGCACCTGTTGTCTTAAGACCAGTTGCTGTTGGTATCACTTTTAAACCATGTAAAGTTTTAATATTTAATAACTGACTGGGTAAAATAATTGGTTGTTGCTGTGACGATTGAGCTTGTGGTGATTGTTTTCCAAGAATAACACCAGTTGTACCACCACCAACACCTTTACTTCCACTTGCAAGAACAATTGGTTTACCAGCAAGTTGTGCCGTTACCATACGCACTGTTTGCGCCTGTCCCTGTGTTTGTTGCTGTTGCTGTTGATGATTGCTGACAATTATTTTCGGTGGGACAGACGAGGTCTGAGCTTGTGACACGACCTGACGATGAGAAAAAAATATTCATTATAATTTAAAAAAAAAAATAATAAAAGAAGCTTTTGTTTCGAAAAAAAAATTAAAAAATTTATAAATTGAACACAAATTGAGTCAAAATTTATGAAGTGTGCTAATATTTTTTGAGTAGTTCGGTATTTTTTCAAAAAATTTACGTTTTTCTATTCAATAAATTGTATAAATGAAATTAAAATTAAAAACGCAAAATAATCTTAAACTTTTTTTTAAAGTTTTACACATTTTTTAAATTAATTTCTAAAATAATTTACACACGGAGAAAATCTGAAAGCACTGAGTATTTTTTCTCACATCACTGGCTACTGTGGAAACCAAAAAATTAAATTCCAAAACTCTGAATGTTTTTTGCACAGCACTCAATACTCTGCAGAAAATAATCACTATTTTTTTGACAGTTATTAGAATTTCGGTTTATATTAATGGACAACAGAGTTTTCAAAGCTAGGAATATAGCAATAAATTATTCGCTCGAAGTCGTGACTGCTTTCCTCACAGCTCTGAGTACTGTGTAGAATTATTTTTTAGGATTAAAAAAATAAAAGAACATTTAACCTTTAATAAAAAATAAATAACAATTTTAAACAAGCGTTCAAGACTATTTTAATCAATTTTAGATGTTTTCTTATATTTTTATGAAAAACAGATTATTTGACTAAAATTATTTATATTTAATTAAATAAGAAGTAATAAACTTTAATAATATTAAACAAATTACTTTTTATTAATAAACGTAAGAAATAATAATTTTTATTACTTCACGAGATAAATATTTAAATTAATAATGTTGAAACTTAATATTTTTTAATCATAATTATCTATAAATTTAGATTAGGTTGTAATTTGATATTAGCTAAGAAATTTTAAAATCTTAAAACTTGTGAAATACAAATAAATATTTTAAATTTACCTATAATAATTGATTTTAAAAATAATTATTTATTATTTCATTATTGTATAATAACTTTATTTGCTACATAACTGAAAAATTAAAAAAAAGCGATAGTTTTCAAAAAGACTTTTTGAAGTCTTCATTTTTTTATATCTATTATTCATTAATAACTGTTTATATAAACATGTCAATTAAAATCAATATTTGAAAAGAAAAATAACCATGGCTATCTTCTTTTAAATTGACGTTAAACGTTCCTTTGTTTTCTAAATTCTTAAAAATAATTCTGCACAGTACTCAGAGCTGTGAGAACAGCAGTCACGACTTCGAGCAAAGAATTTATTGCTACATTTGTAGTTCTAAATAATCTGTTGTCAACTAATATGAAACGAAACTCTCTTTACTGTCAAAAAAAGTTGTGATTATTTTCTGCAGATCATTCAGTGCTGTGTGGAGAACATATTCAGAGTTTTGAAATTTAATTTTTTGGTTTACACAGTAGCCAGTGATGTGAGAAAAAATACTCATTGCTTTCAGATTTTCTCCGTGCACTATTAATTCATTAACAATAAAAATTAATTACTTGAAAAATTTAATTATAGAACAATTTCAATTGATTAAAATTCAATTATTTGGTAATTTGATCATTACTAATTTTATTATTTGTTAAAATTCAATCATATTATAATTTAGAATATATAAAATTATTTTCTATTATTTACTTAACAATTGAATTTTTTAAGACGATCAATAAAAATACATAAATGAATTTACAAAAATAATTTAAATAACAATTGATAAACTTGTTAAAAATAGGGTAAATGCACTAATTGCGGCGAGATTCGAGTCAAAACACCTTTGAAATAGAAAATTCGACATTTCTATTGTATAAACTCAATTTAAGACTTATTAAACTTAAAGCTTATGTTATTAACATATTAAAAAAAAATTTTAACTCTATAAAAATCGATTATTTAAACAAATATGAGAAATTAAAACTAATACCGTAATTTTCTATTGCGGCGAGTTTGTATCAATTTCGGTGTATCAATTTCGGTGACCAAAATTACGTGTATTTTGAAGATACTTTGCCCGCCGAAATTGAAGCCAATGGAAATCTTAAAAATGTTTCAATTGCGGCGCGGAAAAAAATTTGATCTCAAATAATTAAATTAATAATTCTTTAAATGTGCATCTTTATAAGTATTTGTATCAAAAAAAGATTGAAATAATTTTTTTTAATCATTTGGCAACAGTTATATTAAATATAATAGTAATAATAGTTATTTTTTATGAACGCGCCGTAATTGGTGCACTCGCCGTAATTAGTACACTTACCCTAGTACGTTTTTAAATTGCAATTATATTCTATTTATGATCCTCTAATTTCTGTTAAAAATAAATTTTCTTTATTATTTGTTCAAAATAAAATGTAAAGAAAATTATATCCACTTCTACAAATTGTTTATTGCAACATTTAATAAAAACTTTTAATGTTTAATTAAAATTTAATTTAATTTTTAATTTTCTCAATATATCAAAAACCGATTTGAAAAAATATGTCAATAAAAAAACTGCAAAATCAATTAGAAGTAAATTTGGCTAAAAAAATTGATAAAATGAAAAAATTTATTAAATGCAAATTTCTATGAATAAAAATTCTATCAAACAACTATTTGGTTAAATGAAAATTAAATCAAGGGCAAATTTAATGATCATTAATTTAACGGAATTTGATTAAATATTAAATGAAAAATTTAAATGCAAATTTGTACAAATAAAAATTTTATCAAACAATTTAGTTACACGAAAATTAAATCAAAAGTAAGTGATCATTAAATTTAACAGAATTTAATTAAATGAAAAAAATAAATGAACTAATAATTTTATTAAATGTAAATTTGATTTTAAAATAGTAAAAAAAATATTTGAAGTGAATTTACCTGATATTGAGTTTGGATAACTTGTTTGCCTTGTCGATTAATTTGCGTTGTGTGACCAGTGGGTGTTGCTAATTTCAAGCCCTTTTGGGCAAGAAGACTCTCAACGGAAATTAATTGACCACCACCAGCGCTTGTAAGTACTTTAGCCAATATTTTTTGTTGCTGCTGTTGTTGTTGTTGTGGTGATTGTTGAATTTGCACAGCAATTGGCTTACCACCAATTTGAGTGATAATTCTTTGCACTGGTGAATTTTGAAGTTGTTGTTGATTTGCAGTGACAATTCTCTGCTGTAGTTGCTGCTGCTGTTGCTAATAAAAAACATTTTTTAATTATTTCATTTAGATATAAAAAAAAGTATCATTTTCAATGTTTTATAAAAATTTGAATTACTTCTAATAATACAAAAAAAAGAAAAATAATATTAAAAATCTTACTTTCAATTGTTGTTGTTGCTGTTGTTGTTGAATTTGTTGAGTCTGTCCCGAGGCAAGCGACGATTGTTTAATGAAAATAGTCTGCCCCTGAAGTCCATGGCCAGACAATAGAGATTTAATTTGTCCGGAACTTACCAATTTAATTTGTGATGATAGCAAAGTTTTTCCAACTTGTTGTTGTTGCTGTTGTGATTTTACATTCGTAGTTTGAAGAATGCTCTTTGCTCCTTGATTTGCAATAACCGGTTGTTGTTGTTGATTTTGAATTTTGGTATTTGAAAAAATTGTCGCTATATTTGGTGAAGTGCTACCTGAATTACTTGCCATTGTTGTGGAAACTTGTTGAGCCGAATGAAGTACAGAATGTCCAGAAAGTCGTATTGTCTGTAAACCAGCGGACGTTGATACTTGAATTTGATGCGGTGGAAAGTGTTGTTGTTGTTGCTGCTGTTGCTGTTGTTGATTGGATTGCAAAAGACTTTGTGACGATGTTGTTTTAACTACTGCTACATTTTTCACATTAGAATTGGGTGATACTTTTTTGATCGGTGGCGTTAATTGTGTTCTTGTTTCAATGGGAAGCGAAGTTTCTCGTGGTAAAATTAAACTCGATGTTGTAATTGTCGAAGAAATTGAACTTGTCGTGGGCGTTGTGGGCGAAGGTGTTACAACCGAGACAATTGGAGTTGATGGAATTTGCGGCGGATTTAAGGGAATTGTCGGTGGTTCAATAATTGACGTTGATTGCTCAAGGACAATTTTTTCCTCAGCTTTTCTTGTTTCTTTCCTAATATTTAAATTAAATTTATTTTAAATTTTGTTTTCGTAATGATAATAAAAAAATGGAGTGAAAAATTATTATGACAAACCTGGTAATGACCGGCGCTGATTGAGCTTTCTTCTCTTTCTTCGGTGTAGTTTCTTTTGTTGTGTTACTTGACTGAGTATTTGATTGATCTTTATTTGCAGCGAGTTTTGCATTTGATTGAAGAGATTTATTCCTTGAGGATCCACTGCTACTTTTTTTATTTTTAGGCACGCCTTGGAATTGTTGATGAAACATTTCTGAAGAGAAATACAATTTTCTAAGAATTTCTTTTTAAAAAATTAATAGGCAAATAATTAAATACATACCAAATTCAGATTCAGAACGGGCTCGATGAAGGTAAAGCCATTCTTTTCTTCTGGGATAATATCGAACGCAAGGATCGGCTTCGTAATGAAGTCTATCCAATGCTCCAGAGACAACTGAATGTAAATTACCTTCTTTATCGTGACTACTGTCACTTTCATCAATTTCCCTAATATATTGAGAATCTTTGAGTAATTGACAAATATCGGCTCTTGTTCCCTCACCATTTGGAAGTCTTGCCGTTGCATCTCGTACAAGTGCTAAAATTGTCACGAAATTCGGACGATCCGCAACTAGTAAAGAATGACCTCGTGGTTTTGTTAAACCAGAACCTGTGAATTTTCCCGTAGTTAGAAATAATTTGATATTTTTCTATTTATTGATTTCTTACCGACATTATGTTGATAAATTCCTTTAACTGGACCAACGACAGAAGAATAACCATGCATTCGATATGTGAAAGCTTTATGAGGAGCGGCGTATCTCATTCTTTCCTGCCGGCGGAATTCCTCTCGTTCCTCGAAAGTTGAGGATTTAACTTTCCAATCAGTGGGATATAGAGCACGTGGTGGTTCCCATTCAGCGACAGAACTCACGAGACCAGTATCAGTTCCCACTGATTCAGAAACAGGACTCTCTGGTCTCTGGCTACTTGGTGTTGAACAAATACTATTATTTGCACTAACGGTTGTCTGTTGTATTTGACTTTTCGTCGTATTTACATTTTGAAGCAGCGCCTGCGGAGGTCCTAATTCGTCCCTTAAAAATCAAAATTTTTTTTAAAATAAATTTTTTAATTTTAAAATAATTTTTTGTAATTGTAAAAATTGTGAAAATTCTACCTATGAAGTAAAAATCGAGCGCAAAGAGCCGAAAGTCGCATATCTGAATCTCTTCCAGCGCCAATCCATGCATAAATTCCACGACCTTTATTTTCCAAATAGGGAACGAGTTCTTGTTCGCCATCATTTTGTTCTGAATCTTGAGGATAAGTTAACTCGCCAGCAAGAAAACCTAGAGCCAATGGAACTAAAGACGTCCAAGACGGTGCCAAGGAATACCTGAGAATAATACAAAAATAAAATAGAAATAAAATTATTTTTTGACAAAATTAAAAAAAAAAAATAATTACCAATCATTTAACGGCGATATGGGATTTCCCTGCCAGAGCATCACAGCTTCCTTCATTTCCGCAGTGTTCATTCGATATTCCCCTTTTGAGAGAAAAGCATCGCGTAAAAGTGAAAAGAAACAAGCGTGTGTTTCTTGCATTAATTCAATGTCACCACCATCGGGCAATGATAATTCATCACCACCAGTTACGGAAACTTCCTTTTCTGGCATCATCATCTCCTCGGCTTCACATCTATTAATTTTTTTTTTTTTTCAAAATTTGTATAAAAAAATAATTTTCTTAGAAAATAAAAATAGTAAAGAAAATTGTGGTGAAAAAAGAAACATACTTGACTTCATTGAGAATATCGATACCGTCATCAAGTTGAATAGGTAATTGCATCATATCAATACTATCTAAATCAATTTCCTTTTTATCAACTTCATCTTCCTCAGCATCGACTCGAATACTCTCAACTGATTGTTCAATTTTTATCCTCTCCTCATATTCATAATCTTCCACTTCACGTTTAACTTCCACCATTGGTATTATTATTGGATGATTTTTATTACTTTTTGGAGTTGGAGGTGCTCTGTGGAAAAAAATTAAAATTTACCAAACAAATAAAAATGAAATCAAACACTATATTAATTACATTTTTTTAGGCTGCGGCCGTGGTTGTTCGTATGTTTCCATTGGTTCCGTTTTGATAATTGGAAAATTTGAATTTTTATGCTCCAAATCGGCAAAATTCGAGTGTTTAATATCATCAGTGGTGTGGGAATAATCATTGTTATCAATCTCATGTTTAATAACAGTTGTATTAATCTTTGGCACCGGTGGCAATGCGGGTGAATCGAGTTTTATTCGTTTTTTCGAACTCGGTAGTCGAATTGGTCCGGTCGCTGTAATTTTATGCTTTTGACCAATTTGAGCCCTTTGCATTAAATCAGGGAGCGAAATACCTTGTGTATTCAACTCCGGATGATTCTAAAATAGAAAAAAAAAATTTATTTATTGCTAAAAAGAAAAAGGCAAAAAAATTACTTACATCTCGACGAGTTCTTCGTTTTTTATGCGTAACAAGCATGGATCGATAAAAATCATCGGTTTGTTCTCGCATTGAAAATCGTGGAATATATTCAGAACGATGATGAGTTGAAAACACTGGTCGAATGGCATCATCTTCATTATCCATTTGTATGCCTCTTATTAATGGAATTTGAGGTGTCATCACAGGTCGTTTACGTTTCTTTTGCTTTGAATTACTTAATTGAAAGTGTGGATAGTTTTCCTCATTTTCAGATGTTGAATCATCAATGAGATTTGCATTTGCTCCAAGTTCTGTTCTCAATGCGTTCATTTCTTCCATATAACGCAATTGTGCTTTTTCTTCAACTAAATATTCAATTAATATCAAGAAAATAAAATCTATAAAAATAATAATTTACTTACCTAACGCTGGTTTTGGCCTTTTCCAATGAAATTTAGATACTGTTTTATGTGTCGTTTGACTGAATCCCTGTTTATAGGCATTGAGAAGTAAATTTTCACGTGACTTTAACAATTTATTTGCCAATTCATAGGCGTGTTTACGTTCCTCAAATAAAGCTCTTCTATGTTGTGCTTTACGTACTAAATTCCGAATTCTTCTAATATCTGGACGAAAATAACCAGTTGAGAGATTTTTATGAAATGTATCTAGAGGCGAGACACCAAATCTAAAAACAAAAATTCAAATCAATTAATAGTAAAAAAATAATTTTTTTTAAAAATATTTCTTTACCTATCATTCTCGCCGTTAAAAAACATTTTTAGAGTTTTGTCTAATTCCATTTCGACATTACAATCTTTTGGAAATTGTGGCAAAAGATTATATAAATTTTCTTTCTGACTGTCGGATAAAGATTCTTGCCACAATCGTGGATAATTGAACATTTCACGAAAAATTGAAGGATGCTCGCATAAATCTTGTGGTAATTTAATTTTAATACCATCTGCTATACACGTTTCCCATCGCTAAAAAGAAAAATTAATTTAATTAATATCAATTGAAATAGTTTAAAAAAAAAAAAAGAAAATAAGAACTTACCAATAAATCTTCATTTTCGTCTCTTTCATCTTTATTTAAATCGTCATCATTTTTATCGTCCTCATCGTCAATAGATGAATTACCGTCAGAAACACTCGTGACATCGTCTTCTGTATCATCGCCACTTTCTGACGATGAACTACTGTCACTACTGTTACTCGTGCTCGTATTGCTACCAGAACCCTGAGACATGTCATCGTCCTCATCTTCTTCAGCGCCAGAATCACCATTAGCTGAGCATTCGTCAACCTGTAAAATTGTTATTTTCCAATAAATTTTGCAGGCGAGAAAATGAAAAAAAAAATGTAAAACAAAATTAACTGTAATTAAAAAACAATAAAGAAATTATGGAAAAAATTCAAGTGAAAAATGAAAAAATAAGAAAAACAGACTTTAATTTAATTAAATATAAATGAAATGAATAATTTTTTTAATAATTAATTGTAAAATTGGCAAATATAAATAGAGTAAAACTAACCTCCATTTTGATTGATATCAGGCTGTTTCTCACAAATATGAAATTAAATATTCAATGACGCACAATATTAATTTACAGACGTATGGAAAAATAGTTTTTTTTCCTAATTAATAGAAAGACGATAACAAACAAGTAACAACGAAATGATAATCAATTTTTTATAATGAAAAAATCTCTACTATATACTTTTTATTGATCGTACGTTACGTATTTTACTTTAACCATTGCGTTTTTACGTAATGTTACTACCGAGTGAATGATTTGAAGTGAATGACACATAAGAAAATTAAAGTATATTCATACTGCTTAATTAAATGCGCTTTTCTGATTTGCTGAAAATATTTATAGGGAACAATATTAACAGCCAATTGGAATTGTTCATTTTTGTTGAATCGATTAGGACAAATTAAAAATATCGATATATTGACGATGACGTTTCCCGCCAAAATGTTGTCTGCATCTCAGCATGTCTGCTGCGTTTTATAGATGATTGTTTACCAATTGTTTACATATTAAAATTATTAAACAGTTTTTTAAATTAAGTTTTTAATTTGCTATACATTCTTTTATGATACATATTTTATAAAATGGATGACTCACAAAGTAAGTTTAATATTTTTATTAAAATTTTTTCCGTTTGTCAACATAACCACAACAAAGTCGCAATTTGTTTTTACACAAGAAAAACAATTGTAAATATTAATTTAATTTACATAATTTCCGGTTTCTTTGTATGGTTTATTATTATTTTGTTATATTTTACTATTTTACGTTTCTACTAATTCAAAGTTTCAGTTAGCTAACAATGAATGTTTTGTTTTTGAATAAGTTTAAAACTGATTCAAATATTATGATAAACAAAGAATTTTGGAATTAATGTGTTGTTATTATTTACTTGAAGGCTATTTATTTATTTTAAACAATTTCTTCGCGGTCCAACAATATAGAAAATAATTTTTTTCACAGCTTCTTCGGGAAGAACAAAACGTCAAAAGCTTGATAAGGCCGGTCGCTTTTCGGCGTTGGAGAAATTAAGACAATTAAAAGGTGGTAAAAATAAATATGAAGTCGATGATTTGGAAAATGTTTACGATCAGGTGGAAGAGAAAGAATACAATAGAAAAGTGTTGGATCGACAAGCTGACGACTGGATAGTCGATGATGGTACTTAATTTTTTTTTCTACTTTAATATTTTCAATGATAAAATGTGAAAAGTTATCTTAAAAGTCTTAAGAAAATTAAATTAAAGTCTTAAGAAATTTTAAGTATTCTTTTGTTTTTTGTTACAATGTTTTCTTTTGTTTAAAAAGTTAAGTTTTTTTAATATATTATTTTTAAAGGTGGTGGAGGTTACGTTGAAGATGGCAGAGAAATATTTGACGATGATTTGGATGAAGACAGTATTCAAGCTGCAAAGCAGACAAGTACAACTGGTCCAAGAAAAAAAGCAAAAATTGCAGCTAAAAATAAGGGAAATATTAAAAATTTGTTTATGAATATGGCTTCAAAAGCTAAAGCCGCTGATAAAGTGGACGACGATAATATTTTGGGTGATCTTATGTCAGAATTGAAAAATGAAGATAACACACCAAAACGTTTAGTTAAACCAAAAAATAAATTTGCTGTTACAAAACCAATTACGTAAGTTGCAAAAAAAAAATAATTAAAATTCAATATTTTTTCTCTTTGAATAAGAATTCTATTTTTTGAGCAATTTTTTTTTCACTAGACCGCCAGTTTCTAAATTGCCAAAAATTAATCTTGAGGATACATTGGCAAAAATTGAAGATGAAGACATGATGATATTTGATGCTCCAAGTAAAACTTGTTCAAAAACAAATGTGGGCAAAATTAAAAATCGTTCTTCGATAATAGAACAATCTACAAGTCAAGTGATTGAAGAATCTGACGATTTTGATACTAATGGAATTCACGATTCTACGAGTCAAATAATTGAAGATCCAGATACAAATGGAACATTCGATTCTAAGAAAGTTATACCAAGTCAAATAATCGAAGATCCAGATAAAGATGAACCAATGTTAGGCGTTGAAGATGTGCGTTTATTTTATTTTCTATAAATAGTTTTTAAAACCTTTTTAATTTGTCATTTTTTTTTTACTTTCGATTTCAGATTACCGATATCAAAGATTTCGAAGAGACGGAATTTACTATTTGTAAAACGAAATCAAGTGAAACAACAACAAAACCAATTGAAAATGTATCAGAAGCAGATGTATTTGATTCAAGTGAAATGATTTTAGATTGGGAAGATGATTTTAAATGTCAAGTCGATGAATTTAAAGATACGACTGATGATAAAAATATAACATTGCCATTAACTCAAAATGAAGCGGGAGAAAATATATTTCGATTTTATTGGTGGGACGCTTATGAGGATCCATTTCGAATGCCGGGTGTTGTTAATCTTTTTGGTAAATTTTATTTGGAGTCGAGTAAAAAATACGTTTCTTGTTGTGTTGTAGTGAAGAATATTCCAAGACGAATTTATATTTTACCAAGAGAACAGGTATTTAAAAATAGATTAAAAAATTTGGTTTTCTTAAATTGTAATACTAATTAATTTACATTTACATTTTAGTTGAAACCAGTGTTAAAGGATGAAGAGCCAAGGGAAACAACAATGGAAGATGTGTACGATGAGTTTAACAATTACGCTGGAAGAAATGGTATAAAAGAATTTCGTTCAATGAAAACAACAAAAAATTATGCTTTTGAACGTGAAGGAACGCCAAAGACAGCTGAATATTTGGAGGTTCGATATTCGGCATCGTTTCCACAATTAGATTCTTCATACAGTGGACGAGCAATTGAGGCTGTTTTTGGAACATCTGTTAATGCTTTGGAATATTTATTAATCGAGAGAAATATCAAAGGTCCTTGTTGGTTAGATATCAAGTGTCCAACTGTCGTTGAAAATCCATTCACTTGGTGTAAATTTCAGGTAATTTAAAATATTATAAAAGAAAATTAATATTTAAATTGCCTTAGATGTTTTAAGATTGAAAATAATTTTTCTTTGCAGGTAAATTGTTTGAAACCAGAACACATTTCTGTTGTTAGTCGAGATTTGCAAAAAGCAATACCACCAATGGTCGTTGCCACCTTGAATGTTCGTTCAGCTTTAAATCCTAAACATCATATAAATGAAGTCGTTATGGTTGGAGTTTTATTGCAGCATAAATATCATATTGATAAATCCGCACCGAAACCACCTTTCGATCAACATTATTGTCGTGAGTAAATTTTTTATTTATTATAATTAAAGATAGTAAAAGATATTTTCTTTTTAAATGAATAAATAATTGGTTTAATTTTTATTAAATTTCAGTTATAACTCATCCAAAAGAAATTCCCTGGCCGTTACATGCTAAAGATCGCCTTTCAAAAATTAAAAATACAAATATGATTCGTTGTGATTCGGAGCGCGATTTACTTGAAGAACTATTGAATATCATACAAAAATCAGATCCAGATATGATTATTGGTTATGACACTGGTTTTCAATTTGATCTTTTGATGCACAGAATTCACAAATGTTCGGTGTCAAATTGGAGCCGTGTGGGAAAATTGAGAAGATCTAATCCACCAATGTTCAAGGTAGAATATAGAATATTTATTAAAAATTTACCATATTCAAATAATTTATAGAAGTTTAAATTTGTTATAAAATTATTATTTTTTTAAAGGGGAAAATAAATGTAGCCGCTTCATTTTGTGGTAGACCGATTTGTGATATTCAAACATCAGCTAAAGAATTAAATTTAAAAGTCAGAAGTTACGATCTTCAGTCACTTTGTGTTTCGGTAAGTGTTTAAAAATCTTTTTCTAATTAAAAAATAATCTTTAGAATACAAATTTTTGTTTATATAATAATTGTAATTTTAAAGGTTCTTAAAAAAAATGAAAAAGAGTGTAAGGAAATAACCCCAGCGGAGTGTATCAAATTTTACAATACTGTGGAGAAAATAGAAAATCTTGTAAGATTGACAATGCTCGAGGCATCGTGCATTATTTCAATGGTTTTTGAATTGAATATCATGCCTCTTGCCTTACAAATTACGTGCATTGCCGGTAATTAAAAATAATTATTTCAAATTATAAATTTAAAAATTTATTATTTTATTTTTGTTGCCTTTATTTTACAGGCAATATTCTGTCGAGAACTTTATCTGCTGGTCGAGCTGAAAGAAATGAATTTCTTTTATTGCACGCTTTTCACGAAAGGGGTTATATTACTCCAGATAAAAAGCAAACAAAGAAGGGAAAAGATGTCACTGAAAGTAAGACAATAATAATTTTAATTTATTATTCACAATGTCTCAACAAAATTAATTATTAAATTAAATTATTGTTCATTTTTGATATTTTTCTATTGCTACAAAAAAAAAATCCAACTAATTTTTTAGGTCGTAGAAAAAAACCGGCATACGCCGGTGGCTTGGTCTTGGATCCAAAGAAAGGATTTTACGAAAAATTGATTTTACTAATGGACTTTAATTCATTGTACCCGAGTATAATTCAAGAATATAATTTATGCTTTACAACTGTTCCTGGAGCTGCTTATGCTGAATTTGAGGTATTTAATAAAAACGTTTTGAAAAAAAATTCCAAATAATAATTTACATAATTTTAAATTTAATAGGCTTAATTTAAATGATTTATTATCTACTAATTTTTCTAGGATTTAAATCTTCCGGAAATGGATTTAGAGGCAGGAGTAGTGCCAACAGAAATTCGTAAACTAGTTGAAAGTCGTGTGCAAGTGAAACAAATGATGAAAGCCTCGTATCTTGCACCAGAATTAAAAATGCAATACGATATTAGACAAATGGCATTGAAGCTCACAGCAAATTCCATGTATGGTTGTTTGGGCGCAACGCATTGTCGATTTTATGCTAAAGGATTGGCAGCTTTAGTAACCGGTAAAAAAAAATAATTATTTAGAAATGATCAATTTTAATATTATTTTCAATTATATTAATTTTTTATTATTATTAATTATATTTCTCAATTTCAATAATTTATTTAGTTATTAATTTTTTTAAAACTAATTTTCATAAAATATTTTAGCAAAAGGAAGAGAAATTTTACAAAGTACAAAACGACTTGTAGAAAAATTAAACTACGAAGTAATTTATGGTGACACTGATTCTATTATGATCAATACGAATATTGTCGATTATGATGAAGTTTTTTCTATTGGAAAAAAGGTATTTTTTTCTATTAATAATAAAAATTTTACTTTCATTTAAAAAAAAAAACAAAAAATTATATAAAATTTCTCTCTTAAAAATAGATTAAACAGGAGGTCAATAAACTTTATCGAAAAGTAGAATTGGACATCGATGGAGTTTTTAAATATTTGTTACTTTTACAAAAAAAGAAATACGCAGCAGTTACAATGTCAAAGGGATCAAATGGAAAAATTATATTAAATCAAGAGCACAAAGGTCTTGATATTGTCAGAAGGGATTGGTGTCCATTAGCAAGTGAAACTGGAAAGTAAGTTGAAATTCACATTTACATTTTTAATACATAAAAAATTGATAATCAATTTTGTAAATTCATTAATAATTATGATTTTCAATTTTTTTTTTACTATTATTCTAGAATAATTTTGGATCAATTACTCTGTGATCAACTCAGCGAGATAAGAATGGAAAATATTTTCACATATTTACAAAAAGTTGGGAAAATGGTGAAAGAAAATACTGTTCCATTATCGAAACTTGTAATTAGTAAACAATTATCAAAAGATCCAAATGATTATCCAGATAAAAAACAAGCTCACGTTTTGGTTGCACTAAGACTGAATAAAGAAGGTGGTAGAATGTGGAAAGCTGGTGACACTATTCCTTATATTGTTTGTGACGTAAGTTTTTTTTAATTAATATTTTGATATTAAAGAAAATTGTACGAAATTTCTTTTTCTTTCTTTTAGGATGGAACAGATAAATCTGCCACTGAAAGAGGATATCATATTGAAGAATATAATAAAAACATTGGTGTTTATAAAATAGATGCGGATTATTATTTGTTGAGTCAAGTTTTTCCCGTTATTAATCGTATTTGTGAGCCAATTGATGGAATCGATGATGCTCTGCTGGCAGAACATTTGGGTATTAATTTTGTATATTTAAATTAAAATAATATTTCAAATTTTCATTTTTGATAATAATTTAAAAATTAATTGACTTTTGACTATAGGTATAGCACATTTGCATAAATCAAAGAAGCCAATTTATGGACAAGAAGAAACGCATATTGCACCATCGATTGATGAAGATAGATATAAGTATTGCATTCCATTGAAATTAACATGTCAGAATGAAAATTGCAAAGCTGAAATTCAAATAAGCGACGTCGTTATCGATAATGTGAGTAACTTTTCTTTTTTTTTAATGAAAATAAAATTAAAAAAAAATATATATTTTCTCTAGGGTTCGAGTGTTGAGCCATCTTTAATGAAATGCTCAAATCCAGACTGCAAACAAGAACCTTACAGAAGTAAAGATTCAATAATAAATAGACTACAACTTGAGATTAGGCAAATAATTACCGATTATTATCAAGGATGGATGGAATGTGAAAATCCTATTTGTTATCATCGAACTCGATATGTTCCTTTATGTCCATCTGGAAATAATTTGAAATGCACTCAATGTGAAAATGCCAATATGCATCGAGTTGTAAGTTTATTTCTTTTTATAATTAATATATTAAAATATACTTACAATTAAAATAATACATTTTTTTCAGTATTCAGAGACTCAGTTATACAAGCAACTTTCATTTTACGTTCACATATTTAATTTGAATCAAGCGAGCTTAAAAAGTAAGAAACAATTCAATTAGCGTTTGAAAAAAATAATTAAAACTATTTAATTGACGAAAAATTGATTATTTCAGAATATCATTTTAATAATGTCTTATCGAGAGAAGTTACATCGGCATATGATACAATAAAAGAACATGTGGAAAAACAATTGAGACGAAATAGTTATTCAATTGTTAATTTAGATAAAATTTCTGCCAAAGCTGTAGCAAAGGGAGGAGGTTTTCAAATGAGGCTTGAAGAAGAATGGTCCGACTTTGAAGACGATGAAGATGATTATACAAAAAATCCAAGTCAATATTTAACTCAAAGTGTAAGAACTTTAAATTAAATTCACTTTAAATTATTCTATAAATTAAAATTAGAATTAAAAATATTTCGAATTAATTTAAATTACACTTTTTTTTTATTGTGAAATTTTCTTTTGCAGCAATCAATAAAAGCTTCGCAGGCAAAATCGCAACAAATGTCTCAAATGAAATCACAAATGTCAACTCAACAAATGTCTCAAAGTCAAGTATTATATCAACCAATGTCTCAATTGAAAACACAAGAGAAATCATCTCAATCAATGTCTCAAGGGAAGTCACAATCAATGTTTAAAGTGAAAATGCAAAAAAAAACACAGGATCAAGACGACATGATTGTCCCTGCAGAATTACTTGATGAATATTATGAGAGTAAAACTGAAGTATCTGAACCAATGTCTCAAGTAAAATCACAAGAAGAAAAACCTCAAGAACAAGAAATACAAGATCAAGACATGAGTGTTCCTGCAGAATTACTTGATGAATTTTTTTAATCACTTTTATCAAAAAAGTTGTAAATACCAAGTCCAATAGTAATTAAGATAAATTTAATTCTTTTTTTTTTTTTTTTATTTAATGACTAATGCTGTTTATGGATGTATAAATTTTTCTCGCATAAGAAAAAGAAAAATAAATTTTTTACACAATGAAATTGTTTTTTTAATTTCAATTTTGAGATTTAAAAATATATTTAAGACAGGAATAAAAAGAAAATATTTTGTTAAAATTGTTTATAGTATTTATATATGGAAGTTTCGCTCTTCAGTTTTGTTTGATTCGTACAGGTTTAGAAAATTCGTACATTCGTTTATTTTATTTTTTCTCTAAAAGTATCGTAAATATAACTCTTAAGTTTTATTTCATATTTTAAAACTACTAATATGACGAGAAAGTAAATATTCTTTCGTAGTTGGTATTTTATTTTTACGAAAGAATATTTAATATTATTCTTTATGACTTTAGACTTATCCGAATTTTCGGAAAAAAAATTAACTGAATGAAATTCTTATATTTCTAGACGGTACTTTGTTTTTTTTAATAACAAATAATTGTTTTTCACGTGCTTCTTATATAAAAAAAAAAGTTGATTTAAAATATATTTAAACTTAATTTTTTTTTCATACAATTTTAACAATAAACGCGTAATTTGATATAAAATTTTTTTAATTAAATTTTCTTATATACAATCTCACTTTTAATAAAAATATTAAATTTCGAAATATTCATTAATTTATAATTACCAAACAATAATTTTATTAACAAAAAAAAGCACTGAGAATGTTCAATGAACTTTCATGAAAAAAAAAAGAAACAGATATAATTTACAAAAAATAGACAATCTCGTTTTTGAGTTATATTTATATAATATAAATAATTTCTTAATTCTGAAAAAACAAATCAGATTCTCTTTATCAAGAAACGATTTCATTTTTTCAAGGAAAAATCAAGCAATATTATCATAATTTTTGGGAAACTGATATAAACTTATTTTTCTAAATAAAAATATTGAAATGGAAGAATTGCTGATCACTGAAAATTACGAATCATGACAATGATGATTCGAAAGATTCTTTTTCTAAAGCACGCCAATTATTATTTCTTCAGAATTTAATAAAATGTTAATAATAAAAAATATAGTAATAATAATTATTATTAATGTTATTATTACTATTAAGTATAATAATTATTTCAATTTATGAAATTTTGCATCTGGCAGCTCATGCAGTCTTTATAACTTTATAATCTTCATAAACTTGAAGTTCACAGGTATATATATATATAGGCAAATTATATATTTAAAAAAAATTATTGAAATCGTCTTCATTAACGATGAAAAAAAAATTATAATAAACAAGTTATTAATTATGGCCATTTTAGATAACTTACATATATATGACATCTCCTTTCACTTAGCGCTTGACCTTTACCTGTGCTGAATCAAATCAGTTTCAGTGACGTTCGAAATATTGTAAAAATTATATGGTATATTATTCGGTGTGAGAAATGTTTGCAATGTTGTTGGCACGGCATTCAAATATGTTGTGTTTCTATTCTCGCGAAACACTGCATCTTGAACGATATCTGTGACTTCCGGTTGAAAACTTTGAACCGGCGTTGATGGAATTGTTTGAACGACTATTGGCTGCGAGACAGATGAATGGGGCACACTTTGAATTACCTGAAAAAATAAATTATTATTATTATTATAATAAAAAGAAATTCTATTATTTTAAAAATATGAAATTCAAATCATTTTAATTTAATAATTTAAATTTAAATAATTACTTGAACAGTTGTGGTTGTTGATTGAGAATGTGTGAGCGGATCTTCGGTAATGCCTTGAGTTGATTGAATTTCTTGTTGTTGTTGCTGCTGCTGTTGTTGTTGAGAAGGCTGAAGATGTTTTGTGTGAGATGTGTTAATTCCGTGTCTGCGTTTCATATGCTTATTATAATTTGGCCAATTAGTAAAATGATGTTGACATTCTAAACAACTGTAGGGTCTTTCACCTGTATGTTGTCTTCTATGCGTCTAAAAAAAAAAAGACCAACTCTCAATAAAAGCTAACATCTAACATTCAAAATATTTTTAAAAAATTGATTTTGATTTTACACAATAAACTAAACTTAACGAAAAACTTACTGTTAAAATTCCCTTGAAACGAAAACTTTTGCCACAAAATTCACATGTAAATGGCATTGCTCCCGTGTGAATTCGATGATGTTCGCGCAATGTTCCCTTTTCGCGAAAAGTTCGACCGCAAACGGCGCATTGATGAGGCTTAGCGCCAGTGTGAACAGTCTCATGTTTCTTCAATTGTAAAGGAGTCTTGAAACTGTAATTATCAATTTTAATAATTTTATTATAATTAAATGAACATTTTTATTCAATATTAAAATAATGAAACCTACGCTTTAGGACACTGACTACAAGTGTACGGCTTATCAGCGGAATGCGTTAAAAAATGAGCTTCTAAATTTCCCTTTTGAATAAAACTTTTACCACATTGATCGCAGGTAAAATTTCTCACACCCGAATGAATTCTTTTGTGCGTCACTAAATTTGGCTTCGTGGAAAATCTATTTTTAAAATAAAATTCATTATAACAGTATTTAATAATCTAATTTAAAAAAAAAAGATTTATTCTTTTAATTACCTTTTATCGCACTGATCACATTCATAGCGATTTTTCATACTTTCTGGCAAATGACAACGACTATGAATATATAATGCGCTTTGTTGTCTAAAACTTTTTCCACATGTGGCACAAACGTGAGGACGATCTTGACTATGAATTGATTTATGAGACTCTAATACTTTTTTATGAACAAATGATTTACCACAATCTTCACAGCTGAAAAAATTCATAAAATTAACAAATATGTAAAAAAAATGTTTATTTAGAAAAATTTTCCAACTTACTTGTATTTGGATTTAGTTCGATGCCTTTTAACATGAGTTAAAAATCCATAATATTTTTCATATACTTTGCAGCATTGAACGCACATGTACTTCGCTTGCTGATTGTGAACTACTATGTGATGAGTTTGCAATGCTTCTAAGCTCGGCAACTTATCATTGCAATCTGTACATAACCATGGATACCTGTCTAATCCTTTCCCTCTTTTTCGACCAGGTGTATCGGGTTCTTCAGCTCTTGCTCCTATCATTTCCATATCAGATTCCGTTCCTATGAAAATAAAAAGTCATTTAAAAGTCTATTAATTCTCTAGGAATTTTATTTTCATATTTTAGTTCAACGGTCATTAAATTAGTTATTAAATTTTAAATTCATAAAATAGCTATATTAAATAATAAAATATACAATTTTACAAAAATTATTTCTCACCTGTCATGTAATTATCAGGAATTTTTGTACTTGACTTTGCATCAAGTCCATTTAATTCATCTTCCATATCAGAAGTAACATCCAATTCTTGATCATCCATTTTTTGCGATTGATTACGTTTTTTCACTCTTCTTTTCGATTGTTTTGTCACATTTTTCTTCACTGTCACCTTACATTTTCTATTTTTACTTTCATTTAAATTAATTTCTGTTTCATATTTCGATTTAATATCCAAACTACCATCGGCAAAATAAATATTATTAATTTCCACTGTACTACCAATTTCAATGCTATTACTAATATCAATTGAATGATGATCAAGATTATCAGAATTATTTTCAATAATAGTATTATCAATGTAATTATGATCTGATGGAAATTCAACAATTCTTTCGTTTTGTTCTTCCTTAAGGGACTCAACGACAATTGTTTTATCAATATAATTTCCTTCAATTGAACGAGGCTCTGATTTTGAATTAATCAACAATTGACGAAGTGATATTTGAGCTTTATTTGTTTTTTCAAAAAATTCACTGCATAAATTCAATTGTACACAACAATCAATGCATACTATCAATGGCAAATCATCATTTATTAAAACCTAAAAAAAGAAAGTTTTTATTCAAAATTTAAACAAAAAAATGACAACAAATTTTAGGTAATGAAATTTCAATACAAATTTTATTTTATATACAAATTGTAAAAATATTTTCTCACCTCTAATAGTTAAAATCGAAATTTTTTAAAGTGACATATTTTTCAAAGGAAAACTACTGGCAAGTCACTAGAAACTTGTGGGTTGCATCACAGAGAAATTATTTAATAATCGCGAATGATCATTCTTGAGGTGCATTTAATTAAAAAATTGTCAAAAGGTCATTTGGTCATTTTGCAATAAGATAAATAGTTTAAAATGTTGTTTAACTCTTTAAATGATTCCTTTTTTTTTATTATAAATGAAAAAAAGAACTGTGTTTTAATAAACTCTAAATATTATATTAAACTAGAGTAATAAAAAAAAATTTAGTTCTACGTTAAAGTTAAAATAGTCAAATAATTAAATATAAATTAAAAAAATTCTAATAAGAATCTTATTCATTAAATATTGAAATTAATTCAAGACACCAATAATGGTTTAGTACATTAATAATATTTTAAATAAAAAAATTCCTGTGAGTAATAGAAAAATAATATTAATGAATAAATTGACAAATTTACCTGAATTTGAAGACACTTGATAATTTTAGCATCTATAGCTAATTTTTGACCCTCAGCGTCGTAAATTCCAATAAAATTCTCTTTCGTGTCGGCACAAAGCCGGCATAATTTTCGATCAGTCATTATTTGTCGATGATAAATAGCAAATGAATTCTATTATTCATGCTTATAATAAAAATACATTTGAAGTAATTATTTGCTTTTATTTAATGGTAAAACAATGTCGTAAACAAAAGATTAACGATGACGCCAACCGGAGGGCGGACATGTTCCTTTATAGAAAATAAATCGAAAAATTGTCAATTTTTTAATGATGTATATCAATTTTCTCTTTTGTCAATTCTTCATAGACACATCTATTTTGACAATAAATTTACACAAATGATAAATCATCACCGGTATAGTTGAAATCTATAACATTCGATGAAAAAAAAACGTCACAATATTAATATATTATTTGCTTTGGAAATTTATTTACAAAAAAAAAAAAAAGTTTTCTGCTATATCCTACGCATGCTCAGAAAAGAGAATAGTCTGACATCTGTCAGCAGATATTAGAACTAAATTGTTGTTTAAAAACAAATAAATAAATAAATTATAAAATAAAAAAATTACATAATTTTTCTGTTTTCTCATTTATGAAAAATAAAGAAAATTATTGTAAATTTGTTAAATAAATAATTAATGTGAAAAACGCGGTAGTATTAATTTCAAATGAAGTGTTGAGTCGGTAAGGTTGGTACCTTTGAATTCAAATTTTTAAAAATTTAAATAATTAAAATTTTGTTTGTTTTATTTCCTTATTTGAATTTGAATATATTTTAAAAATTTATTTTCTTGATTATAGTTTGTTTTTATTTATAATAATAATAATAATAATAATAATAATAATAATAGGGAATAGTAATACATAATATTCAAATAAATATATTTTCATTTTATTCAAAATTTAATTAGACGTTAATAATAATTGAATAAAATATAAACATAATTGTACGGCAAAAACAAACGTACGGAGAATAATAATTACCTATTTTATAATATGCAAACTAAATTTTTAAAGAAAATACTGAATAAAAGATTGAGAAAAAAACTTTGTCATCACTTAGTATGCAAATGGCATTTTAGGATACACAAAAAATTTGCGCATTGTCTCGTAAAAACATTTTGGTAAATTTGTGAATTGTAATTTAATTTATAATATTTATATTTATCAAATAAAATTTTAAATTATTTAATTTCTTTAATTAATTCAATATTATAAAAAAATTTTATAATTGCAATAATTAATGTAATTATTAAAAATTTATATTAGGTATACAATTATTTATTATATTTTTTTATGTATGTGCTTTAAGGACTTTTACATTTTTAAAAAAAATCCCTTTCTTAATCTTTTGAGAACTAATTTTCTGCTTTCATTTGTAATGGAGATTCTAAAATAAATTTACATTCAGACTTTTCACAAATCTGTCAGCGAAAGTTCGCCTTTCTTTTGAATATTCAGTTTCTGAATATAGAAACAGGTAAACTTGGGCTCTAAAACCAATATTTGAAAATTAAACAGCATCTCTAAGTCAAGGTTCAGTTACTTTTTTCTCGAGTGTTCGTCTTTTTTTTAATTTCAAGGTTCTTTTTTTACAATAAAAGCGTTTTTTTTCCCTTTCAAGGTAACTTACTCCGAATTACATCGTTCAATCTCAATTATTAAAATGATGTTTCGAAAATGTTCCATCAAAAGAAGAATGCAAAAAAAAAAAAAAAAATTACAAAAAGAAGATTACTTTATTATAAAACAGCATTTTTTTTTACTAAAAAGTATTTTATTTCGAAACACATTTTTTTTAAATTTTATTTTATGTAAGAAAAAAATTATTTTGATTAAATTTTAATGGTTATTTCAAAAACAAGAATGACAAAAATGCCTCTTGACTAATTTTCTATTACCACGAATTTTCAGGTTCTTTTTTTTTTATTTATTTTATTTTTTGTTTTGAGTATAGTGTTAGAAATGTAAATACATTTGATTACAATAAATTTGTATAAATTATCACAGAGAAAGTAGCAGAAAAATGTTTGGTATCTGTTTTAAATCTCGAGGAAAGATCTTTTTATCTGGTCAGAATAAATTATTATTTTTGTAAGTACCAATTCGCTGATAGAATAAATTAATCAAAATAAAATGCTGTTTTGAATAAAATACAGTTCTTTTTTGAATTTAAAAAAAAAACCGTTTAAAAAATAAATTTTTTTTTATTTTAAATTTAAAAGAATTAAAAAAAAAATCTCTTTTAAAAGAATTAAAAATTGAAAATATTTAAAATTAAAATGATACAATGAAAATTGTTCTTTTTTTTGAATTTTATGTAAATCTATAATTGATTAAAGGTGCATATTATTGTATTTTACTTTCGATAAAACGAATTCACTGATGGTGGTCCCAAAGTGTGCAGTAGGTTATACCTTTCTTGTGCAACAATCGAAACCCACGTGGGAAAACATTCATGTAAACCAAACAGAAGAAACTTGTGTACAATGAGAATTTATTGCTTCTTATTTCAGCCAAAATGAATAGCTGAGAAAGTATTACTAATCATGAGTTCGTAACACACATTTTTGGTGTGTGACTTTTCTGTTTATAAAAAAGAAAAAAATCAATTTCCTCACATCCGGAATTTAGGAAAAAAATTCTTTTTCAACTGGACTTGTACGCATTGTTAGAAAACAACTATTATTCTGGTTTCACTGTTGTTTTTTGTAATATTATAAATTATTACCTTTTTTTTAATTGTATTAATTTCCATCCTAATAGATTATCATTCTCGATTAATTGAGATTTCATCTGAAATAAAAAATATAATTCATTAACATTTTTCAAATATATATATTTAAAATTATTTAATTAATTTCAGTTACATTAAATCAGTTTTTATTCTTAGAAAGAAGAAATTAAATTTTTATCTAATTCATCAATAATAATGAAAATAATCTATCATAATTTTCAAGTATTTGCGAAATACGAGGTCAAAATTTACTCTACTTTAAAAGAAAGGACCCATTTCCAAAAGATTCTTCTCGCTTCCTTATGACTTAAGAATAATAAATTGATGATACCTTGAGAAAGAATCAAACTTGACCCAGTTATTAATATACTTCGAAAAAAATTTTTTTTTTTTTTTTTTTTTGTTCATAATGATCTTTTTATATTTAATGATCACAGAAAATATATTTGACTAATCAATCAAAAATATTTAAATTATAAATGTTAAAAGCACAATATTTCACTGATTCCCGCATTGACTTTGAAAATTTCTGCGAGTGTAAAAGTAATGGCTTATTAATGGTGTCTTCCTCGTGTATAAATAAGGGTGCTTCCATAGAAAGCGTTGCAGTTCACCTGAGATCGTAGTTAGGTAAGCATCGAGACACCTTTCGAAAAAAAAAAAAAAAGATAAAACATTTTTTTTCCTCAGTGTTTCTTTTTGTTTACGTGCTCTCTAATCGTTAGTTATTGTTTTTCTTTTCAAATATTTTCGTGATATTTAAAGAAAATAGTTTTTAATATTTTTATCAAAAAATGTGGTGATTATTCAGTGATAACAGAAATTTTTTTTTTTGTCAGTGTTTAATAATGATTTGATTTTTTTTAAACTAAAAAAATTTTATTTTGCAAGCACATTATTTAACAAAATAATTTTAGTTTGTATTCAAATTTTAATTTGAATTATTTGAATAATTTTATTTAATTTTACAACTTTTTGTTAAACGTCAAAAAAAATAATAAAAAAAAATTTTCATTTATTTTTTTTGAGTAAATTTTTTGTTCATCTTTTCTTAAAATAAAATAATAATTGTGGAATAAAAAATTAATATTTTACTTAATAATTATATGTAATAAATATTTATACAAAGAATACAAATATTTATAAAAAAAAAAAATATTTAGCTAAAAGAATAAATGTTGGTTAATTTAATAGAATAAAAGAAATTTAATTACATATCAGAAAATAATCAGTACTGCAGAAAAATTGTAGAAAGTAAATGTGGTTTGAGTGTTTGAGGAAGTTTTCTCAAAGGGAATAATTAAAACACCTTTAAAAGCTTCTTGTTTTTTTTAAGTAACTCAAGTCACGTTTCGTCTCATCGATATACAAAACGTTAGGACCGCGAAACCGGTTTAAAAGAAAGTGGCATGCCCGGAACTTTGTTGAAGTATTTTATCGTCATCTAAGCCCAGTTTTTTTTCGTTATTGACAGATTTATCTCCAAAAAGAAAAAAAAAATTTTGATTCAAATAATATTGATTACTTAACTATTACGAAATAAATTTTTTTTTTTTTGGTAAAACATATAAATAATTAAATAAATATTTTGTATTTGTACAAAATAAATTTTCTAATTATACAAAAGTAGTTTTATTAAAAAAAAATTAATTATCTACTTTAATCACAATTCGAGAAAATTGTTTTTAAACATTTCTTATTAATTATGTTCAACTCAAACCACAGAAATAATTTACTTTTTATTTTGATAATTTAAATTAATTTTATATTCTTTACAGAAACAAGAAAAAAAAATGTTGCGGTTTTTAGTTGTTGGAGCGCTAATCGCTCTTTCTTCGGCACAATTTCAGCCACAACCAAGCGGAAAAATTTTAGTGCCACCTGAACCAAAACTTTGTGCTCAAAGTAAGTTTTTTTTAAAATTAATTGTCATAAATTTTCAAAAATAAAAAATTTTATTTTGTATTAATTATTTAAAATCTTAACTATAATTTTTTTATTAAATCTATTTGAAAAAATAAAAAAATCTAATAATTTAATCAAAGATTCAATCTAATAATATTGTCTTTATTTCTTTATTATTATTGTTTTAATTTATTTTATTTTTAATTCATGTTAAGTTAATTTACTGTTAATTAAGAGATGAAATTTTCAAAATGAATAAATTAAGTAAAAAAAAAATTTTTTTTTTCAAATATTCACTTGAAGAAAAATTCTGAGATTTCTTTTTTTCTTTAAATTATCATTATAAAGAGTGATTTGTCTAAAAAGCAATGTCAATAAACTATTGACCCACGTGTAATTGCTGTCCATTTACATTTAAATTTAGAGAAACTGATTTCATTTGTCTGATTAATAATTATGCGAGGCCAAGCCCACTTGAATATGGTCATAGAAAGTGTGATGACGAATTTCAATCTACCTGAATTTGAATTGGTAATCTTCTCATCGGCGACTTTGGTATATTCCTTTGCCATAAAGTAAAGTAGGTGATACTTTCTCAATTGTATCAAGCCGAAAACGTTTAATGAAAAAGGGGTCAATTTATGTCCCATCAATTTTGTTAATAAAATTCGCCTTCCGAATGTTCAAACCAAAATCTGAAAAAAAAACATTTTAATTTTATTATAATGACAAAAAAGGTAAAATTCCAAAAAGAATCAAATTTTTTTTTTGTTTGAATTTTTTAAAAATTGTTTAAAGCAGCAGAAAATGTATGTGAAATGAATAAGTAAAGAGTGTGTAAAATATAAAAATTTTTCGAGTAAAGAAGAAATATGTAAATGAAGCGGAGGTCAATGTTTATACACGAAATTCCAAGCGTTTATACACACACACATTTCGTAATGAACTTTCTTCGTTAGCATTTGGGAAAGCCATCGGCTTTGAATCAATGTCTAGGTCACGACTGTGTGTGTCTTCATCTCTCTGTAGGTCAGTCCCCGGGTTCTTTGGGTTAATTTTCGAGTTTCACTTTACACTTGAACTGTGTTATTGATATTTCAGCACATTTTATATATATATACAAACATTACGAAAAATTTATCTACATATTTCGTAAAATATACATTATCTTTGGAAGAGAAATTCTCACAAATTTATAATTTTTTAACGTTCAAATAAAAATATTTCCATTGTTATCGTATGAACACCTGCATAAGAAGCAGTCAATTCATTTTCATTGCGCGTCGTTCAGAAGATAGCAATAAATTATTATGAATAAACTTTCTCGTATAATGAGAATCACGACAATGGTTATTCTATTTTACTCAATTATTTTTATATTTATTTATTATATCTTACATTTTTTCGGTAAAACAATTTCTATAAATTATCTTCTTACTAAATTTCATAGTATAGATTTTGATTTAATATTAAAATTTCTATCTTTAACTTCCGTTTTTAAAACTAACGATCAAAGACTAATTTAATAAATAAAAATAAATATAATGCAATAAAATATTTATCAATTTCGTAATTTAAAAAAAAAAAAATTGTGCGTAATTGTCATTTATTGTACAATATTATGAAAGAATTAGAAAGCAAACGGATATTAAAAGTTGTCTTGAAAATACAATTCAGATTGAATTTTAAAAAGTAAAAGCTATAATAAATTGCGCCGTGTCGTGATGTTTCTAAACCCTTATGGAATTCGAAGCACTTGCGGTTTAGAATCAATTTATTATAATAATTATTATTCTAAAAGTGAAAGTTTTAGATAAAAGAGATCGTCATCAAAATATTTAGAAAGGGAAAATTCTTAAATTGATATTTGATTTCAATTACTATTTAAATAATTAAAAATTTTAAAACTATTTTATTTTTTATTTTTTCATAAAAGTGTTCTGATTTTTTATTAATTATCTAATTTTAGGACAAATTCACGCGAGATATAATTCAAAGGGCTATTACTTCTCATGGGCCGATCCACGAACACAGGGACAAGAATCCGATTGGCTTACGGCTAGAAACTTTTGCAGAGAACGTTGCATGGATCTTGTTTCTTTGGAAACTTCAAATGAAAATGAATTCATCAAGAAACATATTGTAAACAGTGAGTTTCTTTTTTTTAAAGAATGTCTCTCTCTCTTTATTTTTAATTAATTGAATTCAAATATTTACGTAAAATCTTCTTTTTTTTCAGATAACGTTAAGTACATCTGGACTTCCGGTCGTCTTTGTGACTTCAAAGGATGCGACAGACCCGATCTTCTTCCATCCAATATTAACGGTTGGTTCTGGACCGCTGAACTTCAAAAATTGGCACCATCCAATGTTCGCCATCAAAACGATTGGTCTGCAAGTGGAGGGTAAATTTTTTTAAATATTAAAAAAATTAATAATATAAAACTAAATTTTAGAAACCAAAAAAATTCATAATTTTTTTTTTCTTTAGAATTGGACGACCTCAGCCTGATAATCGTGAAGCAATTCAAGGAGGAGCACCCGAAAATTGTCTCGCGATTCTTAATCAATTTTACAATGACGGTGTTAATTGGCACGATGTTGCTTGTCATCATAAAAAACCATGGGTTTGTGAAGAAAATGACGCACTCTTGAAATATGTTCGTTACAACAATCCCAATTTACGTGTTTAAAAGTTTTAATTAATTTTTTTTTAAAAACTTAATTAAGACTGCGTTATTAATGACATTTTTTTTCAAACAATTTCTTTTTTTTGTTTTGTAAAAGAATTTTTATTGTTTTTTATTTTTAGATGAGTTCAAATTTTTCATTTAAGCTAAGTGACTGAGTAGTTGTGTACAAATAATGTATTTATTGCAAAAGGTGGACATCGATAATTTGTTTGTTTTTTTTATTATTATCGTCTGTTAATGTGTGTTTCCTTTTTTTTTTCAAGTAACTGAATTATTATTAGAGAATATAACAGTCAATTAAATGAACTATTTATGTTGTATGAATGCTGTACTGAATTCTACTCTTCAGAATGATTTTTCTTTATTAGTAAATATTTTTTCTTCTTTAAGAAATATCCTGATTTTTTATTTATCCTAAAATATAATTATTATTTCATAATAGATTTTTTTTTTATATAATAAATTTAATATAATAATTAAAATTCAATTTTTTTTATATCTCTATACGTCTATATGAACTTGAAGTCTTTAATGATTTTGATAATATACAAATTGTTTATTAAAATGAAAACGATAACAATTAGAAAAAGATATTTACAAAATTTTTCATTTTTTCCCCTCGACCATGATAATATGATAGCCAAATTTAGTTTTGACTGGTGGATCCGTATAAACTGGAGAGCCCAAATTTGAAATTGGAAGTGCAAATGCTGCTTCTTGAAAAGGACCAACCATAGATCCTCGTGTCATCCAACCCAAATCGCCCTAATGTTAGAAAGTCTCTTTAAAAATTTTTTTATCTATTTGATTTGAATTATTTTAATTAAATATATTTTTTAAATTAAAAAGAATTATGTTAAATAATATATAATCAAATTTAATTTTAAAAGAAAATGTAATTAAATTGATAACAGTGATTAATTTAAAATTTAAATATAAAAATGATGCTTTACTAATTATTTATTGAATTCAATTTTAAAAAATAAATTCCCTTTGAGAGCAATGATTTTTAAATAAACAAATACAAAGAAAACTCACCCCTGATCTTGCTTTATCTTCACTATATGCAGCAGCAACTTCATTAAATTTTTGTCCGGCTTTTAATTTTTCCATAGCTTCCAAAATTTTTGATTGCTTTTCACAAAGAATATGCCTAACCTAGAAAAAAATTATATAAATTAATTGTTTACTATGCAAATTTATTTTTTATCTTTTACATATAATAGAATAATAAAAATGTAATAAATACCTTGACTGCTGTTCCTCCTTTTTTGTCGGCTTTTCCTTTATCACTGTCATCAGCAGATTTTGATTTTCCTGCTTTAGCTCCACCTGCAGCTTTTTTCGGTGGCATATTCAACCTTTATTACTTAACTCCGAATTATATTAACTATTAAAAAATAGTCAAAAACAACGAAAAAATTAATTAAACAACAATTCAATATCCACGTGAAAATATTAAAACATGAAACGCACGGTATGTAATATAACAAGGTTTAGCCTTATTTGGACAAATAAGTCAGCTGACTTGCTATATGTCAAGCCATTGGTTACTGAGATAATTGCGCGAGTTTTTGAAAATTTAAAATAACATTATTATGTAGTAATATTATTTAATTAAATTTAATTTAATTTAATAAAAGATATATTACTTATATATTTTATTTATATTATATTATATAATAAATTATTATAATATTATTATTAAAATATATAAGAACAATTTATTCCGATAAATTTAAATAATGGCGAGATTAAAGATAAAGTGGGAAACTAATTTTGTACTATATTCTATTAGTAAAATATACACAATTAATTTCGATTTTTTATAACAAAATTATTTGTAACGGTTAGTTAGCAGTAACTTTTTTTATTTCTTTACTTTGAATTCAACCGCGCAACATTTTAAGATGAACGTCATTATTACCGAGATTTCATTGGATGAGATTTTTTTACCTGCGCTTGGTGGAACCTTGTTAGTTGGATCATGTTTAACTACTCCTCTCTTTAAAATGGTCAAATAATGTAAATATGTAATGGCCGCCTCGTGTTGTTTTTGCTTACAAGTGATAATTATTTTTCATTGAATATCAAATTACTATTGTGAAGAAATTATTCTTCAAGTGAAGTTTACAATACGTGAGAACGTGGCAATTTATTGTGTCGTGAATGATACAATTTTTTCAAATTTATTGTTGATGAAATTTAATGAAACGTGCTCGGCATAAGGGGGGAAAAAATGTAAAAAAATACTTTTTTGACACTTGCATTGTGCACATTTTTTTATAGGACTTACATAATGGACACAAGTCATGATTATATATTAATGCGAGAAAACAAGAGCAAGAGTTGAATTGAGGTTGGAAAAATGGAACACCCATTCCTAGAATTGTTTACCAACGGTTTGTGAGTCATAAATGTTATTTGTTCAACGTGGATTGGTAATTGGATTTTAATTCTTCGTGGAAAAAAAAAGAATAACAAGGCCCTCATCATGGTTCATACACCAAGTGCATATACTTATAATTTTTGGACAAAGACCCCAACAGAAGTTGTTGAACTCACATGTCTTATGCCAAATGGAGTTCTCATACCATTGGAAACAAATCGGAACACAACACTTGCCGAAATCAAAGAGGTAAACATTTCAGTTTAATTTTTTTATATATATACAATTTCTAATAAAATTTTACTATATATTTTTTTATATTTAATTTTTGTTAAAAAAAAAAAATATTTTTATATACGCAATATTTACATTTTTATATTAATTTTGGTTTATTTAAAAAAATGCATTTCTTAATAAAATGAAGATAATTTTAGTTTAATGATTTAAAAAATATTCATGTCATAATAATGGAAAAACTCGTGATAAATAAATAATGTTTTCTGTATTTAAAAGTTCCCAATCACAAGGAAACAGTGACGTTGTTATTGCGTAAAAAATTACGTATGTCTACCTTTATTTATAAATATTTATCTTTGTTTCGTAAGTTTTTCTTTTTTAAATTGGTTAATGACAATAATTTTAGAGACACTTATTTTTTTTTATAGTTTTTCCTTTTAACCCGATAAAAATCGAGTTCTTACAATTTTGTAAAAATGTTATTTTGTTTTATATTTTTCATAATATTTATCTTTTTTTTTTTTTTTGTTTTGATCACTTAATTATTATTATTTTTAAATGACGTGCAGGTTAAAAGAGTAAACAAACACGTTTTTTCTTAACTAATTCTATTTTAAAAATAGTTTTCTGTTTGTTTATTTAAAGGTGGTTGTTATGTAACAAAATTGTATTAAGTAAGAGGTTTTTTTTTTTGTTCGATAATTTGAAAAACATAGTTGGATAATAATAAACTGAAGCTATTTTTATGAATGAAATTTTTTCAGATAATATTAAAAATTTACTTTTTATAAAAGAATTAGATTACATAAAAGTAAATTAAATGAAAATTTCTTGGCGAACTTTTGGAACAAAAAAAAATTATTTTCTTTATCATCTTTATCATTACGTGAGATTAAAAAGAAAAAAAAGAAATATTATTGTTTCGTGAAAATACGATTTTATTACACGTGTCGTTGAATTATAACTTTAAAGCACATTGCCATAAATTATTAATATTTTTTTTTAATATTGCGTTTGACGTAAGAGAAATTGATGTCAAATTTATTTGTATTTTTAAATTTCATTTTTTAAAATTAAATGGAAGCAGTTGCTAAAATTTTTAATGGTAATTTTTTAGACTCGAATGTAATTATTTATTGTTTTAATTAATTTGAAATAAATGTTTGTAGGACTTATGGGACGAAGCAAGCAAATATCCTCTACATGGAACATTAAGAGATGCACCGTCATACGTCTTCTCGTGTATTAATGCAAATGCCGAGGCAGAAGAATTACGAGATGAATCGAGACGACTGTGTGATATAAAGCCATTTTGTTCAGTGTTAAAAGTAATTGAACGTGAGGAAGTGAAAGGAGATAGAAATTTAGATTCACAAATTGGTCTTCTCATTGGAAAAGGATTGCATGAATTTGCAGCCTTGAAGAATTCTGAGGTGAATGACTTTAGATGGAAAATGAGGGTCCTCGGTGATGAAATTGCACTTGGCCGACAAAAGAAATCATGGATTGAAAAAGTACAACATCAATATCCATTGAGGCTAGCGAATAGTCCAATTTTACCGAAACACATTGAATCAAGACTTCCCGATGGCAATATTGTGTTACTGACGAAATTCGAAAATACCGAGGTAAGATAATAAATTAGAAAATTAAAAAAGTATTTTTTTTTTTTATTAACGTACATAATATTAAAATATCAAGTGAAATAAGTGAAAATTTAGTTTCTAAAATCTTAAGATTAATTATAAATATCTTAACAGTTTTGTACAACATATATTAATTATTCATGAAAATTCTAAAATTACTTATGTGAATCACTGGAAATGTAAACAATCGGATAATTCATTTGCTTTGCTTTTAATTGACGTACATAACTCGATTGCGGTTCACGAGTATCATCTGAAAATTGTAAAACTTTTTTTTCCTTTGGTTCTTTTGAATATTTCATTGATTTTGATAATGCTGATTTTAAAATTGTCGAATTTCCAACAATATTCTGAATATTTTCCTTATTTGATTCTTTATTTGCCAATGAAATATGATTCATTTTTTGTTGAATATTATCTAAAGAAGAACTTGTGGAAACTGGTTGAAAATCTTCTATATCATCGTTGATTTCGATTTTTAAATTTGATGTATCAATTGGTTGTGTTATTGACATATCCTCTGTGTAATTTAATGTTTTAGATATTTTACTCATACTTTGTATATCATCACGATCAATTGGTTGTGTTATTGACATATCTTTAGTGAAATTTAATGTTTTAGAAATTGTATTCGATTTTTCCTTATTAGAATTGAGAATAACGGTTGAATCTAAATCAATACATGAATCATTTGTGGCATCTGTAAGAGACATTTCTGTTAGATTATTAATTGATTGTATTGATTGTATTAAATTCTCTAATGTGAAATTTGTCTCGTCGATTAATTCTCTCTGTAAACTTGATTCTGGTTCATCTTCAAATTCATCATCCACTTTTAAACTTTTTTGGTTCTTTTTAGTTTTTAATATTTCTTGAATTCCGCTCGTTGAATGATTTAGATTTTCTTGACATCGATTCTTTATCTCTGAGAGATTAGCCTAGAAAAAAAAGAGGAAAATTAGGTTTTCGAAAATTAAAAAAATAAAAATTAATTAAATACCTCTAAGGACAATGCCGAGTATTTCCAATAACGCAATCGATTTTTAATTTTATAGGAAAATTCCTCTTTAAGTAAAGTGCGAATTGAATTGTTTTCAATTTGTGTTTGTAATTCTTCGATTTCTTTTTTTTTCGATTTAAGTAGAGTTTGCAGATAACTGAAAAATAAGATAAAATTTAATATATAACAAAAAAAAAAAAAATGAATATATTTTTCAAAATTTTCATATTACTTCATATTGGAACTCATTTCTTGCTCCTTTTGAAATTCTTTGGTCTTCTTTTGTTCTTCTTTTAATGCATTTTCTAAATCTCGGATTCTTTTTCTATAAGCGTCGACAAGAGCTTCTTCCTGATCTGCGGTTTCGAGACAAGATTCTTCATATTCACGAATTAATTTCGCTTTTTCCATTTTTAAACTTTTTATTTCGTTTTCTTTTGCTTGAAAAGATCTTTGCATTTGAATATGACTGACACGCATTGATTTCATTTTTTCCATCATATTCTGTCGACGATCCTCCACTTCGGCAAACAATGAATTTCCTATTTAAAAAAAAAAAAACAATGAAAATTGATTATTGAGATCTTTCATTTTTTAAATAATGGAAAAATTTTGTTTATACCTTTTTGATGATCATTAAGAGGAGCCTGTTTGAGTGAATTTAATTCTATACGACAATTTGCAAGTTCTTCTTGAGTATTTTCGATAATTTCTTCCTTTTCATGCAAACGTGTTCGGAAATCCTGGAAAAGTATAAATTATTTTTGTGAAGAACTTAAGAAAGTAGTTTAAGGAAATCATAACAATAACATGACGTTAATTATTATATTACCTCTATTATTGTCTGTAAATTGGAGACTTGATTTTGAAGACTACTATTAATTGTTTCTAATTCAATAAAATTATTATCCCTGTCTTCTAAAATATTCATTAATTCTTTTACTTTACTATCATTATGTTCTGTTGTTTCCTCATAAATTGTTTCTTCTTCTATTGTTGGTAATACAAGTTTTTCTTGTTTTTTCAAATCCACATTTTCTGATTTCAAAATTTGAATTTCATCCACTTTAGAATGTAAATCATCTTCAATTTCTTTTATTCGAGATTGAAAATATTTCCTCTCTTCGTTGAATCTTTAATGTTTTTTATAAATTACAAATTAATGTTTATTTTATTAATAAAAACAAAAAATTGAGAATAATATTTTCACTATCAAAAATCAAAACACTATTTTAAATTTACTTACTTATTTGTTAATTTTTGAATTTCAGTATTAAGTGAATCTGTTCGTTGAGCAGATGCTTCTTCATAGAGATATTTTATTTCTTGATTCATTGCTTTAGTTGATTCCAATTCACGACGTAAAACATGAATTGTTTGTTGATATTCTTCATTGCTGCTTGTTAATTTAACCACTTGATTTCTAAGATTTGAGGCTTCTTCCAATGATTCATTTAATAATGAATCAGAACTAGTATTATTTGTAAATGATTTGTCACCCATTTTTGTGCGATTTATAAATTATTCTATTGTTGCAAATTGTTTTCTTTTTTTTTCCAATTAATAAGAATTTGTTTTGCTGTTTAAAAGGACTCGTTTATGATTTAACGGTTTTACGGTGAATGACCAAGACCAACGCGGTGACTGTAGATTGAAACACGAAGCCAAACGTTGTTTGCTTCGTCGGTAAAACAGAATTATTTAAAATTTAAACACGTTCAAAATAATTAGTTTTAATAATAATAAAAATTATTAATTATCAATAAAAATCGATGGAAAATATTTTATTAAAATTTTATTAATATTTAATTATTATAATTTTATAATTATATAATATAATTTAATTTACAATATTTAATTTATAATATTTAAATAATTATATTTATAAAATTATGTAATAATTAAATGCTTGGTCTGTCCTTCTGTCCTAACTTGAAGTTGGCCTTTTCTGATGATTTCACGAGTTTTTTTTGAATAGTAATCTTATGACGTGTCAAATTTTGACAATTCTTTTCAATTCTTTTTCTCATTTTTGCCAAAGTTGTATAATTCTGTTTCCAAATTTCGGAATAAGTTTCTTTAAAATTCCAAATTCGAAAATTCAATTCACGAAGCTGAAGTACACAACGTTTACCAACGAAATTTTTTTTAAAGTTGTATATTGATTCAAAAATTGTATACAAATACAAAAAATTTATGATGACAAAAAAGATGCGCCAGGAAATTTCGTACAAGATAGTAATTTGAAAAAAATTTATTTTTAAAAATTAATTTTTAAGGTACCAGGGGCCAACGAATACCTATTAAATATTAATTATAAAAACACAGGCCTCGAATCAACTTAAAGACACAAAAAAGTCGTTTTATTCGATTTATATTCCAAAAAAGTGGATTTGTTTTTTATTTTAACAAAAATATTTTACAGATTTTTAAATGAAAAATTTTTTTTTTAATAATAATCCTTTTCGAAGGGTTAAAGTTGAAATTATTTGAAATAATTAAATTTCAAAAGATATTGTTAATTTTCAAACAATTATTAAATTTTACAGAACTAAAAATAATTTATCAAACAATTTTTGGAAAACATTTTTCAAATTTAATTGAATTTTCAAAGATTTAAAATTGAGATTTTTGAAATTAATTGAAACTTTAAGTGATTTTTAATTAAAATTTTAGATGATTTCACTAAAAATTTATTAGAAAATGCGGACAAAATACAATAAATTTGAAAATCATTTTTAATTGAAAAATGGTTTCAGATAGTTAAATTTTCAAAGAATATTATTAAAATAGTTAAAAATAATTGAATTTCCTTAGAGTAATAAATGAAATTATTAAATTTCAAAAAAAAAAAAATTTTCGATGGAAAATTTTAGAAATAATTAAATTTTAGATGCTTTTAAATTCAAATTATTGAAAATTCAATTAATTTTTAATTCAATTTTTTGAGAATAATGAAATTTTATTTGATTTTAAATTTGGAAAATAATTGAATTTTAGTTGATTTTGAATTGAAAATTTTGGGAAATAATTGAATTTTAATTGAAATATTGGATAATAATTTAATTTAAGTTCATTTTTGATTGAAAATTTGGATAATTAATTTTGAATAGAAATTTTAGAAAATAATTGAATTTTATTTTATTTTAAATTGAAAACTTGGTAAATAATTAAATTTTAAATTGAAAATTTTGGATAATTATTGGATTTTTAATTGATTTTGAATTAAAATTTCGGGTAATAATTGAATTTTAGTTTATTTTGAATTGAAATTTTTAAAAAATAATACAATTTTATTGTGATATATTTTTTTTAAATTATAAACAATTGTTAAATTTCATAAAAAATTTAATTGAAAAATAATTTTGATATAATTGAATTTGTGATGTATTTCATTAAAATTATTAAAAATAATTAATTTAGTGAAGAATCATTTTAGTTCAAAATTTGTTAAATAATTGAATTGAAGAAGATCTGAAGAAGATCTACCTTTTATACTAAAAAAATGTATTTTATTTACATTTTTTTTCAAATGTAAAAAAAAAAATGTCGCATTTTATTAAAATAAGTCGATAAAAGTCGTATTTTTGAAAGAAGTCGGAAAATGTCGTATAATTCGAGGCCTGTAAACATATAATTTTCATTATTATCATTTAATATGTAATAATATTCTAATAAATTAAATTATTATTCATAATATTAATCTTTAATTTCTTTATAACAAACAATTAAATACTCAATTTGGCGCGCGTTTAATTTTGCTAGTTTATTTAGAATGTTGTTTTTATTTTTTAGACGTCATTTTCGTTTCAAATAACACATTCGACAACGCCACATCAATTGCTTGTGCAAATTTTAAATAAACGAGCAAACACATTGATGTCCCGAGGAGAGAGACCTGGTGACTTTATTCTCAAAGTTTGTGGACAAGAGGAATATTTAATTGGCGAATATCCTGTGCTGCAATTTATTTATATTCAAGAATCATTGTCAAGGGATATGACGCCAACTCTTTTGGTTCTCAATAGGGAAAAAGTGATTCTTGCTAATGAAAATGCATTTGATAATCCCGAGGTAGATACTCTTAAGCGTACAAGACCATCTTCATCGACATTGACATTGCGTAGAAAAGGCAAACTCATATCAGTTTGGAAAATTGAGGATCAATTTTCATTTACCGTCAATGGCATATGTAGACTTAATTGTGACGCAGCACATCGAACAGTTGAGGTGAGAGATTATTAAATTGAATAATAATTTTTAAAAAATAATTTGAATTTAATTTTTTATAATTTAATTATCAGATTGGCCTACAAGCGGGTCTCTTTCACGGTGGTAAATCGTTGTGCGAGAGTCGAAAAACCAAAGAAACTGTTGTCAATTTAGATGGGAGTTGCGAATGGGAGGAAACGCTCAAATTTGATATTAAAGTACGTGACATACCTCGAATGGCGAGGCTTTGTTTTGTACTTTATGAAATCAGCAAGACTGCAAAAGGACTGAAAAGCCGAAGACTAATGAAAGACTCAAAGCAAGAGTATTTTATCAATCCTCTATGCTGGACAAATACAACAATTTATGACTTTAAAAGTCAGTTGAAAACTGGCGCAATGACACTTTATACATGGACTTATGCTGAGGATATGCAGAATGAAGATTTGCTTCATCCACTTGGAACTGTTGTGTCAAATCCTCATATTGATCGTGCTGCCGCTTTAATGTTAACCTTTCCCAAGTAGGTCTTAAAATTCGTTTACAAATTATATTTTTAGTTTTCCTTGTTATTTACTTATTATTATACTTTATTGAAAGAAATTGAAAAAAAATATTTCCTTTACTTTAGTTATGGAAAAGATAAATCCGTTTTGTATCCATCGCCCGATAAAATGGTGGAGTATGCAGCGAAATTGCAAGAATCTTCAAATGAATCGATAGAAGAGGAACCGAGTCAAGAAACTGATGCTAATACTCAGCAACAGTTGGAGCATATGAGAACGTTAGTTGACAGAGATCCTTTACATGAGCTTCATGAACAGGAGAGGAAGACTATGTGGTGTTTAAGACGTCATTGTCTTCGTCAAATACCATCACTATTGGCAAAACTTCTTCACTGTGTCGAATGGAACGATCACAGGTACAATAATTTAATAATCATTTCAAATTATTAAAGGGCAAAAATAATTTTATTAATGTATTCTTTATATTTGTTAATTAGGGAGGTTGCAGAAGCCACGGCATTAATTCAACAATGGCCAAAATTACCCGTGGAACGAGCTCTCGAATTATTGGATTACGCTTACGCTGATCAAAATGTTCGAAGTTTTGCCGTACGATGTTTACATGATGTTAGCGACGAGGATCTCAGTTTATTTCTACTTCAACTTGTTCAAGCATTGAAACATGAAAATTATTTGTCATGCGAATTGACGGAATTTCTACTCAGGAGGGCACTTAATAATCAAAGAATTGGACATTATTTGTTTTGGCATCTACGGTATTTATTTTATCATTCATAACAAATTAATGAAAGAAGATTTAGTTTATTTAATTTTGTAAGAAACATTTTTTTAATAATATAATTTTGCTTTTAAAGATCGGAGATGCAAGTTGGCGCTGTTTCGGTTAGATTTGGTTTAATTTTGGAAGCTTATTGCCGTGGAAGTCAACAACATATGCGAGCACTATTCAAACAAATGGAATGTCTAGATAAATTAAAAACAAGTATGGAACAAATGAAATTGCGAGGAAAGGATCGTAAGGCCGTTTTACAAGCTTTTCAAGATTTTATTCAAGAGCCCCATTGTCAAGATACACTATTGAATGTTCTCAATCCATTGGATCCTGTCTTCAAATGGAATCGAATCAAGTAACAATTTTTCTTTTTATTCTTTTAATCGTTATTTAAAATTTTTTCTTTAATATAGAAACAAAATTGTTTTATAGAGAATAAAAATGATTGAATTTTCAGAATCGAAAAGTGCCGAGTAATGGACAGTAAGAGACGACCACTTTGGCTCGTTTTTGAAAATATCGATCCTTTTGGCGATGATATTTATTTGATTTTAAAATACGGCGATGATTTACGACAAGATATGTTGACATTGCAAATGCTTCGAATTATGGATAAATTATGGAAGAGAGAAGGATTAGATTTACGTATGAATCCTTATGGTTGTATTTCAACTGAAAATCGAATGGGTTTAATTGAAGTTGTTCATAATGCGGAAACAATTGCTAATATACAAAAAGTTAAAGGCATTTTTTCAGCTACTGCCGCCTTTAAGTGAGTTTAACTATCAATTATTAATTATTTTATTTTAATTTAATTTAATTAATTAATTTTCTTTATATTTGTTATTAAATATCAATAGGAGAGGATCGCTTTTAGCATGGTTGAAGGATCACAATCAATCCGAGACGGAATTAAATAAAGCAATTGAAGAATTTACATTGAGCTGTGCGGGCTATTGTGTCGCGACTTATGTCCTTGGTATTGCTGATCGACATTCGGACAATATTATGGTGAAAAAAACGGGACAATTATTTCACGTGGACTTTGGTCATATTCTTGGACATTTTAAAGAGAAATTTGGATTTCGACGTGAACGTGTTCCTTTCGTATTAACGAATGATTTTGTTCATGTGATTAATAAAGGACAAACAAAAAAAGGTGGACAAGCCGTTGAATTTCAACGTTTTCAAAATTATTGCGAGCAAGCATTTCTCGTTTTAAGACGTCATGGTGGTTTGATACTTTCCCTTTTTGCAATGATGATCTCCACTGGCCTACCAGAACTCTCATCGGAAAAAGATCTCAATTATTTGAGAGATACTCTCGTAAGTAATAAATTATTTTCTAAATTTAAATTCACTGAATTTTTTTTTTTTTAATCTCTAAATCTTTTTAAGGTTCTCGAGATGTCGGAAAGTGAGGCACAATTGCATTTTAGAAGTAAATTTGACGAAGCTCTTTGCAATTCGTGGAAAACTTCGCTCAATTGGGCCTCGCACAACATGTCAAAGAATAACAAGACGACGTAATTTATGTTCGTTCCTGTCCGGTAAGACTGTCTCGTTTTTAATCGTTATTAATAGATAATTCTTTTGAAACGAGAATTATTCATTTCATGAGTATTTTTTGCAATTTATGATTTATTATTCTATATATATATTGTTTCAACGTAATAGAGAAAAAAAAGAAAATTCGAAAAGTTCTGAAAAAAAATAAAGATAAAAGAGTAATCGTTAAATTTTTTTGCTGGACAAATGTCTTTGGGCTCTTTAAAAAAAAAAATCTTTAATTAACTTTTGGACACTTATTTGAATTTGTTTCTAGCATTGTGATAATTTTAAAAGCAATATTAACTTGGCTAGAACGCATCTTCTTTTTTTTCCCCGTGGACTTATTTAGTGACTATAATTATGTAGATAAATGTGTTCGATCTTTTTTTTTTTCTGGAAAATATCGATTTCTACAATTAAATGAGAAAATCGTTTAAGGTCGCGCTAATTATTTCCCTCTTTTCTCGAGAAAGTTTAGACTATTTGTCTGTTTGTCGATGCAAATCAATTCATTAATGCGAATTATTAGATTAATTAATTTGAAAAAAACAATAATTTTCTTCAATATTAAAAATAAGAAAAGTTAAAAGTTAATATTTAAAAAGAAATGTAAAATTTTTTCAAATTCGCATCACTCGAATTTGTTTTTGTTGTAGCGAACAGAAATTTATACTGTGAATTTCGTCGACTGATATTGAATGGGTGGAAAGAATGAGGATTAGTAAATTTAGATTGTAAATAAATAAGAATAATTCGTCGTAAGTCTGTTCGTGCTGCGATATGATTAGTATGAATGACGATTGATAGGAAATGAACCAATTTCAATAAAAAAGAAAACAAAAATAAAATAAAATAAAATAAAAAAAAAACGTAAGGAAAAATCAACGTTTTTCTATAAACTTCATTCGAATTGTGAAGTTATTAATTTTTACAAAGGAATTCATGTAAAATCTGTGATAAAAAAAACTACAACAGAAAGAAATTTAATATAATTTTTTTTTTTTTTTGCACTTGAAACAATTTATTTGACTTTTGGTTCAGTTCCGCTATAATTGTTTCATTGCCCAGATTAGTCGTTTTGCTGGGTTTTTTCAAAACTCTAGGCAAAAGTATTAAGATTTACATTCTATGAAAAGTATTCTATTAAAAATTAAGAATATTCGACTCATTGATGTGATATAAAATAATTATTTTCAATGAGGAAATAAAATTTAAAATATTTTGCTCTAAATTTATAAAAATATAAAAAAAAACTAAATTTATCATTACGTAGTAAATGAAGTAACTTTTTTTAATTTTATAGTTTTATAAACTTTGGTTGTTTTTTTGGTAATTTGTCATCAATGGGTTGAAAATACTTAAAGCTAGTTCGACTTGACTGGATAGCTGAGAAAAATTATTTAAATTTTCTCGTATAGCTTTTCGCAAGTATTTAAAAAATTTGTTTCCGTTTTGGAATCAAAATTTTGGGTGATTTTTGACATAGTTGACTAGCACAGTTTTCAAACAAATATATATATATATAATAAATAAAAATTCAAGAAATGAGTTTTGAATGTTTGGATAAAAATATGTTACATAATTAATGGAATTTAAATTTAATTAAACAATTTAAATTACATATTAATTCAATAATTAAAATTGTTTATTAATTAATGATTATCTTAATTAATTGTCCAAACTTTTCGAAACACATTTTTGCTTGAATGATATAAAAAAAGGTGATAATTAGAAAAAATTTAACTTAAAGTCGTATATTCTACTCAATCGGACAGTACTGGTCTTTATAGTGCTGTAAAAAAAATTTTCATTTCTCAACATTGTTTCTAAGATTTCGCAAAGTTCTCTTAGATAATAAAACAATTCTCAAGGTTTTCTTTTCATTATTTGGAAGTTTGGAACTTTCAAATAGAAAAAGTTGGATTAATAACAATAATGAAAAATTGTACATTAAAAATATTAATTTAAGAATCAAATCATTTTCAAGTTTTGAATAAATTTCTTCATTATTACAAATAATATTTTTCAGTATAAAGAAGTAATTAATTTTAAAGAAGAAATTTAATTTTAAACACAATCTTGCAAATATTTACAGCGACAACTTTTTAATCCACTTTTTCTCATTAATAAAGTAACTTGAAAATTTGTATAGCACTAAAAATATGCAATTTAAAGTAGAAAATTTTTTTTCTAATCTTAGGATTAATTTCTTTTTTAGTTCGAGATTAGTTCAAATTGATTATTTCTCTTTTTTTTCTTGTGAGGCCTAAATAATTAGAAATCGGAAAATAATTTCATTTTTGATTTCATATTGAAAAGCGCTATTTAAAATTTTCAGTGTTTAAAAAAAATATCGTATTGTGAAGTGTAAGAATGATATGACTTGTGGTAACTGATTTTTTTTTTTTTAAATAATTAATTTTCGTTATAATTTTAATAATATTGTAAATACCTTCAAACATATTCAAAATACCAAACTCATTGTATGTCTGCGCTATTTATAAATTCACTGTACGAAGTAACGAACAAAATAAAAGCGTAATATGTAATATACATTTTTAAGGAGATTTTTATTATTATCAGTTAACATTTCAAAAATTAATTATACTCATTATTTAAAATTTTTTAAATTTGAATTAATTCAAAGATAGCTTGAAGTTGCCTACAAATCAAATTCCGTATTTGTATTGGCAACACTGCTGATCTTTTATTTAACCTACATTTTATATATATTAATTTGAAAATTTCCACCTAATAAAATTATAGAAAGAATAATTTTATTTGAATTAAAAATATTTAATTTCAATTTTGTAAATTTGATAAATCACTAATGTGTTCTTTTTTTAATTTTTCAGAATTTTGATTTAAAGATACGCGCCAATTTAACGGAACCGGAAACGCATGCGCAGGAAGTTGACATTTTTTTGGCAGTCGGCCCTGCACCGTTTATGTAAAAAGATTGCTTACGTTAAAAAAAGTGTCAGATTTTTTTATAGTTGCAGATCTAAATTTATAAAGTTGACGAATAACTATTTTACCTCGTGTCTCCATGTGTTAATGGAGAAAGAGTGAGATTGTTGTGACAAAAAAGTTTAAAAAAAAAATAATAAAACAAGTGCCAGGAAATGAAGAGAGCCTACAACATTATCAAATAAATTTATGAAACGCAATTTCATACGATTACATTTAATTAAAAAAAAAAGTTCATTATCGAACTTGAGATTTATCCTAATTGTAAGTAAATTTTATATTTTTCATTTATGTTCACAATAGAATTTTATTACCTCATTCATGTTTTTAGAAAAATACTTTTTTACGCGACTGAAAACAAATCTCTTATGGCGGATTCATTTTAACCTATACATTTTATTCCATATAGATTGTTATTAATTTTAAAAGTAAAATTTAAAAATATACATGAGGTAATAGAAAATTTTATTTAAATCGTCATTTTTTCAAGTATTTGTATGGAGGTTATGAAATTTGTATAAGGATTCAAAAGGCAAATACTTAATCCTTTCGCAGTGTTTACATATTGCTGATGTAATATATTTGGAATAGATTATCGATAATATATGTTTCACGGATTAAAAAAAAAAAGTAGAATTACGACGTTTAGTCACAATTTGAATAAATTTACAATATCCTTCGAGTTTGAAAACAAGATAAATGAAAAGAGGTTATAATTTTAAAATACATATATATATTGCAAATGGTAATAATGTTTTTAAAAGGGGGAGAGAGCAAAGGGAGAATTGCAAAATGAGCAAGGTCTTCTCTTAAATCAAGTTTCACGCAGACTTCAACAACCTTCCTCCTATTCCCTCTCTATTTTATTTCTTTGAAGGGGGGATATGTATATTTTTAGATGTGAACATGTGCTTCAGTTCACGAGATTCAACCTTTAGTTTAAAATTTCATTACCTCCAGAATTTTGAGAAAGAGAACATAGTCTTGAATCGTGATAATTTCCATTTGTTGATAGATTTTTCAAAATTTAAATACTTATGCTATTTAACAAAATAATAATAATAGTTAATCATGGTTTTAACTAGAAGCATGTCAAAAGAACGTCAACAGCGAAATACAAGATCACGATCATTGACTCCACAAGTTTTAAGTCAAAATCTCGTGGACTCTGAAACAACAGAACATCACTATGATCTCAGAAAAAGAAGTCGTGAGCGATCTTATACCCCCGGGGAAGTATCGAGCAGCCGAAGATCAAGTTCAAGATCACTGTGAGTTTTTACAGGAGAGAAAAGCTAATCTGTCATTCTTTGTTTTTCTTCTTTTTTTTTTGTAAATAAAAGAAAATTTATATTTAGAAATTAGGTTTCTAAAGAGCAATTTTTATGTTCGAGAAATCTCAATAAATAAATTTTAACGACAGGAGGGAAAAAAAAAAAAAATGATTTTGATTATTGGAATGTTTTGTTGATAAAAAAAATATTGCATCAGGTTTATTTTAACTTTTCTTAGACATATACGAAAGATAATTTCTTTTGTAATTTTCGAAATCATTCAACTTAAATGTTTAAAAAAATTTTTTAATTATTTATAAATAAAATTATAATTTTTATAAATTAATTTTTATTATTGTACAATTTATGTGAAAAAAATTTTGCAACAGACAAGCAAATGCTACAAAAAATAAAGAACAAAATATGGATATTATAAATGAACGAGAAGATGAATTGGAAAATCAAAAAGAAATTCAGGAAAATATTAACGAAAAAAAACCAGAACGACGTTCGGAGCGACAACGTGTTAAGAAACAAACAGTTTCAAACGGACAGAATGAAGTCAAAGATAATGTAGCTAATGCAAAAATTGAATGTAAAAGAAAGAGTGTTACACCGAAAAAAATGTTGACCAGCGATTATTCCTCTGAGGAAGGAGAACGAGAAGATCCTCCAAGTCGACCGGGATCTGCATATGAAATTTACAAAAAAGCCGGTGAATGGTGGAAGTAAGTTTGAATTTTTGTTATTATAAATAAAAAAAAAAAAAAAAAATTAGTTACAGAATGAAAATTTTAATAAAAAAAAAAGTGAAAAAATAATTTAAAATTTGTAATTACAAAAAAAAAATATTTTTTAATTATAGCAGATAAAAGATAAAAATAAAGATTATTTTACAAAAATTGTATTAAAATTTAATTAATTTTTTAAAATCTTAATTTGAAAAATACTTTTCGTATAATTGAAAATATCGATAAATTAGAAATAAGATTGAATTATCGAATAGTTTGTTTACTTTATTTCATAAATAAAAATATTTTGAATGCCCTCTATAGAAAATTCAAGGAGGTCATAAATATTTCATATTCTATTAATATTGGAGAAGTTTTCGATTATACATTTTTCTAATTTAGCTCTGTAATTTTGTTGTTGTTTTTTTTTTTTTTTAATTTCTTCAAAAGAAAAATGTTCTTTTTTTCTAAAATAGACGTTTATCATTGCAGTGTTTATCCTAAAACCGATTACACGTATTCTCGTGCATCGCAGTGTCGTTACGAAATTGCTCCAGGCATTTTGGCTATGCCTAATATGTCCCGACGTTCAATTCATTCCGATTGCAGTAGCACGCACGGTAGTTCCATATCAAATAGTCATCAAAGTTTAAATCTCGAAACTGGCGAAACTCATAGCAGCGAATTTGCCGATATTTCCTCAATAAAACAAGATAACATGGTACGTTGTTTTTTTTCTCTTTAATTACATATTTTATTAAATTATTATTATTTTTAAAATAAAAAAAAAAATTTTCTCGATTAATCTCTTGATGTGATAAATTTTTATTTTACGATTAATTAAATACTTTAGGTTGTTGATAGTGTTTACAATTTTTTTGTTAATTAGCTTTATTTCTGATAATGTTATTTTGTTAATTATAATAATTAATATTTATATTAATATTATTTATTCAATTTTATTTAATTATATGATTTAATTATTATTATTATTTTTTTAGAGAATGGAAAATGCTTCTCATATACATCATCAGGCTCATACCTCAGATTTTTCAGGGAAATCATCAATACTTTATAAAAGAACACATGTTGAACAGTATACATCACATCGAGAAATAGTTTATGATTCTAATCAATTATCTCCTCACTTATCACCAATTATATCTCCCGAAGAGAGGTTTGTATAAACTGAAATACTATACTTTTAAGAAAGTAATTTTTTTTAAACAAAAAAATTTGAGTCAAATTATAAAAAAAAAATATTATTTTTTCAAAAAAAACAGGTATAAATCAAATACAACTTTCATCGCGCGTAAATATGGTCATTTATCACAAGCAGATTCCGATACAGAATTAGATGAAGCAATAACCAGGACAAATACGGTGAATTCAAATGAAAAATCAAAAATTTCTAATCTATTTTTAAAAATCGTGTCAATTATTACGACAATATTTATTGGAACTTTAAGCTTTGTTACATTAGGTATCTTTCAAAAGAAGGAACAATTTACTGCTAGTCATAACTATCAACGATATCAAGGTGAGCTTTTTTTAAAAATATTTGCAAGCAATTTTTAATTCTATTTATGTAAATATATTAATGTTAAAATAATTTTTAAAATTTAACCATTACAGAATCAATCTGGAGTCGTTTGTGGAAAGTGTTTGATCATATTTTTGAAAAAGTTTATTTATTTTTAGTTAACATGATGTTATTAGATTCGTGGTTTTTAAGTCGATTAATGAAAATAAGACAATACATTCAAGGAAGACGTAATAAAATTTTTTGGATTGCATTATTGCCACTTCTTTTTTTGGCTGGTAAGTAATTTAAAAAAAATGCGGTTTCGGAAAATTTCTACAAAGAAAAATTACGAGAAATTTTATTTTTAATTCGTTTTTTTCTTTATCTTTCAAGCATTAAACTTTCTTTTTTTTCTCACTAAAATTGTAGCGCGGTATTTATCTTCTTTTTGTTTCAGGAGCTTACGTTATGCAAAAATATACTTTTACATGTCTGGATTATCTGAAAAATGTTCAAAACGACGTCACTGAGACGTCACAGCGTGTTATTAATGACATTTATGATATATCATTTATTGATTATGAACTTTTCATAAAATATTTCACATTTTATAAAAATTTTTCGTTGCCCCAAATACCAAGTGTGAACGTGTCTCTACCCGAAATTGGGTGGAATATTCCTTGGTAATTTTTTTCGAAAATTTTCGCGAGAAAGTAAAATTATGGTTTTTGTTTCTTTATATTACTAACAGTTTTTTGTAACTAACGAGTTTTTTTTTTAAAGAGGTACTTAATTACCTTCTGAATAGTGTTGATTTTCAATGATTTAGACATGTTTTCTCTCATACGTGTAAAAGTATTGAGTTTGATAGATATTGTTGTGTTTGCATTTTATTTTAGAGTTTGGTGTTTGGTTGCTTTAATTACCTTAGCTTTAAAGTATTCTTTCTGAAGTACTTTCAAAAAAAAAAAAAATTAATATATAAATAAAAAATGTTTATATTTAGAAAACGTTAAATTAAAAAATAGAAATAAATATTTATTTTGTTAAATTGGTTGATTTGAAAAAATAAATTTTTTTGGTCATTGTTTTAATACAATTTAAAATATTAATATGAATGCTTTTGAAAAATGAAGGATACTTCTGTGAATTTATTAAAATTTTGTCGTATCTTTTTGTATCAATTTATAGTCACTTTGTCAATAGCCAAAGTTATTTCACCAATGATTATATATGCCTTTATTATGGTGCCTTTAAAAAGTGATAAATCATTTTTTTTTTAATGAAATAGTCTATAGGTTGAGCATTTTTAGTGTAAGTTTATAAAAATACTAATAATGTTGTGTTTTTGCTTGTTACTAAAACTAGTATCTCAGTCACAGTTCCTTAAATTCTTATAAAATCACGAGGCTTTATAGTTTATATAATTTTATACAGTGGGCATTTTAAATAATAGTTACACAATTTTCTCGATATAATTCTCGGGGAAAAAAAACTGAATTTGTTTTCAGTTTAAACAAACTGCTTGAAAGTTTCTTTTTTAATTAAATTTTATTCAATTAGAAATGAATTTTTCTAATTGAAACACGTTCACTCTTTTTTTTTGCATTTATAATTCCTTTGAAGATCAACAAAGGGGTATTTGTCAAAATATAAAAAATCGTATCATTAAAAAAAAAAAAAAAATACAATTCTTGGTGACGTCGTAAAGTTTTCAGTATAATGGACATTTAAAAGATGCAGATATAATGGGAGAAGGATAGATGGAGGCTAAATCCGGAGATGATACAAGAATTCATGATTGAAGCAATATTTGACTGGTGAGTTCCTTCGTCTATCCTTCTCTCAGTTAACGTATATTGTTCCTTCACAAAAGTTTTCCAAGACACACATACAAAGATAATTTATTATATTAGCGAAAGTTTTGAAAAAAAAAATTAACCCTCTTTTTTTAATTATATAAAAACGAGATAAAAAATATTGTTACAGGATTCTGGTGTCTACCACGATTTTTCACAAAACAAACCGAAGAAATAGTGCCATCTTTTTATAATACGGCGAAAGAAGGATTTATCGTCGACACATCGCGAGAAGAAGAAATGAGATCACTTCTTCAAATTCTAACTGATAAAGTTCAACGATTAGAACGCAAAGATATGATGCAGACTGTAAGTTAAAATAATTTTCTAAAAATTTTAGTGTTAATTAAATTATTGTGATTAATTTTGATTTTATTAAATAGGAACATTTGAAAAATTTTACACAAGTAATTGAAAGTTTAAAGAATGAAAAGAATTACGAGACAATAAATGCAATGAAAGTGGAATTTGAAGCGTTACGCGATAATTATTTTCAACTAAAATCCTGTTGCGATTCAAATGTTCAAAAATTAACGGACGAAGATATTGAAAGTCACATCAATAGAGTTTTAGCTGGTTATTTCGGTAGTTCCACTTCAAAGGAAGAATTGTCTCGAGTCATGCAGAGTTTATTATTAATACGAGAAAATGACAATATACAAAAGGAAACAGTGAAAGGTTTGTAATTTAAAAGTAAAGCTAAAAAAATAATTTAACAATGCAATAAACTTTTCACGGGAGCGTATAGTTTATTGAAATAATTTAAAATTGATTACAAATTTTATTGATAGAATCAGAAGTGGAGAGAATAAGAGGCGATGTATCATTGGAGGACATGAGAAGAATTGTTAAAGAAATACTCAAGATTTATGATGCTGACAAAACGGGAAGAGTTGATTATGCATTGGAATCAGCAGGTGGATAATTCAAAGAGAAATTTATAGTTTTTTCTTAAAGAGAGAAGAATGAAAATTTATTGTTTCTTTTTTTTTTTTTTGCAGGTGGACAAGTAATCAGTACACGATGTACACAAGGATATAATGTTAAAACAAGAGCTTATAAGCTATTTGGTTTAACATTGTATTATGAAAGTAATGATCCTCGAACTGTGATACAGGGAAATACTTTACAACCTGGCGCATGTTGGGCTTTTCAAGATTTCCCTGGCTATTTATTAATTAAATTACGCAATTTTATTTATGTCACTGGTTTTACATTAGAGCATGTTCCCAAGTCAATTTTACCGAATGGCGACATGAGAAGTGCACCGCGCAAATTTAACGTTTGGGTTTGTTAAATTAATATATTTTAAATTTATTTCTATTTTTTATATTTATTTAATTGTAAGTGTTCTATTTTTCAAATTTTATTTCTTTGACTTTTTTTATTTCATTTTCTCTTTTACTTATTTTTTTTTCTTTAATTACTATTTACTTACTATTGTAAAATATTTTTATTTTAATTTTAATTTCAGGGATTGAAGCATGAAAATGATTTGGAACCCGTTATGTTTGGAGAATACGAGTTTCTTGACACTGAAGATAATTTACAATACTTTCCTGTTCAGGTTCGTTATTAAAAAAAATAATTTAGCTTAATAGTTAATTTAAATATATTAAATAGCTATATTTAATATTATATAGGTAATTAAAATTTTATTTTAATTTTTAAATTATGTTTTCTTTTATTAAATTAGTTTCATTTTAAAAAAATAATTGTTTTTTCTTTTCCACAGAATATGACGATAAAAACAACATACGATCTGGTGGAATTGCGAATACACAGCAATCATGGTCAACTTGAATATACTTGTTTATACAGATTTCGAGTCCACGGACGAATATTGTGAGTGACAAAAAAATCATAAAAATCAAGACAAAGAAAGTTCCATTATTTCTTAGTGATGAAATGAGCAGCATTATAATGTCTTTATAATCCCATCGTGCCTTTGGCTGCAGTATTTATTGTTCCTTACCACCAATGAAAGTGGAAAATTTAATATCGCACAGAATATTGGACGCACATGAAAGTTATCTTTTTTTTTTTTATTTTGTTTTTTTGAATATTGAACGTGTGCGATCTATTTCTTTTTTTTCAGATAAGAAAGACGATTTCAGGGCTAGGCGTACATTATAATTATATATAATAGTGTAAAAATGTATTTTTGTAAAAAATAATATTCCTTTCAGGATTGTTCTTATACGAAACTTATAATTTTAGAATGCGTTAGACTGAATTCCCAAATAGTTACCTCGAAACTAAGAATTCATGAATAATCTAATTTTACGATGCAACATCGAACGAAAAACATAAACAAACTGGCGAGACAGTACAAATTGTAAAAAAAAAAAGAAAATGAATTAGAAAAATCATTAACTAATTAGAATAGAAATATATAATTATATATTCTTGATGCACTTGTTGCAAGGCATTGGATAGAATTGATATATAGACAAAAATAAATTTTTTTAATTATTATTATTATCATCGAAATAATTTTATTTATTTAGTTCGAAATCTCGAGTTTATTTATTTAGTTTTTCAAATGATCCCTAGGATTAAAAATTTTCCAAAGTTATTTAATATTAGTTTAGAGTCTTATTAAAACGACTACTGTATCTCTATTATTACTAATGTAGTTTTCTCATTTTGGAAACTAAGTTTCTAAGCTCTTTCTTTTTTTTTTTTTTTTTAGATATATAGATATTCAAAATATCGATTAAAATCTATTTAATGCCTTGACTTGTAGCTCGAGAACTATTAACAAATCACGCTTTTACAAAGATCTATTTTTAAGATATATTCGTATTTATATATATATATACCAGAAAAATATTAATTCTTATTTCTGGACAAAATCTAAAAATTATAAAATATTATAAAATTGACATGAAAGTCTATAAAAATTGTAGAAATTAGAATTAATAATTTTCGAATCAGCGAATCGTATAAAAATAGAAAATCGTCCTTCATTTTTATGTAGGTCATATTTATTATTATTACAAAAATCAAAAAAAGAAATTTCATTGCTTTTTTTCTTGATTGAGAATTTAGTGTTAACTATAAAATATATTTTTTATTTCAAAATTCATTTCACTTTGCAAATAGTTTCATTGAAGTACCAAGCACTTGTTTAAACTGAACTTATTGCCTCTTTACAAGAAAATCATATATTATAGTGAGATTTTGCATAATAAATGTTTTTTTTAAAGACTGTAGACTGATTAATTTATATTAATTTTAACTGCAGAAAAAAAAGTTCATGTGCGGCTTGACATATTATACTTAAAAAAAAAAAAAACTAAGTGAAAAATTATTGTTGAAATTTCGAGAATGTGACATATTTTTTATTATTTATCGAAATCATTTAAAGAGAGTGAAAAGCTTTTTCTTTTCTATGTGTGTCATACTATAATAAATATTTGTAAACCAAGCATAATAATATGCACGAAAAAAGAATTGTAAGAATTATTACCAAATTTGTGAATAAAAAAACTTGTGAAAACAAAAAAATATTTAATATTATTCAATAATTATAATTAATAATAATATTAAACAAGAAATATGTCATTTAATTCATTAATAATACGTTTTAAATTACTTTATTTGAAATTTAATTTGTTTTTTTTTTCGAAATTTTTTAAATATTTAAAAAATATATTAAGCACAAATTTCATTGGCTATTTTAAATTTTTGGCGGGAATGAACAAACTGTCACATTTCGAACGTTCAATTGTGTACGTTCTCTACCCTGCCATAAAGACGATACACAAGTTCGAGAACAGGAAGCATGAGTTAAAAAAGAAAAGTAGTATGTTTCCCTCCTTTTCTATATCATGTTTTGAATTTCCCTGAATTTATTCTGCGTTTCCGTTTTCAGTTTTCTATCCGTGTATTAACATCCTATTATTAAAAAAGTATTCGCGTTTAACTGATAAATAAAAAATATTTTTAATTACTTTTTTTTTCTTTTGCAAATGAAGTGTGATCGTAGCTTAAACTAATGTATCCTAGTCGGAACAGATAATGGTGGTGGGGGTAGATACAGATATGTCCAGACTTTTTAGAGAGACGTTAGATTATTTGCATAAATGTATTTTCTGAAAATGTGAAGTTATCGTTATCGTTCTGAAATTTCAAAGTTCTATTTTATTTTCTAAACAAAGTGTTATCAAGTGCATTGACAGGCCTTTAAAATAAAAATCCATAATAATGTAATGCATGTAAATATTTGGAAATGTTAACAAATCGTGGGAGAGAGAGAGTTATAAGAGAACTTGAATCTTTGAAGCATATTTTAGATAATGGAGTGTAATAACCAGTGTTCATGTTTACAATCATTAAGAGTCATTGATACAATTTGTAACAAGAAAAAAAGGTAAGATCTATTTTCAATATAACCAATTTTTTTTTTTTATAAAATTCATTGTCTTCAGATCAAATTCATTGTATGTGTGTATGTGTATGTATTGAGAGCTATTATCTCATTGATATAGCTACTCATATTGTTAATAATACGTTTCTTAATGGTCCTTAATGAGATTATTACGATGTCTGGAATATAAAAAAAAGAATTCTTTTTTTTTTTTTGGTAATTAGTCAACCGTTATATATGACATATTATGGACGATTCCATTTTAAATATATATATTCTATTTTCTGTCCTACTTTTAAAACACTGACAGGAATAAACACGCGAGAGAAAGATTATAACTTTATTTTTAAATCTTTCGAAATGTGGATTTTCGAATCTTGATTTAGAACATTGTTTTTCCCTCGAATGAAATATTGACAATTTTTTTTTCCAAATATTTCGGAATCTTTATTTATTTTTGCCGCAATTATTGATGTTTCAAAAAGCTCCCTCAATATGTATATTCAACAAGTATTAATATCTATATATGTACAAATGTTACGTAATTTTTGTATTTTAACAAAAAAGGGATTCAGTGATTTAGTTTTTATTGTCAGAAAAATTTTATTTTAGAATAAAAACATGTTCACAATAAAAAAATGTTTTGCTAATTTTATTCTAAGACGTGAACTTTTTGTTTGAAAGTATAAAAATTATTATTTATGTTTTTTAATTAGCAAATTTGTCAAATTGAATATATGATTTCTTTTAGATTGCATCAAAGGCTGAATTCATTTAAGAGTAATTAAAAAAAAAAAAATAATTTCGAGTTGAGACAAAATGTTAAAGACGAAAAATAAAGTAGGTGAACTTTTAAGGAAAAATTACTCGACTACATAAAGAAATGGATGAGATTCGTGGTTTACATGCGAGTCGTCTCTCACAAATATCAGATCCAATAACTAGAATAACTTCGGATTTTGGCTCAAATTCAGCGCCATGCAGTCCACGTCTTCGTGTTCGAGTTCACGAATCTTCTGGTTCACCGGATGACAATGGTGGTGGTGGTGGTGGTCGGGGTGGAATATCCTCAGGTGAATCCGATGGATCTCGAAGTGGAGGAGGACGATCCGATTTCAATGTGATTGGTTCCGAGAGTCCTCGATTTCATTCACGAAGAATTTGTCAAGCCCCAGTGCCACCGCCACGACCACGAAATAAAGATCTTAATGTATCACCACGTGATTCGCCATATGTTAATGTTCAAAATCTTCTCTTCCATAAAAATGAAAATTCAACGCAAGCCGCACGAAATGCCGGTTACGTTGAATTAAAAGACAGCAGTAATAGTAGTAGCAGTAATAGTAGCAATTGTGGGAGATCATTTAAATGTAGTCCCTATACATTTACATCTGAATCAAGTGGTCAAGTTGAATATGCGGATAAACGATTATTTGATTTACAAACTAATTTTGGACAAAAATCATTTGAAAGTTGTAAATCAGGTGATTTTAGTTTAAATTCACCATACGATGTTGCATCGTCGTCATCATCATCATCAACACCACGTGGTGGAAATTTTGAACGATCATTTTCATTTAGTAATAAAAAACATCACGATGCAACGAGTCAACTTATTTATTCGGGAGATAATCAATTATTTGTTGATAAAACAATACCGTCAAGTGCCAGTATAATGGATGGTAAAAAGGAATCCAATTTTGTTTATAGTGCCTCAAAAAGCTTTGATGGATTTTCAAATACCGTTGAAGAATTTAATTGGCAGGAGAGATGTTTGGAACTTCAATTAGAACTTCATAGAAGTCGAAATCAAGCGACGAGAATTCGTGATATGCTACGAGAAAAGGTATTATGTTTAAATAATTTAGAATTTTAATACAGATTTAAAAAAAAACCAATGAAATTTACGTTGATGATTAATGTTTAAAAAAAAAATTTCACACAGAAAATAACATTTTTTTTCTTCAAATTTTTCTTTTAAAAAACTTTGTTGACTTTGTTTATTAGATTTTTTAGATTATACCTTTACAATTGTTTAATTATTAATTAATAATTGATTATAAAAATACTTTTAAATATATATTATTATTAATACTTCTTTAGTAATCAGAAGTAAAATTTGTTATTTATAAGTAAAAAGCTGCCAACTATAAATTTAAATTAATTGATTTTAAAAAAGTGCTAAAAAAAAGAAAAATATATTCAAAATTTATGTACTTTTTTCTATTTACTGCAAAGAAAAAAAAAATTATAATCGTGAAAAAAAATTATAATTTATATTTAAAAATCACTTTTTTTCTAAAATCGTAATAAATAGTAAACAAATTTTTGCACAAAACGATTTTTTTTTTTTCTAAAATTACAGTAAATGACAAATTTTAATTTCATATTTATTTTCAGCTCTCCGAACTTGAGCAGCGAGTCTTGGAAGCTGAAAGCAGAGCTGATGATGCTGAAGATAAGGTAACAAAAGTTTTCATCTTTGTTAAGTCTTATCGATTCATAATTCAGACAATTATTTATTAAAATTAATGTTATTTTTAATAATATTGGATTTTAAAAATAACTTTTTAAATTAATAATTGTAAATTATTCTCTAAATATTAACAAAAAAAAAAAAAAAATCGTGGAGAAAATGTTTATAAAATTAAATTTAAAAATTGCATTTTAAATAATTTTAAAAAAATTAAAAACCTAGGAATTAAATTTTATTTCTTGCGTTTTTAATTTTGGTATATAAAAAATATTTTCATTGTTTTGAAAAGTAAAATATAAAGATGTTATACTAAAAATCGTAATTAAAATTGGGAGAAAAATAAATTATTATAAATACATCTGATGAGATTTTTTCGAATGGACTAAATAAATATTGATTTGGTCATCATGGGAAAAGCTTTTGGACATAATGTCTCTATATATTCAAAGATGGTCATCGGTGAAACGCGCATGTTTTTACATTATTTCCTGTTTATTGATTTTTGTTGCTAAAGCTAAAGATGGAGGGACCACATCCCGGTGTCGGTGTTTTGTTATGATTTTTCCATTTTACATCTAACTCTGTTAATGGATCATTTTTCACATTAATATTGTTTTAAGTAAATCAGTTAACGATTGTTTGTAAATTAAGTGCAGTTTAATTTCTATCAAATTATGAATTTCTACAGGTGACACGCGTGAAAGGTATTTAAAGAAAGAAGTTCTTTTGAAAAAATCATAATTTTTGGAGAATTTTTATTACTTAAATCAAATTTTTTTAAATATAGCAACACTTTTTTTTTTTGATTATGTATTTATTTTTCATTTCTTCATTTATTATTAATAATTTCATTTATTTTTTATTTCACTGCTTATTTTTCCTTTATTCTTTATTTATAATTATTTATTTATTTTTCTTACTTATTAAATTTAATAAATAAATAAGTTGTTTTTTATATTTAATTTAATTCTTTATTAAAAATTCTAATTTCTTTCAAAATTAACAATTTTTTCACTATTTGAGAATATTTTATTTATTTTGCTTTATATTGTGTTTAAAAGAAATGATTTACAGGAAAATTATTTATCTGTCCTGAAAAATCATGTTATGTCACACTGCTTTTCAGAAATGTAAAAATATTTCTTTTTTTTTCAATTTTGTAAAATGTTTATAAAAAATAGTGAAAATAGAGAAGTAAAATTAAAAATTTCCATTTATTTGAAAAAAATATGTTTAAAATAATTTGGAATTAATTTTTGATTATATGTAAATAATAATTTTTATTATAATAAATTATTGAAAAGGCAAATTTAAATTGAAAGTAAAATTGTCTGTCAACGATTGATTATTATATAGTTGTCACTATTATAAAGATAAAAAAAAAAAGTGTTTTACGTTTACGACCCCCGTATACTTATTTTATGCAGTGCTTTGTGTCCAACCCCTCAAACATTATATTGGCTGGGAGCCAATATGAGTCACCGACTCTAGGAAACTCCACTGTTTAGTTCAGTTTCGTACTGTGAACTCGACTCGTCGTTTTTCCATGGCTTATATTACTCTAAGACTATAATCAGCATCTTTGCCCTAAAATCATATTTCTATATTAAATTCAGTTCATTCGAAAATTTAATCTTTCTCTCTGTCTCCCTTATTCTCATTCTCTTAAAATAATTGCAAAATGAAAATTGCAATTTGAGTGCACTCTTATCTTATTGAAAGTCATGGCTCAACGATTTTCCGGTAAAATTTTTCAATATTTTACATATTTTTTAAGAAAAATTTTCTATCTATATTATTATTTGTATTTTTATTTAGTTTTGTATTAAACCAAGTCCACTTCTGGGCCGAAAAGCTGAAGCTTAATAAATAAATATTAAATATTATTTGTATTTTTAATATTTGTCTCATTTTAATTTTTTTATTATTATTTTTAAATATATTTTTTATTTTCACTCTACTTGTTTTGGCAATAGATAAATATATTATTAAGTTGATGAAATTATTTTATTCATTAAATTTGAACGAAAAGTTTGTGAATTTTATTTTGCGTGTTGATAAAAAAAAAAAAAATTTTGTCTCATCTTATGACAAAAATAATATGTTTGTGTAAAAATAGATTAAAAATGGAAAAAAAGTGAACATAAGAGGGTCCCAAATGAAAGATTCGTAATTAAAGGCACCGCGCGCGTCTTTTTATAGCTTTGCGGCTTTCACACGAATATTCGCACGACTTTTCGTCTAAGAGTTCAGAGACATTTTATTAATTTACATATACTGTTAAAATTTGATTTAAAATAAAATTCTTTTAATCTATCCTCTATATGAAATGTTATTTTTAATTTAAATTTCAATAATCAAATTTTAAATTCGAATTATTTTGTTTAAATAATAGATAAATAATTTTAATCCTTATTTTTGTTTTAAATAAGCGAATTAAAATTTATTATTTAAATAACAGTAAATAATTTTTTATATACAATCACTGAAACAAAAACTTGATACTGTAACACAATATTGATTTTTTACCTAAAGCTTCCGTTCAAAATATAATGCACGTATATCCCATAAACATAAGGACTATTGATTCTTGACAGATGGTCTTTGTACTGCTTAAAATGAATGAATATTTAAAACACGCAATTTTAATGTATATTTAAAAAAAATAATTTATAGATTGAAATATCTATAATTTAGTAATAACTGTATTAAGGTCCTTTCATTATTTATTATTTTTAAAAAACGATTCAATAAAAAGCATATGAAAAATTAATTCTCATAATTAATATTTCTAATTAAATGACTATTTAAAGTTACATTATAAATCGATAAAATTCATTTATATTTAAAATTGTTTATTTTTCTCAATATTAACTTTAGTTCAATTATACATTTTTGATTAATATATTTAAAAAAAAATAATAATTTTTTAACAGGTGCGCATGATGGAGGAACGCTTAGTAAAAGGTGAATATTGCCTAAGTGCTTCAAGAGTTGGTTCTCCTCCACATTCATTGCCATCTACTTCAGCCTCTCAAAGTGATACAATCGAAGACGTTCATTGCGCGTGTATATCGAAATTGGAGACACAGGTAGAAGAACAGGTATGATTTTTCGAATTTCCATTGTTTTATTTATTAATCCACAAATATCAATAATTAATAATAAAAAAAACTGCAATTTTTATTTCTAAAAAAGTAAATTTTTAAAAATAAATAAATAATTTAAAAAAAAACTCTTTTAGAGACAATTACGTTTGCAAGACGCACGACAAGTTGAAGCAAAAGCCGCAAGAATAAAAGAATGGGTCACAAATAAACTTCGTGAACTTGAACAACAAAATCAACATCTCCGAGAACAAAACAATAAATGCAATCAACAATTGGAATTATTACGAAATCATATTACCAATATTGGACTGAGACCACCTGTGAGTGATTTTATTGATTTATCTTCGTTTCTATATTTAGTATCTTTTGTTGTTGTCTTGATTTTATTTTCTATCTCACTGATTTTTTCTATTATCTTGATTTTTCTTTTATTTTATTCGTTTCTCATTTATGTATTATTTTTTTTTTTTACTGAAAACGATTTATTATTTCTATTTTAGTATTCAATTTTTAATTATTTTTTTTCAATTTAATATCTTTTTATCTTGTTATTGTATTTTTTATTTTTATTTTTATCTTTTTCTTTTTCATTTTCACAGTATTTAACTTCTTAAAAAAATGTCCATCAAATTAAAAATATAATCTCTTTTTTTTTGTATTTTGTTTAGATTTCTTCGAGGGGATCATTGTCTCTTGAAGTTGATCCTATGCTACGTAGACAGTCGGAAAATCTTGAAGAATCATCGCAAACTGTACCGGAAGATATTCAAAACGTGTCTGAGTCACAAACTGGTATAAGACACAGAAGACATTTATCGGCTTGTGGAAATATTCAAGGTGTAATTAATACCAGTAATATGGATTCAAGGTAAATAAAATAATTTTTTCTCTTTGAAAAATTGATGAAACTTTTCATTTACATTTAATTTTAATATGATGATTCATAATATTTTATTAATAATCATATATCCTATACGAAAGGGCATTTTATGTTGTAAACCCTTTTATTACTGTAAATAAATAAATAATATTTTATTTTGAAGGTTGATAATAATGTCAAATTATTATTTTTTAAATTGCAGTTTATTATCCGAGGAGCTGGCAGCAGCGGTAGAAAATTTGGTAATGTTACCAAGTATGACTGGTGTTTCTGATACAAGTAGAAACAGTAATTCGGAAGCAATTCATGATTATGCTGAAATATACACTCCAAGTAGAGAAGGAATTAATTGGAATCAACCCACGAGTCAAGATCCAAGACCACCTACGCCTCCGCTTCACAGGTTTCCTAGTTGGGAGGCAAAAATTTATCAAGTAATAAGAATATAATGATAAATAGAGTAAATTTAATAATTAGTTTTAGTTTAAATTAATTTAATAAAAAGAATCGTTATTTCTTTAAATTAAAGAATTGTCAACTACATTGGCATAATAAAAATAATTTATTGGCATTATTAAATATTGATAATTTAATATATTATAAAAATAAAAAAAATATATTAAAATAAAATTAAAATTCCATTTAAATTGAAAATCAATTGTATTGAAATTAATAGTTTTTTGATTATCGACGAATAATTAAAAATTTAAATTAATACAGATTGCAGATGGTGGATTAGGTATTGGTCCTCCTACCAATGAAGAGTCAGCACCATCGACAACGACAAATACAAATTCCTCGAAGTATTCACAAGCAATGGGTCATAATTTGGCAGCACACAATTCTCAAGGATATTGTGATATATCGGTTCCGGTTTATGCAACCGTTAAAGGTATCATATTCTATTTTTTTTATATTTTTACTTTTCTTTATTTCATATTTTAATTTTTCTCCCACTTTTTTTTTTCTTCTTATTTTATTTGTTTTTATAAAATGCAAAAAAAATTCCTCGAAAAGAATAGTTTTCCAATTTTGCTTTTTTAATTAATAAAAAAAATTAATTAATTAATAGGTCGCGCGAGTCAAATTAGATCGATTCCTTTTGGCGATAGTTCTGATGATAGTTCTGATGGTGAGGATCATCCAAATCAATTAGAATCAAACACAAGGATAACGAATAGTTCATCTGACAATACGGATTCATCGCTTGCAAGTAGTAGTAGCCCATCGAAAAGTGTTAAAACAACGAGTAGTTTGAGTCCCGCGAAAAGAAGTTCAAATGGTTCTCCAAGCAAAAGTGTCAAGCGTGGTATGTATTTTTGTTTTAAAAAAACATTTTTTTATATTACGAGAATAAATTAAATACAAATTTGATTTGTTAAATTTAGATACATCTTTGGAATCTGGTTTATCTGAAGATTATGCAATTCCACCCGACGCTCTCAGTTTAACATCACTGGAGTCTAGTATTCCTAATTTATTAATGCGAGTCACCGGCGACAGTCCAAAACGACAGGAATCCTTAGAGAAAGCCGGACAATTGGCTAAACTTGGTGGAAAATTGAAAACATGGCGAAAACGTTGGTTTGTGCTGAAAAATGGTGTATTAACGTATTGGAAGAGTCAAAATGATATTAATCGTAAACCACAAGGACAAATTATTTTAGATGACGTTTGCAGGTTTGTTTTTTTTATGCATGTTAAATTTAAAAATTACTTGTATGATTATATTTATGTGTGTAATTGTATTTTATTAGAATAAATAGAGCCGATGGTGCAGCAACTTTTGAAATTGCAACAGGTAAAAAGACTTATTATCTAACGGCAGATTGTATTGCAACAATGGAGGATTGGATAAGAGTTTTACAAAATATACAAAAACGTAATGCAACAAAACTCTTATTAAACGGAGAAGACAATAAACCCACAATTCAAGGATGGCTAACAAAAGTGAAAAATGGTCATGCCAAAAAATGTTGGTGCGTTCTTATTGGAAAAATGTTTCTTTATTTCAAATGTATGAATGATACGGTGAGTTTATTTTTTTTAAAATAATTTTCTATTAAATAATTTATAGGTAATTTATATTTACTATTAAAAAAATATGAAATTTTGAATTTTCACAGAATCCTATTGGTCAAATAAATATGAGAGACGCACGTGTTGAAGAAGTTGAACACGTGTCAGACAGTGACAGCGAGGAAAGAGATTCTGAATGTCCTTATGAGCGTACAATTGGAATATTTCCAACACATCAATGTCCAACGTATTTATTAATACCGCATAAACAAGATAAAGACAATTGGCTTTATCATTTAACAGTTGTATCGGGCGGTGGACCAAATGCGGGAACTCAATATGAACAACTAGTACAAAGATTGATGGAGACTGATGGCGATCCAAGTTGTGTTCTTTGGAGACATCCTTTACTTTTGCATACAAAAGAAAACATCACTAGTCCATTAACCAGTTTGAATTCCGAAGCTTTACAAACTGAAGCTATTAAATTATTTAAGGTATTTATTAAAAAAACAATTCTTATTTTACATTTATTATTTACATTTATTAAAGCGACTTTTTTTCTTTAGGTTTTTTTGTTCCTAAAAGCTTTAGAAAACGGAAAAAGCATTTAAGCTTTATTTTCTATTTTTAATAAAAAAAAACAATTATTATTTTTTCATTGTATATTAAAAAATATTTTTTTTCTAATAGGCTTGCCAATTATTTATGTCAGTAGCTGTTGAACAGGCAGGAATTGATTATCACGTGGTACTTGCACAAAATGCCCTTCAACAATGTTTAGATCAACCTGAACTTCAATCAGAATTCATTTGTGCATTAGTTAAGCAGACAAGTCGTCATGTCCAGCAACGATTAGGCGTACAGGTAAAAAAGGCCGCAAGACTAGTGTCGCTGGGTACTGCGCGCGTTGTAAGTCCTGCTTATTGTTTAACACAATTAACACCTCTGTACCATTTTGATTTTAACAATTTCAAACACATCTTTCTTCTCTAAAAGAAAAATGGTACATTGGATTACAGTCTGTTTTTTTGTTCAAAGAAAAAAAAAAAAAAAAAAAAAAGTAGTGAGTCTTGTCTAAAGTGATTACGATATTGAAAATAGTTATGGTTATTGCTTGAAGAAAAAAGATATATTATAAACGTGTTCAAAACATAATATTACTTTTATTTTAATATTTTTATTTTCATTGTTAATTAATAATTTATTATTTATTTATTTTTTATTATTTATCATTTTTAATTTTATTTTCAATTGTATTTTTCGTTTGTATTTTTGTGTATTTATAATTTAGTTTTGTTGTATTTTAGATTATTTATTTTATTTTCTTTTTGAAGATATTAATGTTATAAATTTTTTATTAACGTGATTATGGTAACGTTATATTTTTTTTTTATGTGGCATTTGATGTTTAGTATTCATTAAATATATACTTTAGTAATTTAACAATAATGATATAAATGTTACGTGATATTAAATATTCGCGGTAAATAATAATAAACTAAAATATTGAATAATTAAATAGTAATAAAGTAAAAATTAAAATTAACACATTTAATTTTGAAGAGAAAAATTTTTTTAAAATATTTTTTACTAAAAATTAAATATTTTGTCATTGATTCGTGTTAATTAGAATAGATTAATTTAGTATTAGAATTAGAAAAATTGACGAGCTATACATTAGAATAATTTGCAGCTTTTCTCATTCATAACCGTGAATTATTTTCGGATGATAATCATTTAAGTCAATGTACTTGACGAACTTTTACAGACTGAACTTGGTCAAGTATTATATGCTAGAAAGCATCTTTTTTTATATTGTCATTTAATAAGCACATACAGCACCATAAAAAATATAATTCTTTTATTTTTTTATGGTGTTGTGAAATAAGTGTAGAAAAATCGTTTTTGATATGAAAATTTTAATCAATCGTTTATAGATTTTTAAAAATATTTTTTTTGTTGAAAGTATATTTTGAGAGGCGATTGAATTTATTTTCATCGACGATTTTTCTAAATTTTTTCTTTTTGGAGGTTTTTTCTCACTTAATTTTTCATTTTTATAATAATAATTTTAAAAAAACTAATACTTGATAAAGTTTTCACAATTTTTTTTCCATATTTTTAAGCACATTAAACATTTTAATTATCATTTGCTGCTTTCCATGTGATGTCTTTTTTCTTTTATATACTCACTTGATGCTGCATGCAACTAATGTTGTAACATAATTTAATTAATTTTTCTATTCACACAAAATACTAGAAATTTTTTTTTTTCTTTAAAATACTTATATATCTTAAATTTATCCCACTCTTGACGATAATCACGTGAACTGAACATATCTCGACAAGAAAATAATAATTTATTTTCGTATTTCAATTTATTAAAGATTTTTTTTTATGAAAATTTTAAAAATATTTGTTTAGTTCTTTATAAATGGTTTTAAATTTGAAATTTTTAAAAAGAGATCATTTTTTTTAATGAACAGAAAAAAAGAATTAATATTTGATAGATTGTCAAAATATGTTCTGTGAAACACACACCTGCAGAATGGTATGTTGGTGTATACATGATAAATTGCACACAGGAAAACAAACTCTTTAGACTCAATTTTTTATTTCTTCCTTAAAAATTATTTTAGAAATATATATTTATATATATATATATTACGACACTATGTTTGAATGCAGCGTAGAGATCTAGTTTTACGAGTAGGGGATATAAAGGTATATATTTGCTATTCAACTGCCAGCAGTGCATTAGTCGATATGTAAATTTAAAATGCTTTTTAGTAAATAAAAAAGTCATTTCAAGTAGATTCCTTCATTGAAATAGAACGTGTAAAAAAAATCATTTTATCATTATAAGTTTTTTTTTAAAAAAGTAAAAATAAAGATTAAAAAGCAAATAAAATAATAATATTTAAATTTTCAATAATATTAATTAATTAAATAAGAAATAAATACATATTTTTTAAATTATTGAAATAAAACATTGATAAAAATAATTAAATTTTTTTTGCAAAAAAAAACTGTGTAACTTTTATATCGAAAACTAATTTCTTTTTAATTATTTGCTATTATTATTTATATTAATTATGTTATTAACTTGTTTTTGATAAAATGAAAATATTTACAAATTCTATAATATCTACGGAAAGTTACTTTATTTTTACAAAATGAATATTTTATATGTCGGCCAGTGTTATTGCATTTTTCCCAATCGCTTTTAAATCGCATTCATTTTTTCGCATATTTCTAAAAATGCATTGATTTTTACACAATTAATATAAATAAGACCACGCGGAAAAATTAATTTTTAATATAATCTAATGATGTACGATTGTACATCAATAATATATAGCTGATTCTTCATGTGTATTATAAAAATGAGTCATTCATATTTTTCATAGTATTTAAAAAAGAAATATTTGAAAATTATCCTTTTGTATTTAGTACAATATTTAAAATTAGTTTTAGTCACAATTCACAATTATGTAGTTAAATTCGGCTATTGGATTAAAGTTAAAATAGTAAAAAAATTCACGATTAGTTGAATTTGCTTATTTTAGAAAATAAATATTAAAGTTAAAGGTAATGAAATTTAGTCGCATTAGTTATATTCTAGTTTATTTTAGTAGAAAATCACAATTTTTTATCTGAATTAACTATAAATAATATTTATAACAAATTTAGTAATAAAAAAAAATTTTTATTTTGTTTCAATAAAATTTCAAGTTATTTTAGCAGTTATTAATAATTTTTACTAAATTTTGACAGTGAAAAAATTTTAATAAATTTTTAAAATATCATTTTTAAAACGTTCAAAAAGAAAATGAGTTCAACTTAACAATTTTATAATTTAAATTAATTTTTTCTAATTAAAATAAATCAATTAATGCATTCAATACCTAAATTAAATTCGAAATTATGTTTTGAATATGAAGAGTCACCTATATGACACATATATTTATAAAATTCGATAATCCATAGTTCACAAATTAAATAAAAATAATAATTGCGCTTTTAATTTTTAATCATAAATATTATTTATTTATTAAATTTTTAATACTCATTTAATAAATTTTGCAAGTGAAAAGTATTTCATTGAATTTACATTAATTACAAGTAAATAAAATTAAATTGTCTAAAACAACAAATTTTTATTATTTTTCGTTTTTAAAAATTAAAGTTTTTTTTTCAAATTATATTTTTATGGAAAAAAATATAGTGAAGCATTTATGAAAAATAAAATTTTTAAAAATTGAGAATTTTTATTACAATTTTAATTATATATAATATGTAAAATAAAAAATGTAAATTTGTGAACTATGAATTGATTTTGAAGAGAAAAAAAAATCGAGAAATGTAATATATATGTGTGTGATGGGCGTGTGTATATTTAAAAGAAAAATCATGTAAGTATGGTCGAAAAAAATGGCCATAGTAGTATGCCAGCATACCATTACAGCAACTCCTTCTATGCGCGACGCAATCTCTCTTCACCTGCGATACGCAAAACCCCGCGGCAAACGGCGGTGGTGAAAATGCGGATGTACTATCGACGGCTTCCACTTCTCATAGTCCTCCGCTCACACAGGGACATTCAACATCAAATTCATTGGACTGCAAAACAAATCCAGCACAATATGTATTAGTACAAGGATGGCAACTATTGGCACTTGCTGTTTCATTATTTTTACCCCGAAACAATCGTCTTCTATGGTACCTGAAATTACATCTTCAAAGAAACGCTGACTCCAAGTGAGTATCAATTTTTTTTTACGATTTTGAAAAGAAATTAATTTTTTCAAATTATAAATTAATTGTAAATTTTTCAGAACTGAATGTGGCAAATATGCGGCGTATTGTGAAAGAGCTTTGGAAAGAACATTACAGAATGGTGGAAGGGAAGTGAAACCCTCGAGGATGGAAGTTCTTTCAATTTTATTGAAAAATCCCTATCATCATTCATTGCCACATGCAATACCTGTTCATTTTTTAAATGGCACCTATCAAGTTGTCAGTTTCGATGGAAGTACAACAATTGAGGAATTTCTTTCGACTCTTAATCAAGAAATTGGTTGTCGCGATGTACATCAATCGGGTTTCACATTATTCAGCGATGATCCAATTGAAAAAGATCTCGAGCATTTTATTGATCTTCAATCTAAGGTGATTATTTCTTTTTTTATTAAGTTAATTTTTTGTAACTATTTTAATTTGAATAATTTGCTTCGATTAGAATGAATTATAATTGACAATGTATTTTTATTTTTCAATAGTTGTGCGATATTATTTCAAAATGGGAAACAGCATTAAGGGAAAAGGGATCGGGTAAATTTGAAAATACAAGAGTTATACAATTGACGTATAAATCAAGATGTTATTGGCGGCATGCGGCAAAAATGGAGACTGATCGCGAAAGACTTTTATTATGTTATCAAGTTAATTTACAAGTTGTACAAGGAAAATTTCCCCTAAATCGAGAATTGGCATTTGAATTAGCAGCATTGATGGCTCAGGTATTTAATTTTTAAATTTTGTTTAAATTATGATAAATGGCATTTTAAATTTCCAAAAAAACAAATTAAAATTCCACAGATCGATTTTGGTGAATATAATACTGAAAAGGTGCGAGGAAGTGGACAAGGGAGCGGTAATCATCTTGTTTTGCAAGCATTAGATAAGTTTTACCCCATTAGATATCGGTCTAACATAACTGCTGATCATCTCAGGTTTGTTCATTATTATTTTCAAATTTAATTTTCTTTTTTTTCTATTTTTTCTATTTTCTATTCTTATATTTTATTTTTTATTTTTATTATATTATCAATTTATATTCATGCATCAAAGAATGGAGATTTAATTTTTTTTCTGATTATTCGCAGAGAATTGCAAGAAAAATTGCAAGAAAAATGGATTTCTCTTAGAGGACGCAGTACTTTAGATTGTGTTAGAATATATTTAACGTGTACAAGAAAATGGCCTTTCTTCGGTGCAACTTTATATCAAGGAAAGGTAAAATATTTTCTGTCTTTTTAAAAATTATATCAAATACTCTGCTTGGCTGGGAGAGTAAATACAGTTTTATAAATGAAATAATAAATTATAGTAATAATAATGTATAAAAGTTAAACAAAAAAAAATTATTTATAGTGAATTTTGCTTATAATTTGTTCTTTTTTTTTTATTGTAGTTAAAACAAAGTGAACAACTCACAGTGTGGATTGCTGTTTCTGAGGATAGTGTGACATTATTAGAAATGCAAACAATGGCAGTGAGATGTCGTTATAATTATTCAAATATAATTACTTTCGGAGGATGTTTAGATGATTTTATGTTAGTCGCATGTCCAGACGAAGGTGCTGCTGAACAAAAACTTTTGTTTATTCTCAGTAAACCTAAGGTAATTTTGTTTATAATTTAAAAATTTTATTTATGCAATAAAACATATTTATTTTAATTTTATTCAACAAATAATTAATTATTAATAGTAAAAATAAAAATTGATAAGATTTTTAATTAAAAAAAAAAATTATTTTTAAATTAAACATTTCGATAAATTTATATTGTCTTTTTTTTGTAAAGATTTTAGAAATAACACTCCTGATTGCTGACTATATGAATGCCTTGGGTCACACATTGCCTGGAACACCTCAAATGAATACTTTGACGAGAAATGGCTCACATAGATCTCTCAAGTCTACAATAAAACTCCAGACTGGTGAGTTTATTAACTTTCAAAAATTTTAATTCCTTCGAATATCATCAAATTTTTTTTTATTATACTATTTTAACCAATTTAAAAAATTATTATTTTCTGATAATAATAGATTTTTTGTAATATTTCAGTAACTTTTTTTATTTTTCCATATTTTATAAAATTTAATGAATTTTTTGTAAAAGTAACTTTCTCATTTATTGAGAAAAAAAGTGAGATTTTTAGCTTTAATTATTCTAAACTTCAGGTTCAAGCTGTCTTCCAACACAACCTGATATTCTGAAGTCAACTCCAGACCAACAAAGACATTAATAAATTATTATTTCAAGTATCATTGATAGTACCTTGGAAGTTTATAATAATTTGTAAACATTCTGGTTATATAAAAGCTTTAAAAAAATACATCATAATAATAGGCTTCAATTCAAATTGAAGTTAGGACTGAATGAAGCTAATTAAAAAAAAAAAAAGAAACTAAATACGATGTGAATGTATAATGAACTTGTGCTGTATGTTTAAACTTATTCTTGACTTCTGTATTTAATTAGACTGTTAAGAAATGTTTTTGCAAAACAACGAGAAATACGTTGGGATTCATATTAGATTAATGAATAAGTAATGATGAATTTTTCAACATTATTTTATTTAAAAAAAAAAAAAAAAAATGCTCCTATACAGCATTTTTCTCTGTACAGTTTAATTTTTATTGACAATAATAATAATAATTTAAGATTTTGTTAATTTTGATTTGAAAATTTTTAATCTTTACACTATTATTATTTCTTTACAATTATTGTAAAGAATATTATTAATTATTATTTTTTGTTTTTTTAAGATAAAATTTCTTTATTTTACTCTTTTTAAGTTTTACAATATATCAATTAAGTTTTCTTTGTATGAAATGGCAGCTATTTGCTTTCAATTAATAAATTAATTTAGTGTATTTAAAATTTATGGATTTTCTAAATTTTAAGGGATTTTTTTTTCATATTTAAAATGAAAAATTCATCATTACTTGTACGTCAATCCAGGGACTGGCAGCAAAAACAAAGACGTGCGTGTAAGATATTTCTACAAAAAAAAAAAAAAAATAATAATAAAAATTTAATCCCGAACACTGCCAAATAATCAGTGACTAAATATCGTTTACATGAAGAAAAAATCGTTAGTTGTTTTGCTAATTGTATTTATATAGAATGCGAAAAATTGATATGAACTTATATTTATAAGTTGTAAGTTAGTAATTTAATCCCATCTCGTGAAAAAACGTAAAAAGAAAAATAATGGGATTTAAAAATTTTTTAAGTCCTTAGCGCCATTTTCTTTTTTTTTCATCAAAAAGTGATGCCAGAATGCGTTTTACATATATATGTATACTATATTCAGATGAATTATTTTTCACAAGAACGACATTTCTGGTAGAAGAACTATTTATTTTTGTTTTTTTTTTGAAAATATGAATGTTTTTTCATTTCATCGAGAATTATTTTGATTTATTCATAATCGAATTTTCTTTATATATATATATTATATATAAGAAAGGCGCTAGAATATAGAAATATTATCATAGAGCGCATGAACAAGTTTAAAATTTATCACAAAAAGAAACTGTATTTGACTGTATGTTACAGTGACAAGAACAATGTGTTAAAATAAACCAAACCAGAATATGGAAAATTTCTCTAATTGAATTTATTTATTTTTTTAATTAAATATTTAATATGGACAAAAACTAGAGGAACAATTTAAGAAGTTGAAATTTACATTAAGAATAAATAATTTTCAATTTTTTTTCCCCTCATAATTATTTTTGTTTGAAACGAAATTTTTATTATTTTGCAATTATATTCCTTTTTTTTGCATTCTGTATGTTTTAAATTAACTTGTTTTCTAAGAATATTAAATTAGGAAAAAAAAACTTTTAATGAGTATAAGTGTATATTATACTTATCATTTTACAATTTGTATTTGCAATAGTTTTTTTTTTTAAATTTTAATATTCAGTCAACGTCTTCCGGTCTCACAGGATGACTTAAAGGTATCACAGACATTTTCTTCGTATCTTTTGACAATGCTTTTCTCATATCTGTAAAATGAGATTTCATTATGTAAAAATAATGCAAAAAAAAAAGAAAAAAAAAATTTAAATTGAAATAAATAAGAAATGAAATGTTATTAAAATAATAAAATTAATTACCAAAAGCATCTTCTCCAGGATCTCCGCTATAATATTCTAAAACTGTTCTATAATTTATATAACCCAATTGTTGGTACATTTTTATTGCAACTGTGTTACTCACACGTACAAAAAGATCGACAAAGTAGGCAGATTTTCTGAAAGAAAAATTAAATTATTAAATTGTTTTTTCTTTCTTTATAAATTATTAATTATTAATTTAAATTAAATTTACTTTTCGGATAAATCCTCCAAGAATTTCATTAAAGATGCTGCCAAACCTAATCTTCTGTGATCCGGTGAAACTGTAAGTGCAGTTACATGTCCATGCCAATCTTCTCCATGTCCTTCTGCTTTTCCCATAACTGAATTTATTTTAAAATCCATTAAATTAATGTTTAATACAAAAAATAATTGTAATTCTAAATTAGCCTTAAGAACGGTATTAATTATTTTATTATTCTACTATTTTACTATTCTATTTTAATTTTTAATTTTGTAATTAAGAGGGCAATTAATATGTAAAAATCCAAAGAGATGTACATGGAGAGAAATAATAAATAATACAAAAAATATAAAAAATTTGATTATAAATATTTTTTAAACTCACTGTATCCCATTATTTCGCCACTTGGAGATTCAGCAACTTGAAAATATTCAGGCCAGTGTGCTAAATATTGCATATAAAATGACAGACCATACTAATTTAATTTATTAAGAAAATTACTTTTTTTATATATATATATTTGATTTTAATTACGTAATTATTTATTTACTTTTCCACAATTACGTAAGTTAATATTGTCAACTAATAATTATAAAAATTATTGTTGCAATTTAAATGTTAAATTCGAATTGAAATTTAAATGTTTTTTGTTAAAAAATTAATAATGAAAATTAATAAAGGATACAGTTTCTGTTAGAGGATCCAAATTTCTGAAAAGTCAATGACAGATTAAAAATTAATATATTTATTCAGAGTATGTTTTTAATTCAATAATATTTAATTTGTTTAAAAAAAAAACAACAAAGTTCATAACCTAAAATACTAAATTTTACTTACACATTGTTAAATCGAAATAAATCATCGCAAGTAAAAGGTCGAAGGGTTGCCATTTTCGAAATAAATAAGAAAATTTAAAAACAGAAAGAAGAAGAGAAATATTTAATTATTTTCCAAGGTTTTGTTTGTCTATTATTATTAATAAATCATTTCCAGTCAGGGATGGGTATAAAATTTAAATTTTTTTTCGTAAGAAAATCTTCTTTTACGTAGCTTACGTTTGCAAATTGCATACTGTACAAACTTACCTTTATATATTCGTATTGTTTCATTCTCAACCCTGCTGTAAAAATGTGAGATGACATTCACATCCCTGAAAATACAAATGATAATAAATACATGATTATTTTTTCAAAAATAAATGTAAGTATTAAAAAATATATAAATTAATTAATTAAATTAGTTTACTAGAATATTTTCTGTATATAATTAAAGAGAATTTGCAATAGCGTATGTTAAAACTAAATAACTTTTATTAGGTTATGTTACACATGTGTAGACCATGTTTATTTTTTCTTTTCGTAATTTTAAATTAAAACAGCTTTGAAACATTAATTTATTTTTATCTTAATTTTCGTTTCGTTAAAAAAATTGACTATATATGTAAATAATTTCTTAAAAATGGTATATTAATAAAGTAACAATGTTTACATTTTTTTTTTTTGAATTTGAGTTACTTTTTTATTGTTGCACTTAAAGAAGTGTGTAAACCATAAATATACATAAACAAATAGAGAAATATTGATAAAATAAATATTATTCTAAATATATTAGAATTAAAACTCAATTTTTTTTAGATTAGAACAATTTTCAAATATTTTAATATTATTGATTTTCTTTTTACAGAAATTTGTAAATTTACATCCAAAAGGGCTTCCAACGCATTTTAAAAAAATGAGTGTCTTTACACAATGGTTAAATCCATTAATAGGCATTCTTACCTGGGAGGAAAAGGATTCAGACTATGATTATCATCAGGAAATTGCTAGATCAGCATTTGCCGATATGTTACACGACGAAGAGAGGGTAAATTATTTTTAACAAAAATAAAAAACAATTAATTTTGTATTTAATTTCATTTTTTATCTTAAAAAAAAAATCCAAAATAACGTACTAAATTTTCAGAATAAAAAATATTATTCTGCTCTCAAATCTGCTATTGATAAAAAACACAAAAATGGAGAAGAAGCAAATGTCCTGGATATTGGAACTGGAACTGGATTATTATCAATGATGGCAGCAAAATGTGGTGCAGATTCAGTGATTGCATGCGAAGTAAAATTTGGAATTTTATATTTTTTACTTAATATTTCATTTATTTTTTTAAATAAATAAAAAAAAAATGATTTTTAGACTTTTAAACCAATGGCAATTTGTGCGGAGAAAATTATTAAAGCTAATGGATTTGACAAGACAATAAAATTAATACACAAACCCTCAACGTCGTTAACTGTAGGCGAAAATGGTGATCTTCAAAAACGTGCAAATATTTTAGTTGCCGAAGTATTTGACACTGAATTAATAGGAGAAGGTGCTTTATCAACTTTTCATCATGCCAGTCAAGTTTTACTCGAAGTATGTTTTTTGTTAATATATTATTATTAAAAAAAAAGAAAAAAACTAGTGTTAAAAATCACCTGTATTATAAAAAATATTATAATTAAAATCTTTAATATAAGGAGAAAATGTTGCTCTTTTTTTATGAGACAAAAGTTCTAAACGTTCAAATGAACGAAATATTTTTTTCAATGTATAAATTATTAAAAATTATGATGGTCATGTAAAATAAAACAATTATTAAATAAATAACTCCGTTTTAGATGTTTAAAACAATATTTTATAATAAAATTCGTAGTTAAAGAAGTTTCCAAAAAAAATTTTGTTCATTTGAACGTTCAAAACTTTTGTCTCATCTTTTTTTTATCATTCACGTTTAATGATAAGTAAAACATGTTTTTTGTAGCGAATTTATCATTTCTTAGGAAAACAGTATTGTTATACCGTCGAGAGGGACAGTTTGGGTACAAGTAATTGAAAGCAAAATGGTAAAAGACTGGAATAAATTAAATACAATTCAGGATAATGAAGAAGAAATTTTATTTAAGACAAATTCATCTTTGGATAATTGTCATGGTACAGTTACTGTTCAGGATTTACAGCTCAGTCGTATTTTGCACAAAGATTTCAAACCTCTATTACCGCCACAAAAAATTTTTCAGTGAGTAATTTATATTTTTTAAATATTTATTTAATAAAAGTTCTTTATTATAATTTTTATTTAAAATGCTTAAATCGAACATTTAAATGAAATTAATTATAATTTTGTGTTTTTAATTGACATTATCAGTTTCGATTGGTCTGGGAAAGTTCCTTTGAAATTTGATGAAAATGTTTCATTACCCGTAAAAGCAATCGAAACTGGTACAGCGCACGCTGTATTTATGTGGTGGGATATTCAAATGGATACAAATGGAGAGGTAAATTTACTATTTTTAATTTAATTCTAATACTTATACTATTTTAATTATAATAATACACATTTATTTATTTACTATTTATATTTATTAACTTTTATCAATTAAAATTTATTTACTTAAACTATGGTATTAAATTAATAATAATAATTAAAAGTTAATAATAAAGTCATTTCAAAAAGAATTTAAAAAATGCAAAATTGGGAAAAGTTCTTCTGTAATATTAAATTAATTGAAAATAATTAAAATTTTTAATAATTAAATTTACAAAATAATTGAAAATAATTAAATTTAAAAATCAATTATTTTTGGTAGAATCTCCTTAGTTGCGCACCCGTTTGGGAACATCCGTCTGTAAATTCTGAGAAAGGAATAGATCAGGATTTATTAACTAGAAAGATACCTTGGCGAGATCATTGGATGCAAGCAATTTATCATTTACCAACAGAAATTCCTGTTCAAATGAATCAAGAAGTCACACTCATAGGATGTCACGACGAATATTCCTTTTGGTTTAATTTAAAAAACAATTCAATGTAAGTTTTATATTTTTTATTATTTAATTAACATTTCAATTTACATTAAATTAAAAACACCAAATTATTTCAATTAGAGTGAAATAATAATTTTTTACATTAATTTAAACTAATTTTACTATTAATTTATAATTTTAGTTTTAGATTAAAAATTTGATTTTAAAATTTAACAAAAATAACAATTTTTTAACAGATTAAATTTCGATGACTTTGAAATTCCCACGTGCAATTGTTGTTTACATTTAGCCTATCCGAGAAATCGTATTAGTCAATTAAACGATATGTGTAGAAATAGAAAATTTATTCAAATATTGAGAAGAAAAATTAATTACAATTCGACGTGTTTATGCATCACGGAAGGATCATTATTGGGAATAATGGCCGCTAAACTTGGTGCAAAGAAAGTAATTATTTTCGAACCCACTGCAATATCAAGAAGAGCAATGGAAACATTTGTCGAAGCTAATAATTTAATTGAACAAGTGGAAATAATTCATTCGTTTAATGATTTTCCTATGGATAAAAAAATTGATTTCATAATAGCCGAACCATTCTTTTTGACTACTATTTTACCCTGGGATAATTTACGATATTGGTATATTGTTTCGAAATATTTTCCAAATATGCCAAAATTCCCAATGCAAGCAACAATACGAGCTGTACCTATGGAATTTATTGATTTACAAAAAATACGAACTCCAATTGGTAATTGTGAGGGTTTTGATTTGTCATTATTCGACGAATTAGTTCAGGTATTTGATTTATATTAAATTATATTTTTATGTAGAATTTTATTTATTTTTAATTAGTTATTATTTTTCAATTCAATTTTGCGAGAGAAAAAAAAATTATGTATTTTGAAAAGGAAAATTTTTCTTTTAGGATTCTAGTGAAAAAAGTGATTCGCCCGTTGAAGCACAACCCTTGTGGGAATATTTTGGTAACGCTCTCGGTTCATCGTTTGAGATAGTAAATTTTGATTTAACACAAAATGTTTATGAGAAAAATCAAGAATCACTTTCGGGTAGTGTAAAATTTGAAGTGTAAGTAAAAAATTCTAAAATTTAAAAACTATATAGATTTTAAGTTTAAATGAAAAAATTTTTATTTAGAGATGGAACGTGCAATGGAATTGCATTGTGGATTGATTGGAAATTAGACGATGATGTAATTATTTCCTCTGGACCACAAGAAAGCATAAAATCAGGTGCACAAGTAATTTGGGATCCTCACACAAAGCAAGGTGTTCATTTACTTAAAAATATCAAATCTGTAAAATCCAAAGATACACTTTCTTGGTCTTTTGACTTTAAACCAAACGAAGGACTCATGAAATTTGAATTTCATGTAAATGAATCTTAATTGTAAGTTTTAAGAATTTTTTTTAGGAAATAAATGTATTTTTTACTCTTAAATTTTTTTTTTGTACATTTTACATTATAAAGCTACATGTTGCATTAATTTACAAATTTTTTTTTTCTATTTTGTGTGAGGAAAATATTTTTAAATTTACTCACATTAAAATAAATAAAAATGGTTTTAAATGCATAAACTTTGGTTATTTATTAGTAAAAACTTAATGACAGATTCTTGATTTACACAGGAATTCATGCATGTCCGTTAATTTTATAAGAAATAAAAAATATCAAACGCTTACAAAAATCATATATGGACTCTAAAATTTGTTCTTTACACAAAAAAGTCTTTTTCTTTCTTCTTTTTTTTTTTAATAACAAATTAATAGCAATTTAAGATTCTAATTTTGCCAAAATATCCAATTCACGGAAAAGATGAAATTCCTTGCCTTCATCGAGTGTCACTTTTGTGCCTCCATATTCAGGTAATAAAACGGTGTCACCAACTTGAATGCTCAATGGAACGTGATCTCCTTTCTGAAAACAAAATTCATTTTAAAAAAATAGTTTGAGACTCACTAATTTTAAAAAATTTGAATTAAAATTTAGTATTAAATTATTTTAAATTAAAAATTAAATTTTACTATCACAATTTAAGTAATTGATAAATTAATTATAAAATTTAAATTCTTTACTTCATTTCGGGAGCCAGGACCCACAGCAACTACTCTACCCTTTAATACTTTTGCTTGTGCTTTTTCGGGTAGTACAATTCCACCTTTTGTTTGAGTGATTGCCTCTGATTTTTGAATTAAAACTCTATCGAAAAGAGGAATTAATCTTTTTGCAGCAGCAATTCCAGCTGAAGCCTGTAAAAATAAAAAGGTAATGAACTTTTTCATACATTGTACTTTGTACTTCCTTTCTAACACAAAAGAAATTTTTTTTACTCTAAACTAATATAAATTATCATTTTGGGAAATAAATTTAAATATTCAAAAAAATGATTATACAAAAGTCATAATTGTCATAGTTTTAATTGATTTCGCTTATTTTCATAAAAAAACGATTAAGGGAACTTCTATTATCTTAGAATATTCTAGAAACAATTCTTGAAAAGACGCAAACTTTGACATTGATTGCAACAGAAATGAGGTACAATAAATTCTCATCTAAATGTATTTAATTGAAAAAATAAGAATTATTTCATGAAAATAAACTGTTTTATTAATTTTTTTTTTAAGGAGGTTAGTGTGATTAAATGTATTAACAAAAAAGAGTAAAAAAAAAACGTGAGACATACAGAATAAAATGTACGGGAAAATTGTTTTTCATCATTGAAAAGAGAAAGTTTATTTTCTATTCTTTTAGAGAATAAATATTTTGTGTCGGCGATTTTTTTTACTTACCATTTTGTCACGAGGTAATACAACTTTTAAAGCAGGAAGTTAATTTTACAACACGTTGAGCACGTTGTGTAACCAGGAAATCACAGATACACCGCTATTTGCTTCAGGGTTGAGAAGTCATAGCTATTAAGGTACTTCTATTTCACAATTCGCACAACTTTGATTAGTTGTCCACAATTAGAAGAACCAATCAAATTTCCATTCGCGTAATTTGTCCATACGTACTGGTCACATTTCAGATGTTCCACTTACTTCCTCTTAGAATTTCATATTTCGTGTATTGTATTTACTTGTTTTTGGAGGTCGCAATTATGTATTAGTAAGAAAAAAGATTTTCTTTTTTAAATTCTCTTTTTGAATTTCGATTTTAGAGTACATACGTTTAAATATAAAGATGTGTAGTCATCAAAAATTATGTAAACGTACCTTTAGACTCTCTTTGAGAATTTACCTGTAATTACCCAACCCTGATAGTTGGCGCTGTCAATCAAAATGTAATCAAAATTTGAGCGCGATGAAAGAAAACATATATTCTTTTTATTTAAAAAATTTACAGTTTAAAGAGTGTTTTTCATAAATGAAAATGTCAATCACTAAATATTTAAAATTTAATTTCATCATTTTTTCGGAGGACTTCTTCAATTTTGATTTGACAAGAATTTTAGGAAAATTTAAAGCTGTTTAGGTTTATAGCAGAAAATTTATCCGCACATGTCAACGTGAACGTGACGTAACTTTTAATACTCTCATCTCCATTTGGCATACTTTAAATGTCTCTAACAGAATTAAAAGTTAAAAAAATGTCAAATACCGTGACTGAGGATGAAATGGGAAAAAAATGGGATAGGTGCTTTACAGACGCAGTTTTGAAATTAGGTAAATTCTGTTTTAACCAAAAAAATGTTTGATCTTTTTTTAATCATTGACCAAAATCATCAATGTTTTTATACTTGTTTCAGGAGGTGGAATTATTGTAGGATCAGTATTTTCCCTGCTTTTCATTCGAAGTATGTTATCTAATTTTAATAAATCTATAAAAAATGTAGTTTAGTAAGAAACATAACCTTAAATGTCAATGTTAAGATTTATTTATTTTTTGAGAATTTTTTATGAAATTTATTTTTCATATTATTAATTACTGTAATTTATTATAAATGAGACAACTAATTTTTGAAGTATTTGAAAATTCTCTTCTTAATTATTACTATTTGTTCTTTAATATTATTATTCTATTATAATTATTTGAAAATTAAAATTAATTATTTTAGGGAAATGGCCTATAATTACTGGAGCAGGTTTTGGATTAGGTATGGCATATTCAAATTGTGAAAATGAAATTAATTCCACGGTGAGTCAATGTAAATCCAAAAATCGATGTGATGAAAAAAAGTAAATAGTGAATTATTAGATTTTTATTCACTTAACAACAGACGAGATATAGACAAAAAAAAATTTTTGAAAATAGTTGATGTACTCTACGTCATAGAGCCAGCGTTTTAAAAAAATATCGTCAACTTGTATTTTAAGGAAGCAAATAAAACTATTTCTTATTAAAATTTTTTTTAAATATTCTCACAATTCAGGCGAAGAGTGAAATATCAAAATGTTAATAACATTTATTATTTTAGTTTTTTATTATTATCTATCATTTTATTAAAATTTATTTTTATTCATTATAATTTAAATAATTTACAAAGTGGAAAAATATAATTTTAACTTATATAATTCATAGATAAATCTTAATTTGTTCTATTTTCATTTGTTCTAATTTTCTATTTAAAAATTATTATTTTCGGTTATTTGTTTAGTTTATTAAGAAAAGATACTATTGCTATAAATTAATTTCGTTTGATTTTTCATTCTTATCATTATTAACCAATGTTTCTAATGACTAGTCATTCAGGCGTAATGATCATTATTTTGAGTATTAGTTATTGCTCTGTACCTACTTTGAAGGTCAGCTCTCTGACGCAAAACGGAAATCAAGGTTGTACTATTAGCAGGGCTGTCCAACTTGTTGATTTCTTATTTCCTAAATATAAAATTTCGATTCTTTAACAGTTTTTTTTTTTTTTTTTAAATTGAATTTATTAATTAAAATAAATCATACATATTAGATTTATAAAAAAACGGTTTTTCAAAATTAAATTTTGCACTAACAAATTTTTTATTTTCAAAATTTAGTATTAAAAAGAGAAAATAAACTAAAAATACTACTAAACAAAAGTTAGCAATGAAAATTTTTGCTCCTAAATAGAAAAAAAGAATATTATTTTTTGTTTTTAATAATTTAATCATTTAATGGTATATAATATTTCATCTAATTACCTACAGGCCCATATAATGAATAAATGCGACACTGTTAAAAGACTTGTTACGTGTAACGTGAAATTGTGTTAGTTAATCCGGTATATTTCAACATTAATAAAAATATTCTGTGTTTATCAACCAAGACTTGAATGACATATATATATATATACTCACAATCGCTGACAGTTTCTCGTTTGACCTGTCGGCGCATACTTGTGTGCCGTTGGCTGTAACTAGATTTCTTGAATGAAAAGTAACTTATGAAAATAATTTAAAATACTTAATAAATTTAATACAAATTATTGAAAAAAAAATGGCTTTAGAAGATTATAAAGATATTGTGGGAACGAGTGCCGCAATTTCCACAGTGGGACAAATGTTAGCTGGAGTGTAAGTTTGTTTTTTTTACTTTATAAAATATATATAAAATATCTTGAAAAAGAATAATTAGTTGAGATAAATGTACATTCAGTGATAAAAAACACAAAAATATCATGTGATAAAAATTGAATATTTTTAAAAAAAATATTATTAAACATTTTTAAGGTTATAGAGAATATTTTTATAGCGCAAAAATTTAAATTCATACTTTTAATAATTAAATAATATTATTATTAAAAACTTGATTAAATTAATTCTAGATTAATATGTAAGGATATATATAAAAGAAAATCATCTCAAAATATTGATCCAATGCCTTTTATTGGCGGTATGGGAATGTAAGTAATTTTTTTTTTTTATTTATATTATTAAAATTATTATTTTATTATAAATATTAGTTTAACTTTTTATTGATAAATAATTAATTTATGCAATTCTCATTTTTTAGGAGTGTTTTGGTACTTCAATATGCATTAATTCTCAAAGATTTTGCGATGATAAACGTGAATGTTGTGGGATTTATATTAAATGTTCTCTACACTAGTTTTTATTATTCTTACTGTCCGACAAAAGTAAGAATTCATCAATAATAATTTAAAAATTATGAAGATATTATTGATAATTATTAAATTTTTGTTATTTTAGTCAAAATTGTTATCAACTTTAGCAAAAACAGCTGCGCTTGTTGCAATATTTATTGGCTATGCACAAATGGAAGATGAATCTAAAATTGAATTTCGATTTGGAATTATTGTAACAATAGTAATGTTTCTTTTACTTGCCTCGCCACTTATTCATTTGGTAATTATTATGTGAATAATTAATTTTTATTTTAAAGTTAAGATAAATTATTTATATAATTTATTTTTATTTTCATAATCTTATCTATTTTAGGGAGAAATTTTCAAGACTAAAAGTACGGAAATGCTTTCATTTCCCATTATATTCATGGCGACAATTGTCACATTCCAATGGCTTTTATATGGTCTTATCATTGATAACAGTTTCATAGTTGTAAGTAGATAAACTAATAGTAGTATTGCACAACTATATACATAAAGATAATAAAATAGTATGAGGTTAAAGATAATTAAGAAAGTGGAAAAAGGTGAAAAAGACTTATCTCATATTAAAAAAATTTAATTATTAAATTTTTCAGTTTCACAATTTTTAAAATACAGTAAATTAATAGTTTGTTTTATTCGATAAATTGAAGCATGATGAATTTCCGGGAAATTGTTATTAAATTGCCATTTTCATTTTTTTTAAATTTAAAAAAATTAAAATCTTTATTTTATTATTTTTGTTTGTATAATTTTATATAATCTATACATATATATATATTTTATACTAATAATAAATTAATATTAGTTCCAGAATGCAGTTGGATTCACACTTTCTGCATCTGAATTACTTTTGTTCGTAATCTTTCCCTCGACGCCTGCTAAAATCGCTTCCTCAAAGGATATTAAAAAGGATAATTAATTTTATGATAAATTAAATTTTTTTTAAAATTAATTAAAAAAGAATTTAAATCAATTTCTTCCATTTGTTCTAGTAATTGAAAAATTAATCATAATTCATAAATTTTAACAAAATACCTCTCAATTTTAAATATTGTTAAAGAAGAAATGTTTAAATCGAATTTTATTAGTAATTAAAAAAAATAATAAAGTCTATTTTAATACCTCGATTTTCAATTTCTAAAAGAATTTTGAAATTGACTTAGATTAAGTAGACAAATAATAATGTACAAAAAATATATTAAAAAAAAGTGTCCTTTATTTTTATATAAAATATGTATTGTAATTATTCACTATGTAAATTAATATTTTAAGTTTATGTATTTCATCCATTGAAGGACAAATAATTATTGGAATTGACTATTGTTATTTGTTACGCATAACGATAGTGTTAAAAATAATTAAAATTACGTAATTACTTTTAGAGAAAATGTTGCATTTCATCTCAAAAATATTTTTTATGTATAAGTGATTTAATTAAGATTCTAATAAATACAATTAATTTTCTTTAAAAAAAAAATAATTAGTAATTCTTTTGAAAACAACAAAAATAATTTTTTTTCATCAAAACACACGATTTGTCTAAATTTAACTAATATATTTAATTTTTGAGTTAAATTACTTCCTCTTTTTCTTACATTTTTAAATTGATAAACTTGATAAAAATCATAACTATCGAATTTTCGTAAACAAAACGAAAGTATTCGAGATTAATAATTATATTGCAATTAAAAGGTGACTTACAGTGAAAGAAAGGAATAATTTAAAAAAATGAGGTACATTAATTTTTTATAATCGCATTATTTATTTATTTACAATTCTTTAGCTCAATATTTTTATGCTATGTTTCGATTATAATTAATAATTCTTATTATATTCTAGAACAATATCATTCTTAGTTTTTTTTTTTTTACCGATATTGTTAATGGGAGCCTGCGTCCTATTTACACATTAGTCTAAATCTACATCGAGTATCTCTTGATAAAGTCATTCTCACCAGTCTTTACAGGAAGATTCAAAATCGAATAAGTTTATGAAGAGATGTGAGAATCGTCTCTAAAAAGAAAAATAATAAAAAATAAAAATTTTATAATAATAAAGTATTAAAGCCAAGATGCTGTGCAAGATGTCGTGTTTTGCTTCTTTTTGTTCGAAATTTTTTACTTATTCAAATCTAACGATGCCAATAATAATTTATATAAATAGCAGTAGAAGAAACGTTTGATTTTTTTTAAATTAACAATAAATAGAGTATGGCGTGAATGAACAATTTTTTTTTTTTTTTTTTACATGATATTACTTCCTTAAGTCAACATCAATGTTTTAAAGTCAACATCACAGCCATAGGAAGCAATATTGTGCAAGTGATGATTCGAGCATATTCAATTACAGTAAGTGTCACTTAATTCTGAAAATTTTTATTCAAAAAAATTTGTTAAACTTTTATTTATAAAGGAACTTTAAAAATCTTACTCATAGGGGAATTTTTTTTTATAAACTTTACGTATATAAAGGAACTTTAAAAACTTAAGAAATTTACAAATCAATCATTAGATCATATAAAAAAAAAAGTATATAACAAACATCATTTCTCATTTTTCAAACTGATTGTACATAAACAAAATATGTATGTAAATTAAATCTAACAAAATATTTAGAAGCTAAAATAAAATTTTAAAGGTGTTTTAGTAAAAGTTAAAAATAATTTTCATTGTTAACATTTCTATGATCGTCGCGTGGAAAACAAAGATTATTTTGTCTCCTTAGAACAATAAATAACATCTCAATTTTAAGTCAAGTAAAGCTTTTTTTTTTATCCGACTTTTACAAATCGTTTACAAACCTCCCATTGATGTTTTTTCTCTTAATTTTCATGTAAAATTGATTTTACGCTCGATGAAACTTGAAACAGTAGAAAAATCTGTGTTAATTGATCTCTGGGAATTTTTTTTTTATATTTTAAAATTCTTAATGGCAGCTATTTAATTAAATGTTACGATGACATAGTTTGCGTATAGAGGACAAACATTTTGTAACTCGACAGCAACATTCATTTCAATTGAGTAATTTTTCAACAAATTTCTACAACATCCACGACAAGATGAAAATTTTGAAAAAATACCATTTTTTTCATTGCTTATAGAGCTTTAAAACACAACTCGAACTTTTCTAATTTATTAAAAATCTAATTATTAAACATGAAAGAGTTGGTACTTAGTATTTAATTATTGTTTCCAGTTTCGACTAATAAAATATTCCCACAAGAATTCATTTTTCTTCTTCCTTTTCTCATATTTGACTTTTCAACAAGTCTCTAAAGCAACTTCTTTTTAATCACATATAGCAATTTACAAAATTGACTTAAATCAGTCAATATTATTCATAAACAATTTTCGTGGATATTGTTCACAATATTTTTTTCCGATCGCATTATTTACTCGAGAGAATAATTTACATAAAATAAAATAAAAATTATTTTTGTACTACAGACATATAATGAAGGATACAAAAATTTCTTTTTTTTTTAAATTGAGTCAGCGACCTGCACTTGATACTCTTATTTGACTTACAGTCATAATAACTATCCAAGAAATATACATGTGTGCTTATTTTTTTTTTATCATCGTAACAACGGTTGAATCAACAAAAAAAGAAAAAAAAACAAACTAACATATTTTTTTTGCCAATAATAATAAACTTTTTTTTTCGAAACACAAAATATATTAGTTTCGTTTTACCGGATGGATACTTAACATAATTCCAGGACACACTTAACTCCTCGTCACTTTCAATAAAGTTGGTGACGATGTTTGCTGTTGAAAATAGAGTCCTGTTTCTTGAAAAGTACTTCGTGTAATAGGAGGTTGAAATCCTGACATACTCGGCGAATCTTCCGATTTATTTGGCTCTGGTGTCATGCGTTTCAAATCTTTATTTCGTTGCAAAATATATTTGAAAAACTCGTACCTGTAAAATACGTCAATTACATGATAAAAAAACAATTATTCTTCTAAAAATTAGATGAATATTCATATTTTTCAAATAAAATAAAAAAAAATCTATAATTTTGTTCTAATTACAAAAATCCGTTAATTTCTTTTAAATCTAGAAATTTTTTAATGTGAAAAAAAATCTGTTATCTCTTTATCTTATAAATGAGAATTTTTTATTGATATAAAGAAGATATGATTTATCGCTTGATTGATAAAGAGTATAAATGTATAACAATGTTGAAAAGGAGGAAGAAAAAAAATCTCTCTGTAAATTTTTAGATAAATTGTGTCACTATTTACAATATTCTTATTTGCGAATTTTTGAATTTAAAGTTCACTTACGTCGACCAACAAATAGCAGCACCTGGCATTTGAGATAAAATTCGTGCATTCAGACCACGAAAATAGCCAGAGACACCTTTTAACCTGTAAACCATTTTGAAAGCTTCAATCATGCCCTGAGGTCGAACACCGGCTTGTTGTGTATTAAGAAGTGTTTTGCAAACATCCAAAGGCGTTGTAGCCGCTGCTGATGCTGCTCCCGCCATTGCACCTGAAATTATTAGAAAATTGACGTATTTTTTTTTTTTTTTTTAATGAAATTTCCTCTTTAATGCAATTTTAGTAAATTATTTTTTAGGAAATAATATACTCTACAGGAATTTATCGACAAAGTACATTATTCTTGAAATATATTTATTAAAACGAACTATTTGTTTTTTGAGAACAATTATAAAACGTGATAAATTATTTATGCACGATTTTTTTTGTAGGAAACTTTTAAATTGAGAGTTCAAAAAGTTTCAATTAAAAATTATAAGTTGGCAGCCCTCTCTAATTAAGTCACAACAAAGCATAAAGTAAATTCTACACTGAAAAAAAAGTATTGAATCAAGAAAACCTATGTACTTGACCGTATTTTATACCAATATTTTCTTGATCCAAGAAATTTTTAGTTTGAAGAAAATTTTCTTGGATCAAGAAAATATTGGTATAAAATACGGTCAAGTACATAGGTTTTTTTGATTCAATACTATTTTTTAGTGTAGTACGTACAATAATCACTTTACTGAAATTTACTTTACGCATCGCTAGAATTGCGTAAAGTAAATTAGTAAAACTATACACAGTTTTCTGTGAGTAAAATCCAACTTTACAAGTTACTGTTGCAAAAAAAAGTTTTTATTTATTAAAATCCTACCATCATTCGATAATTTTTATTCTTTAAAACATTTTTCTTTTAAATAAAAAAGTAAAAAAAACTCAAAATACTATCTATTAATGAACAAAATAATTAAATATAATAATACTCACCGGAAACAACGTGTGCCAAAGGATTATATTCGTGTCGTGGATTCGTAAATGATTGAGAAAGTTCATAAGCAATAAAATGGATACTTTGAAGAGGCACATTCATAGTTAATTGTGTTGTGTAGCTTCGATAAAAGGCGATAATTCCTTCAGATTTATACACGTGTAAAATACAACTCATTATATTTCGATATGGCGAATTGTACATTTGAAGACGTTGTTTGACCACTAGAAAAAATGATAATTAATATTTTTTTTTTCTATTTCAAAAAAAAAAAATTAAGGATATTGTCAAATTCAAACCTTCTGCTGGATTCATTACTGCGTCATGAATGAAAGTCGCTGCACAACCTGCAGTTCCGTAAATAAGAGGATTAAAGTGTGTTGCAATATTGTAGCTGAGCATTGTATTTTTCAGGAACTCGTAACAGGAAAAATAAAGAGCATGAGCTGGTCCAGCTCCTGCTACCATTACACCAACTCCACGAAACGGCCTTAGAACTCCTTCTTGTCGCACCATTCTAGTCAAAACTAACGAAATACTTCCTCCACCTCCTCCAGGACCAGGTGTTATTGTCTGCATTCTTGTCTGAAATATTAAAAATCCTTTTGTCAAATTTTTAAGCTTCAAAAAATATTTTTTATATTATTACTTAATTATCAAAAATTTTTTTTTTTCAATTTTGTAATTAACTCAAATAGTCAATTGTCAAATTTGAATTTGTTAATTTGAAATAATAGCAAATATTCGATTTAAGAAATATTTTTAAAATTACCCAATGAATTTCAAATTTTGAATAAATTTTTTTTTTTTAAAACTCATTGTTACGTAATTCAATCTGACAAAGATGAAATAACAAAATATAAAAAAAAAAGAGATCAAAAAATACATTTCGTGACTTGCAGAAAAATATTTATGACATGCAGTAAATCTTTTAATTCTGACATTAAAAATAATAGAAAATTTTTCTACGAAAAAAAAAGAAAAACAAAATAATGATTTGAAAATTTTATAAAAAAAAAATGTATTTTCGAATTTAATAAAAAATCGATCTTTTAATTTAAAAAATTTGTTTTGTTCTCCAATTTCAGAAATATAAACAATTTTCTGATAATAATTTGTATTATGTACCTATTTATTTAAATAAATTTAAATATTAAATTTAAAACAAGCATTCAATAGTATAAGTTGTGACTGGCAATAGAGAATCAAAAATAGAATCAACCACATTAGACTAGTTATATAATATACATAATATAATTGGAATACAAGAAGTGTTAAGAGTATATTGTTTCTTTTTTACTGACAGAGAATTATGAATTTTGTATTGAAATAGAGTAATGCGCGTTATTTTTTCTTTTTCTAATGTAATATATTACAAAAATGAAATTGAATAACAATTGAATTGTCTTTATTGATATCTAATAGTTATGCAATATTTTCGTAATTTTACTTAATTTTTTTTTTTTTTCTGTGAATTCTTTTTTTAAACTCACACAATATAAATTAATCGATTATTATATTTTAGAAACAAGAAATAATCGAATAAACAAGGACGTGTTTACAATTATTGTTATTAATAATTTGCTTCACATAAAGGGTAAAAATAGTGAATCATAAATGAATACACAATTGTAATATATACTAAACTCAAATTAACGTACAAAGGATAGTAAAATTATATTTATCTTTCATGATAAATATATATTTGGAATTATAATAGTTTTATATATTATAATTTTATATATTATAATATTATATACATATAATAAAAAAATGTATAGTTTGTAAAATATAAACTACATAATCAATTAAATGAAAATAATGCTTAGGAATGTTCACAAAATCAATATCATGGTTTTAGATAAACTTCTTGACAATACTTGTTGTTAAATATAAAAAAGTATTTTCCATTTCAAAATAGAATGATTACCTAATAAAAGAGCAATTTATTCAATTAAATTTTTGTTTAGATTTTAAAAAAAGTTTCTGAATATTCAACACTATTTGCATTTCTTATTCATATGAATTATATGCATTTGCAAATTTTTTTTTTTCACATTTTGAATGCATTTAAAAGTCCATATTAAACATTTTTTTTTTTTAAATTATATAATATAATTAAACTTAATGTTCCATTTATATATTTTAATAATGTAATATAGTTTTACATCCTTTATAGTTGTATAAATTTGTTTACTAGTTTTTTTTTTATTTACATGAAAACAATAAATAATTTTTTTCAAATTAAACATTTTTAAGCTATATCAGAAATTTCGAACTATAATTATTTCCTTACTCGAGTCAGAAAGAATTAGTTTTATTTTATGCTCACTAAAAATGTAAATTATTCACAAGCGGTTGGCTTTCGCTTTTCCTTATACTCTTTTAAGTAGGCCACGTCTCTAACCTAAAATTTTTACTCCTAACTGTAACATACTGATAATGATTCCATGCGAAATGAAAGTATTGTAATTAACTAATATAATTAAAGAACTATTAAGTTTGATAAAATATTTGAAATTTGTTTTAAAATTTAAAATATACTTTATATAGCATAAATGATTGGCGCATGCCGCACCTGTGTCAATAGAATAACGAACGAGAAATGTTATTTAAAAAAATATTTTTTTTTTATCTAAAAAGCAAAATACGTAAATAATAAAATATAAAATAATTAATTTCAAAATAATACTGGCATGACTGTATTTTAAATAAGTTTTGCAAATGTCACAAAAACTTTTTGATTTTTTCGTCATTTTTGCATTATCACGATTAAATTATTGTAATAAATTGTTAGAATATGATTTCGCAGAATTTTCGACTTGTTTACTTCATTAAACCTTGATAATATTTCCTCTAACATTAAATGACTGTGTTTAAAATATATCTCCGATTTCTCTGAAAAGGAAATACAATCTATAGAAATTTATTACAATTTCCCCCAGTTGACAATGACGACTGTTTTAACAAATAATTAAACATTTTGAAAAACTGAAAAAATTACAATAGATTTTTTTCTTAAAGAAATATATATGTATATATATATATATATATATATATTGATGAGAAGTACAATGATAGTGACGCATTTATGACGATTAAAACACGCATGATGAAGAAACGACGAAATGTAAAGAGGTTATGTAAGGATTCAACCTGGATGGAAGTGAAAATTTACCTTGACACTGTCAAGAGGATACATGACACAGTGTTCCATGATCCCGGCGAAGGCACCCGCAATCATATGGATTCCCACAGATGATGTAGGCAAACTTTCATAGTCGTCTATATTCATGATTTCAATTTTAATTCCTTATTATTAACAGTTTCTTCGAATGACTTATTTTCAAATCCAATATACATTCAAATATAAACGTTGTTCTTCTTGAATTAGAATTATTTGCCGGTTTTTTTTAATATGAATTAATTGATAAGAGTATTTCTTATGTAGATAACGAGAGATGTTACGTGATTCGAAATATTGAAGAGTCCAGAACTTTGCTGATTTTTCAAAGCGAAGTTGCATTCACAAAAACACACACTATTTACATTTGTTTGTTTTTTTTTTTTTTTTTTTATAAATAATGAGAGTTTGACTACGTTTCGCGAGTCAATTCGCGAAAGTTATCTTTCGCGAAAGACATGAACGCAATCATTGACGGCGTCTTTCGTACTCGGTTCTAATGTGGCTCAAATGAGGCCGCGTTGCTGAACTGAATATACACTCCCGGCAGACAGGGAATTATTAAAAAAAAATCCCCTCTTCAATTTTTCACGTTATTAGAAGGTATGTAATTGTTTTTATGCATTTCACGAGGTACAATTCTTTAACTATGACAAGATGTAATTTAAAGTCAAATTGTAACCTAAGTGTTAAAAAGTGCAAAAGATTTTAAGAATTTAAAGCAGAAGAAAAGTAAGGTTATATGTTAGAGCACGTGGCGCGCATGCGCTCATCAAACCACGTGGTTAAATTTCAGCACCCTCTCGTGATTATAAAAGTAACTTTTCAAATTCGCGATTTTTGCAAAAATTGCAATATTTTTTTTTTCTAATTTCGTTAGAATTATTTTTTAAAAAAAAATATAAATATTCGGTAGATTTCAATTTGTTCTTCTGTTTTATCAGATTTTAGTTTGTTTATAATTTGACATTTGGTTATCCTCTTTTTTTCTATAAAATTATTAAAAAAGTAAAATTGTTATTTAAAACGTTTCATTCTGTGAATACTAGAGGCGCTGTCTGTAATAGTCTTTTCGTCTGCTAACTGCTTGTTGTGTGCATTGATGTTTTTTTTCAAGATTTTTGACGTAAGTGTGTAATAAAATATAAATATGTTGACAGAATCTAAAAAAAATAATTCTCACTGTTTAACAATATAAAGTAACAAAAAAGACATTCTTTTATAATATAATATCTATCAATTTTCAGCATCTTTAGTGTCTTACAAAAATATTTACAATGGCACTGAGCTTCACCAGGTATTATGTTTGTTTAAAAAAATAAAAAACATCTATTGTTCTTTTTATTGACTAAATAGAGCATTTGAATTTTATTAATAATTCTAGGCTTTTGTGTCGTCGAAATTTGGAGTTTCGTCAATTTCGTGGATTATACACTTCCTCGTAAGTTATATAATGTTTTATATTGTTGTAGTCATTTATACTATATGTATATACATATATACCGGCTTTAAATTGACATAAGAAAACAATTGTATTATGTATTTATTGGTTTTTAAAATCATAATTTATATCAAATGTATAATTAATTATTATATATGTTGTTTTTTATTTTTAGCCCATTGGCAGTATCGAAAACTGCTGTGATACGCGCTACATGTTCGACTACTGTTGAATCGCACGATGAAAAAAATATGCGTCTTAAGCGGCCAATGTCGCCACATTTAACTATTTACCAACCACAATTGACATCAATGCTTTCTTTGACGCATCGTACTACTGGAATTATATTAGCATCTTATGCGATGGCTCTTGGATTTGGTATGTTGTACATTGTAACTAGGATAAATTAAATTAAGAAAAAAAAAACTATAACTATATATATATATTATTTTAGGTACCTTGGTGGTTCCTGGTGGAATTCCTTGTCTTATTAATATAGTGGAACACTGGTGTCTTCCGTCAGCTGTTCTTATTATAGCAAAAGCACTTTTAGCCCTTCCTGTTACGTATCATTACGCCAATGGACTTCGTCATTTGGTAAAAAAAACAAATCCTTTTTACTGCTAAAATTTTCGGGGCGTTATAGATTCTACACAAATAAACCCTACACGAGAAAATTGCGTACCGATAATTTTACAAAAAAAAAATCCTACACTTGGACAATAAGCAAAATAAAATTAATTAACAATTTTTTACTTTACACAATTAAATCAAACATAATTTTATTCTACACATTTAATTGCACACAGGAAAACCCTACACCGTTAACTCTGAAAAAAAAAATTCTACACAATAATATGCGGAATAAAATTTAAAAACAAATAATAAAAATTCTAAACGATTAAATACTACAAAATATAACCGTACAAATTAAATTGCACTCAGAAAAACCCTACACGATTAACTCTGCAGAACTCTCCATGGTTAATTAGAATTTTTTATATTCTACACAGTCGACATGGCAACTCTGTTTTTTTCATAAATAAACATACTTATGAGTAAGTATATAAGGTGCAGAATCTTCTTGTGCAATCGTGTAGGGTTTTTCTGAGTGCAATTTAATTTGTACGGTTATATTTTGTAGTATTTAATCGTTTAGAATTTTTATTATTTGTTTTTAAATTTTATTCCGCATATTATTGTGTAGAATTTTTTTTTCAGAGTTAACGGTGTAGGGTTTTCCTGTGTGCAATTAAATGTGTAGAATAAAATTATGTTTGATTTAATTGTGTAAAGTAAAAAATTGTTAATTAATTTTATTTTGCTTATTGCCCAAGTGTAGGATTTTTTTTTGTAAAATTATCGGTGCGCAATTTTCTCGTGTAGGGTTTATTTGTGTAGAATCTATACCACCCCAAAATTTTCAATGCTAATTAATTAATCTAATTCCTAATTAATCATTATTTTTGTTCAAGGCTTGGGATTTAGGCAAATTTTTGTCACTCAAAGAAGTATACTCGACTGGATATTTAGTTACTGGTTTGTCTGTTGGTGCAGCATTGGCACTTGCAATTCTGTAAATTAGTTTAAAAAAAAATAAAGGAAATGAAAAATATTAAATTATCCTTTAGAATACAAAAGGTAAATATAAAATTTCTGTATACCGTATAAAATAAAAGTTATTTATTAAAAATTGTAGCATTTACAAAGCTCACGTTTTATTGAATATAAAAACAATTTAATTGAATGATAATGTATAATTTTCTTAAAATATATTAAACAAAACTTTCCAGTGAGGAGTCAAGAAATTTTTTATAAATACTCATAAATCTTGCGACAAATGCTTCTAAATGAAAAATTGCTTTTGATCCACGATGCATTCGATGTTCATATTCTGCAGCAACTGTTGCTATTTCCATTTTTAATTGAAGATCACAATTTTTTATACTTTCTTGCAAAAGTCCTTTAAATATTAAATCACAGGGTATTGAATGTGTTAATAATTCATAGAGTCTATTGCGAATTTCTAAAAGTTTTTTTGGACTTTGTTCAGCAACCATTAAATTTGCTGTATTGCGAATGTATAATTGCCAGTCAGGTTCAGTAATTTTTTGATCAAGAGTAAAAGGATATCTGAAAAGAGAATAATATAAATATTAGAAATAAAAATGATATATTTTCAATTATAAAAAACAATTTTTTTTTTTTTTTTTGTTATACTAACTGTTCAACTTTGCACGCTTCCATCATTAATATCGCTCTTCTCAAATTCCGACCGCTTGTTTCAGCTAATCGAGTTGCCAATTCGTCTGGTAAATTCAGCCCTTCACGTTTAATAATAGAGTGAAGAATTGTTTTTATTTCCGGTACTGTAGGCGCGGGTACGCGTATTCCTAAGCAACGTGATCGAATTGCTGGAAGTACTCTTGATGTGGAATTTGCACAGAGAATCAATCGACAAGTTGAGATGTATTTTTCCATTGTTCGACGTAATGCATGTTGCGCATCCTTTGTCAATTGATCTACATTTGTTAGTAAAACGACTGAAAAAAAATTGAGAATTTTTCAAAATTATTATATTTATTATGTCTAGATATTATATAATAATAAATAATCACTTTTAAACTCTTTTTGGCCACTTGGATCAATTTGATGAGTTTGAGCAGTGGTTTTAACAAGATCCATTATCACTACTCTATCATAAATTCCAACATCACTTGGGTTCACTTCAATATGATAATTACTACTTATTGTCATTATTTCAAGTTTCTTTTTAGATGGTGTCTGCAATAAAAAAAAAAAAAATATAATTCGAGCGAGATGACAAAAAATTCGTTTACTCTTATTCTAAAATTCTTTGATATTAACCTCAAAATGCATATTTTCTGTTCGAACTCTTTCAACACCACTTCCATAAAGTTCTTTTATTATACACATTATTCGAGTCTTTTTACCAGCACCCGGTGGTCCATAAACAAGTAAATGCGGAAAATCTCCTTTTTGAACCTTAAATGAAAAATTAATAGTGTAATTACATACATATGAGGCATTCTATTTCAAACCGTACCACCTACAAATGACTATCGGGGGTAGAGCACTTTTCATACCTAATTTATTTTATTTAAAAGTCTTTAAATATAAAATGTAAATAATGCTTTTAATAGAGAATTTTTCAAGCTTTAAGATGGTGTAAGACTTTATTTTTAAAAAAATTTACTTCTTGGTTTAATTTGCATTTAAAAACTTTCAGAGTTAATTTCTCAAAATATGTCACTTTCAATTTTGATGAAATTTGTCTCAAAAGAAAAATTAAATTCTCTAGTTTCTACCATCCAAAGATTATAATGGGCTTTTCAGTGGATCCAGGGAAAAAAAATAAAATGTAAATTCACTTTTTACTGAATTTTGCGTAGAAAACGTAACCCTCTTGAATTTCACGTCATAGTCAAAATCATTTGTTTTTTTAAAAATAATATTGTTAAAAAGGTAAATTTATTTTAACCTCGAAGAAGTTTTAAATTAAAAAATTGTTACTTTCATTTTACAATAAAATTCAAAATGGTAATTAATTTGATATTATTTATATTACTAACATAATTATATATAATAAAAGATACATAACAATTTAACTAATAAAGATATATTATTAAATTATATTTTTGCTTTACAATTTTGACAAAGTGATCTTTTTAACAGAATTAAAAAAAAAACAAATGATTTTGACTCTGACGTGAAATTCAAGAGGGTTACGTTTTCTACGCAAAATTCAGTAAAAAGTGAATTTACATTTTATTTTTTTTCCCTGGATCCACTGAAAAGCCCATTATAATCTTTGGATGGTAGAAACTAGAGAATTGAATTTTTCTTTTGAGACAAATTTTATCAAAATTGAAAATGACATATTTTGAGAAATTAACTCTGAAAGTTTTTAAATGCAAATTAAACCAAGAATTAAATTTTTTTAAAAATAAAGCCTTACACCATCTTAAAGCTTGAAAAATTCTCTATTAAAAGCATTATTTACATTTTATATTTAAAGACTTTTAAATAAAATAAATTAGGTATGAAAAGTGCTCTACCTCCGATAGTCATTTGTAGGTGGTACGGTTTGAAATAGAATGCCTCATATATAAGTAGGTGAATTATTCATATCTATGATTAAATTTAAAAAAATAGCTTTTAATTAAAAAAAATGTGAATAATAAATTAAAGGCACTATTTTTTACGAAATAGATTAAAATATAAAAATTATTATACGAAAACAATATTTTGGCGGGCATTATTCTAACCTCAAAATTTAAATAACTGAAAGTAAAACATATTTACCATATTTTTTAGATATTCCGCTTGCTGTGTATGATAATCCAATTTATTAAGACTCGTAGGACGATATTTATCAACCCACAAACTCATTTTGTAACTTTATAATTGACAATAAGTTTTTGCATAAACAACCGGCACGACGACTGCGTTCTGACTTTGAGTTCTCAAATAAGGTTAGGTTAGTTCTTGTATTTAAATTCTTTTTAAAAAAGAAAATTTAAATTACAAATATCTATTAACTTTAAATAATAGAATTACAATTGAATTTAATTTAGAAAATGTCTTATCAAATAAAAATATCCAATATTTTACAAAAAACTAAACTTTATTCATTTATTATCGTCATTGATTATTCATAATAGTATAAAAATTGGTTCTTATATTATTATACTTGAATTAGATTATTTATGAAAAAACATTATATTATTGACAATAATAGTGTCGTGAAGAATTTTCATAAAAAAAATTAAATATATATCACATAATTAATTTTTAAAAAAAATATAATACTTTTAACACATTGAGTTATAAATTAAATATAATCACTTAAACAAATTTGTTGAGACTCCTGGTGAACCAAAACTTACTGGTGTTTTTTTAAAATCAGAATTAGATGGAAAATTTACTGATGAACCAAAAGAAAAAGCAGGAGAATCAGAACCCTTTTGATTGTTTATAGGTTTAATTGTACTCAATGTATTAATTGCTTTTGGTTCGTTTTTATCATCTGTTCGATTTATGTTACTCAATGATTGATCAACAATATTTAATATTTTACGTTCTTGTGGCAAATTTTGTTTAAAACAATCTGTACACTTGGGAATAATAGTTTTCTGACAAGTTTTACAAGTGTAATTGACCTTTAATCCACAATTGTCAAATTTCTTCGAAATAGAATAGAGTTCATCTTCAATATTAATGTAAAGTTTTATCTCTTGGTCTGTTGATTTAATAACGTGTTCTTCAAAAATCGAAAATTCCTTTGAACTTGACAAAGTTATCATGTCGGATTCTTTATCTGAAATAAAATATTTTTGTGAAATAATTACAGGTTTATATAAAAATATGTATATATGAACAAAAAAAAAAAATTACCTTTCCATAGTAATGTAAATTTATTGAATTGATTTAAGGGAAAAATGGCTTCTAACGTTTCCACCATTTTCTCAAAAGAAAGTTCATTTGTCTTTAAACCAAATTTGCGAATTTCATCTTCTTTTTGATTTTTGTAGACATAAAGTTTGAAAGTATATGTTTTATTTTCATCAACACTCATTTTTAGAAATTTTGAATAGTAAAATGTTATTAAAGTAGAAAATACGTAAATTAATTAAAACAGTAGACGTAACAGCAATAAACCGGTGTTAATTTTAACGGTATAATATTATCATTAATAAACTGAAACTGATTGACTTGATCTCGACTCTCGACTACATTCTTTTATTATTTACTACAGACAGATTTATGAAATTGAAGGTTAGGCGTTGAATGAATAGATGTCAGCACTTGACTAATTCCAAACCACATTTTTGAAAATTTAAAAATTCCATTTATTCTTACTTAAAATATTTAATTTCTAATTTAGAGAATTTAAATTTAATTTCTTGTAATTGTGTTATTAATTCTAATTGTAATAAACATAATTTATAGCAGAACGGAAATAAAATGAAATTTCTATATAGTTATGAAATAAATTTAAACTGTATTAAAAGAACAATTAAAGTTTAAAATTCAATTTTTTATAGAGTTTGCAAAAAGTTTCCGTTAGTGCGTACCTATATATTGTATTTTTCAGGAAACTATGTTTAAACTCATAAAAAAGTCAATTTCTTGTTGTTTAGAAACTATTTACATTCTTTTGAATTTTCCCACCAGCATTGGAACTGGTTTCATTATAAACACTATCCTTGTGGAAAAATATTTTATTTATTGTTGGTAATCAATATTAAAGTTTTTTTTTTAATTTATGAGAATAAAATAGACTGTAATGATATAAACAAAAATTTGACAAAAAATATGAAATTACATCAAATAATTTATGCAAAGTATTTTCATTTATGAATTTTATTACATTTTATTCTAAAATTGAATTTATTATAATTATATAATAACTGAATTTAAATAATAAATTTAATTATCTTTTCTTTTCTTAAATAATTATATATACTGAAGACTATTTAAATTACAATGAACAGAGGTTTTAAATTTAATTATATTTAATGAAATTGAACTAAATCGCTCGTTATTTGTCAATGTTTTTAGTTCATTTCCTATGCTCTTCGAAATTCATTATGCAAGCTTCGTCTTCATTAGGATGCCTTTTTTTTATATTGGTTCGACTTACGCGATGACGCAACCGCAGGGCGCATATAATTATTCCATAATGTGAATTATTTATAATTTTAATTTTAAAGAATTTTATTAAAAAGAATTTTACTTTATTCGAATTAATGTTCAATTAAATTTAAATTAATCAAAATTTATACTTAACAAAATTTCTATGTAATGAAATTTTTATTTAGGGTAAATGTATATCAATTACGGCGCGTTTATAAAAAATAACAATTATTACTATTATATTTAATAAAACTGTTGCAAAATGATTTTAAAAAATTATTTTTATCTTCTTTTTAATACAATTACTAATAAAGCTGTACATTTAAATAATTATTAATTTTATTATTTAAGATTAAATTTTACCCTCGCCGTAATTGAAACATTTTTAAGATTTCCATTGACTTCAATTACGGCGGGCAAAATATCTTCAAAATACACGTAATTTCGATCACCGTAATTGATACACCGAAATTGATACGTAATAGCCGTATAATTTTTTTTAACACGTATTTTTATTTATCAGAATTCTTATTAAACATTAGAATTTTGTCTGACTTGGATTTTTAAATGCCAAAATTTTCATTAAACCAAATCGTTGTTTGTTTGAATTTTTATTAACACAAAATGTCATTTAATAGAAATGTTAAAATTTTCATTTATTCTTCATTGAAAATGGCCAAATAATCAAACGGCAGAAATATTTCGGCGCTAATTTTAAAATTAATCACAATTTTCTTGACAGTTTTATGATTGGTCAATTTTAAAATTGGCGCCGAAATATTTCTGCCGTTTGATTATTTGCCAATTTTCAATGTATAGAATAAATGAAATTTCTGAATTTTAAGATGACATTTTGTGTTAATAAAAATTTTGACAAAAATGGATATTTGGTTTAATGAAAATTCTATTATGTCATTTAAAAATTCGAGTCAGACGAAATTCTAGTGTTTAATAAGAATTTTGATAAATAAAAATTCGTATTAAAATTAATTCTTTCGAATAAAAAAATGAAAATTATATATGAAAGAATAATAAATAAAAATTTGATTACATAGAAATTCTGATTAATTTAAATTTTGATTGAACATTAATTCGAAAAATAAATTCGAAAAAAGTAAAATTCTAATAAACTTTTATAAAATTGAATTATTGAAATATGAATTTGTTCAGATTGAATTTGTATTAATTTTCTGACGCGTTTTCGAATTTTAAAGCTCGAAAATTTGATTTTATTTCTTCTTTGATTAACGCAATATTGAGTATATTGCATCAAGCATTGATGTCTCTCTCCTACGTGACACGACAATTGGCACAAATTTGCGTAGAGGGAATGCACCTCAAGAATTGTTTGGTCTTTATCAGAATATGATTTAGAGGCGCAAATCTCCGATTCTCATTTATTTAAATATACATTTATAGAGTCTCACGTTATCAAAAAACTGAATTTCTGTCTTGTTAGTAACTCTGACATCCAAAATTATGAATAACTTCTTTTATATTATATGTAATTTCGTTACGAAAATTCAGTTAGAACATTTTTTTTTGATAAGAAATAAGGCAAGAAAATCGTGAGCTGAAAACTCATAAGAGTATAATAAGGTCTTCTCCCTAAATTTATTAATTCTTAAATAGATCATTTTGAAATTCAGTCACGTTTACAATATTGACAATACAATATCTTGCAAATTGGAGGGAACACACTCTTATTTGAATTAATTTCCTATTTCTGTATTAGTTAGCTAAATATTAACAAATTTTTTTTTTTTTTTTTTTTTTTTTTTTGAAGAAAATATTTTAATCTATTTCTTTATTTTGAATTATATTCTCGAAATATTGAGAAATAAGAAAGAGATTCCGTTGCATTCTTAATATTGTTTCTCTTTTAAATTATTTTCATTGAAATCCTTCAAGTATTCTGTATACTATGAAGAAAACAATCACGATATTCCTTTGAAAAATGGCTTCTTAAAGTATATATATACAATTTTTCTTTTGATTGACCTTATTTCATTCAATATTATTGTTAATTAATTGTAATCACTAATTGTATTTTATTAAAAGTAAGATTATATTTTAAGTTTCCAATTTTAATTAAGTTAGCTTTATATTTTTTTTCAACAATACTTTTTTTGTATTATATACTATATCAATTTACAATTTCTTTCTTTAATGGACCATTTCTTGAAGAGAATGTCTAAAACACTTGAATTTTCTCTGTTAAGTATAAATTTAAATTCTTGTTCCCGCGATATTGGAAAAGTTTTGAATTTTTCTTCACACTCAATTTTTCGACTTTTTTCATTCTAATTACATTCTTTTGTATATATAGTCGATTATATATATATATATATATATATATATACTGTAATTAAAAACAAGAATAAATCCTCCCTGGAAATAAATTTTCAAATTCCTTCATTTTAAAATAGAAGCTCATTACGTTATTTAATTCAAAAAATAAATTGCATTTACATTCACACTCTTTTTCGTGATAAAAAAAACACAAACAGTAAAATCCACGTACATCGGATTTCAAGGGACCGGAAAAAAAACCGATGAAATCGTGAATCCGAATTATGCGGGTCCGTTATACGAGAGTTTCACTGTATTAAATTAAGTTTTTTAAAAAAGTTTTTTGAAAAATAAAAATATAAAAATTACCGACATAGAAATCTACCTTACCAACTGATGGTAAAACAGTTTTTTAATATAAAAATTATCTACACAGAAATCTACCTTACCGACTGATGGTAAACATTTTGAAAAATAAAGAAAAACCGATACAGAAATCTACCTTACCAACTGATAATAAAACAGTTTTTTTTGAAAAATAAAATTTTAAAAATTATCGACATAGAAATCTACCTAACCAACTGATGGTAAAACAGTTTTTTTTTAAAAAAATAAAAATTATCTACACAAAAATCTGCCTTACCGACTGATGGTAAACATTTTGAAAATATAGAGAAAAACCGACACAGAAATTTACCTTACCGACTGATGATAAAACAGTTTTTTTGAAAAATAAAAATTTAAAAATTACCGACATAGAAATCTACCTAACCAACTGATGGTAAAACAATTTTTTTGAAAAAAGAAAATATAAAAATTACCGATATAGAAATCTACCTTACCAACTGATAGTAAAATTATCTACACAGAAATCGACCTTACCGACTGATGGTAAACATTTTAAAAAATCAAGAAAAACCGACACATAAATCTACCTTACCGACTGATAATAAGTTTTTTTAAAAATAAAAATTTAAAAATTACCGACACAGAAATCTACCTTACCAACTGATGGTAAAACAGTTTTTTAAAATAAAAATTACCTACACAGAAATCGACCTTACCGACTGATGGTAAAACAGTTTTTAAAAAAAAAAAAATAAAAATTATCTACACAAAAATCTGCCTTACCGACTGATGGTAAACATTTTGAAAAATATAGAGAAAAACCGACACAGAAATCTACCTAACCAACTGATGGTAAAACAGTTTTTTTTGAAAAAGGAAAATATAAAAATTACCGACATAGCAATCTACCTTACCAACTGATGGTAAAACAGTTTTTTAAAATAAAAATTACCTACACAGAAATCGACCTTACCGACTGATGGTAAACATTTTGAAAAATAATGAAATGCTAACACAGAAATCTACCTTACCGACTGATAATAAAACAGTTTTTTTTGAAAAATGAAAATATAAAAATTACCGACATAGAAATCTACCTTACCGATAGTAAAAAAATTTCTAGAATTTTCCAAAAAATTACCATCTGTCGGTAAGGTAGGTTTCTATATAAGTAATTTTTATATTTTCATTTTTCGAAAAAAACCTGTTTTACCATCAGTCGGTAAGGTAGATTTCTGTGCCGGTAATTTTTAAATTTTCAAAAAATTAGCATCAGACGGTAAGGTATATTTCTAGGTTGGTAATTTTTTTATTTTTTAACCATTCACATACAAGTTTAAAAGTATATTATAAAAAAAATATGTCTTATTAAAACTAGTCAAAAAGTAGTTTTCCAAAATCATTTGTATTTAGTTTTTTTCTTCATTTTTTTTGCAAGAAGTGATTGGACATTTTAGAGCTCTATCACAAAGGAAAATAGAAAAGTTTATTGGAGTCATAATTCTTTCGCTAATCCAGATAAAAGAGGACAGAGAAGACGTGAGTGCTTTTACTGGGAGTGTTGAGTGCGATTTTCCCGGACATTTCTGTAAATGACAGGCCAGTTTGAATATTCAATATTGAATATGGAAATGTTTTTAAATTAGAAATAATTTCTGTAAAAACAATTATTTTTTTTTTTAATTATATTCTTATGTAGTTATATAAAAAAAAAATGATTCGAAGTGGATTAGAAAATAGTGTTGCTTATCTTCTTTCTTTATAAATCTTTGCTTTAAAATAATAAATTTTTTACTTTATTTGGAAAACAATATTTTATCTATAAAGTTTTTCAAAGTATATGACATAAGCAACCTATGTAAATACTACAATAAAGTTTTGTGAAATTCATTAACTATGCGGGCGAATTCATGTGAAATTGATCTTTTAAATTCTGTACAAATAATAGGATTATTTAAATTTGAAACTCGAGAGAAAAATTATAGATATATATACTTTCAATTCATGGTTATCTGCGCATGGCAATAAATCGACTTTTAAAGTTTGATTCTTTTGATACACGACAATTCTGAGGGCGAGCAGCTGGAAAATAACTTTTATAATGGATATACGTAAGAAAACTCTAATTTTACTAGTTCTCGTTATTATTATTATTATTAGTATTTACTTTTTATATTCTAAAGCGTTAATTTCATTAAAATTAAATTATTTTTGTCAATCATTTTATAAAATTTCCAGTACTTTTGGTATATTTTTTTTGGTACATTCTAAATAATATCTATAAACCAAAATTTTCTAAAAATAGCAACGACTTATTTTGAATGACCTTAATTATTCTAATTATTTTAATTTAATTTAAATTCTAAATTTTTTTTAGAAAAGTAATTATAAGAACAATTAAAAGTTCTTTTTAAAAGGGATATATTAAAAATTTGATGTTAAACAAGATTACAGAGTCCAATAAGTCCTCTTAATCTTATTTTCGGTTTGGGATTCCTTTTACAAAAGAGCACGAAATGGTCATTTATTTTTTCTCCTTGAAACGTGTTTTCTGAAAAGCAGAAAATGAAAAATCGCTGTATAGAAAAACTACATAAAAAAAAAACATTTTTTTTTTAAATAATCAGAAATAAAATATTATTTATAAAAAGATTTGAAAACTTATTTTTCTTCTCTTATATATATTTCGTTTCACAAGTTATTTATTTTTATTTTGAAGTATTTTTTTTTTATTTCTATATATAAAAAAAAAGATTGATTATTTTATACAACACTTTTAATTAAAAGAGCAATGTTTTCACTTCAAGTAATGGTAGCGTAACAGCAAGGAGTAAATTTTAATACTGATTGATCTTTTACAGACTCACTGGGTGTTGACATAATCATAATGGAACTTTTAAATATAAATCTTGAAAATTTGATGAGGAGTTAAATGAAAAAGTAGTCAATGTTTCATATTGGCTTTTCATCAATGAAGTTTACATTTATATTTATTTTTTAATTTTTTTTTTTACATACACAAATGCGCAGTTATAAAAAAAAATAATAATAAATGAGACAAAACTTTTTGATTTCATCTTCATTATATTCAAATAAATATAAAAGAATAATTTGATATTTCTCGCATTTTGATTGAAATTTGAATTTTTTAAAATCAGTTCCAGAATATATTTTAATATATATATATAATAGTGAACAATGTTGAATCGGAGAGAAATTTTCTTTTAATAAACTACAACATGCAGTATATAAATTTTCGCATTAAATTTTAAACTTTAACACGTGATATTATTTTACAAAATTAGAAATTATTATTATATTAATACTGTTTTATAAATTGAATTTACAATAATATATGTATATATAATTATACTTAAACATCTAAACTGTCATTTTTAATAATAATTTATATAAATTAAATTACTAGTTTTCTAATTGTTTTGATATTATGATATTTCTCTTGACATGTCTCATTCTTGAAAAATTTCATTTTTTTTTATGTGAGTATATTATAACAAATTGAATTCATTTCATTCTAAGCGTACATTCGGATATATATTTGCTGAAACTTGTTCCTTGTTTATCGATTTTAATGTTCGCACCTCGGATGATAATCTGAAATTGAAGAAAAAAAACATGTTAACGACTATCTGTTATATTGTTGAAAGACTAATAACTAATAAACTAATAAACCTTTTTAAGATCAAATACAAACATTTGTATCTGCCACAGATGGCACGTAAGCTTGCAGTAAACTTGCAGCAAGCTTGCCGCGCAATATTGCCAACCTTGCACGGCTAACTTACCGCAAGTGCACTGCAAGCTTCAAATGTCCCACCTGGCCGAACATTTGAAGCTTGCAGTAAGCTTGCGTCAAATTTGCCGTGCAAGATTGGCAACATTGCGCTGCAAGCTTACCTACTATCTGGGTGGTCTTAATAAAATTTTCGAGCTTAGAAACATTTTTCCTAAAAAAGGAACAAATTTAAATTCTCGTTAAATAAACTATTACCAAAAGCTCGCAACACAATTAGTTCTTTTTTTTTTGCTGTTTCTTATTGTTATTAAATATTTTGTAAAAAAAAACAGTCTTTTGTAAAAAAAAGATTTTCGCTTGGAAATATGAGGAATAATTCTGGAAATGGAGTAAAAGAGAGAATCAGAGAAATTATAAAAACCAAAATAGAAAGGAGGAACGTATTCAGTTAATTTAAATACAAAAACGTTTAATAACGTTCTTTGAAACTATGTTATTAACGCTTCCAATTTATGTGAATGTCTTAATTGCACTTGGAGCTATAACAAGCATACAAATATATATATATATGTATATTATATTCTATATTGCTTTAATAAATAGAATGAAAAGCATTCCGGAAATAAAAGTTTGCGCAAGTACCATCTGGCAGATATTGAAATGGATCAGGTTGAAAGTTAAAAGTTAAGAAAGTTGTACCCTGTTATTATTTTTGAATAGACTCAACTTTCACAAGATGTTTTTTTTTTACAAATTATAAAGAACCTTTTTATTCTGAAATAATAAAAGAAAATTAAAAACAAATTCTCAAGTACTTGTATTGAAAAAATGTTAATAATGCGACGAACGATAGAGACGTTTTGGAAAGAAAAGCGACTGACAAAAAAGAAGACGATCATGACTTTTTGGGAGGATTGAGAAAAAAAAAGTCAAGGTTTCAAGAAGGGTCCGTTTAAGCCCTTAAGGGAAACGCCCAACCTTATAAGCAACTCACCTGACTGTAAACATTTTTCTCTTTCGATCAATATTCGATTTCCTGTTTTCCATGTTACTTATGTATATTATATTACTCCCCTATATTTCAAAAATCTAAAAAATCGTTTCCGTAGCAATTCACCACAAAAATGTTTTCAGAAAGGAAATTCTAGTAAATTATATTTGATATAATGATGATTACCAAAAGTTCTTATATATATATATATATATATATATAGTATAAAGCTTTCTTTAACTAATTCAAAAGAGGAGAGAAAGAGACTCTGGAAAAGTTTGGATTAAAAGCTCCCTCTGGTATTGTTACCCACCGATTATCTGGGATATATTCTTTTACTATCCTTATGTGACTCCTAAAAGTCTTTTATATTAGAGTGAAAGATTTAGATTGACACAGATAAAACTTATTTATATGAAAAATATTATAAAAAAAAAATATTCTTATTTCTTTTTGAAAAAAATATTTTCTAGACATTTTTTAAAGCAAACTTTTTTAATCAATAAATTGTCATTTATGAGAAAATAATTTGAATTTCAAAATGAATTGAAAAATATATGAAATCTATTGAAATTCAATATATAATATTGAAATTAGAGCTATTATATATTATTTTCGAATTAGAGACATACAAGACTTACTTTGGTGATATTTTTCAATTTTTCAATTTCTCGTTACATAATTCTTATCTGACTTTTATGACGTTATACCATACTTATTCTCATGGGAATCAGTATCACTTTCTCATTCAATATTACATTCCATTTTCAATTTGCAGTTAAAGTTGAAAGTAAAGAAAAAATAAAAAATAAAAAAATGCCTATGGTACTCTCATTATTTTTCTTTATATATTTCTTTTATTTTGTTTGTTAGACAAAAACCTCAGAGTGCAAAGTAGTCCAATTTTCATTCAAACTTTTGATTATTTTACTTGTTCAACTTTCCAAACAAGTTTTGTGCAAGAGAGAGAGAGAGAGAGAGAGAGTCCTATAGTATATTAAACATGAAATTCTCTTCTAAGCTGCATATAAGTCAATTGCAAAAGGACCTACTTTTCAAATCCAATTCGGGAGAAAACCGTTTGTTTTATATATATATATATATATATATATATATATATATATATATATATATATAAATTGTCAGCTTTTTATTTGACTAACTCCTCCTGAATTAAATTAATTAATCTTGCTTTATATACCGAAAAAAATAAAATCTTAAAATGAGAAGAAAATTCCGCTCAACATTTAATTTTACATTTTATATTTAATATATATATGAATATTCATCTAAAAAATAGAGGATTATTTTTATTTAAGATGATAATTTTTTTTTTTTTTTTTTTTTGATTGAAAGTATTCTTTTCCAATTGAGATTTTTTTTCTATAATTGAAATTATTCCTCTAGAAACGAAACAAATTTATAATAGAGAAAAGTCAGTTTGGCTGACTTTAGTAAGTAGTAAAAAACAGCTTGCGTCAGACAAACTAATGCTACACTGAAAAAAAATTTATTTGGATCAAATAAAAAGTATTTGATCCAAATACATCATTTACTTGTCTATTATCCAATAAATATGTATTTGAACTAAATACACTTTTACTAAACCTAAGTATTTTATTTTATCGTATCAAATAAATAGTTATTTGAATGAAATATACAAAATATTCAAATCAAATAAATGGAATATTCAAAGCTAATAAATAATTATTTAAATCAATTATGAAAATTATTTCATTCAATATACTGTATGTTTTTTTAATCAAATAAATATTTATTTGCATTAAAAAAATATTTTTCTTGAAACAACTAAAAATTTTTTTGAATCAAATATTCGTTTATTTGTTATAAGTAATTGTTTTAATTGAAACTAAAACCTCTTTAATTGAGGCAATTATTATTTTATTTGATCCAAATACATATAATTTATTTGCATAAAATGTAAGAATTTTTTGATTCAAATAAATCAAAATTTGAATTGAATAAATAACATATTTATTTACTAATTCTTCCATTTCTAAATGAATAGTACCAAATAACTCATTATTCTCATTACACTTAAATATTTAATTGGTCAAAATATTTTAATTTCCTTTAATAAAAAAGTGTATTAATATTAAATAACGCATTATTAACATTAAATAACGCATTATTTATATTAAATAATTTAATTAATTAGAATTAATAAATTTATTGTATCAAATACTTTTTATTTGCATCAAAAAAATGAAATATTTGAATGAAATAAATAAATTAATAGTTGCAAGTAACTCATTATTTTCGTTTCAAATAAACATTTAATTGATTAAAATATTTTTTTATTTGTCTTGATAAAATAGTGTATTAGTATTAAATAATTTAATTGACTTGAATCAGTTAAATAAAGTTATTGTATCAAATACTTTTTATTTGTTTCAATAAAACGAAATATTTGAGTGAAATAAATAAATTAATTGTTTCAATTAAATCATTATTATCGTTTCAAATAAATATTTAATCGATTGAAATATTTTTTTATTTGTCTTGATGAAATAGTGTATTAGGATTAAATAATGAATTATTTGTATTAAATAATTCAGTTTATTTGAATCAATTACATAAATTTATTGTGTCAAATACTTTTTATTTGTATCAAATAAACGAAATATTTGAGTTAAATAAATGAATGAATAGTTTCAAGTAACTCATTATTTGTATTATATAAATTCATTTATTTAATTCAATTAATTATTTAATTGAACCAAATACGATTTATTTGGTTCAAATAAATACGATTCAAATAATTCAAGTTATTTGAATCAAATACATATTTTTTTGATCCAAATAAAAAGTATTTGAACCAATTAAATATTTTTCAAATAATTTGAAGTATTTGAATCAAATAAATTTTTTTTTCAGTGTATAACGAATAAGAAAACAATTTAATTAATTGTTAATTAAAAATTAAATTAAATTAAATTAAAAATAAATTATTATTATTAATTATTATTAATTAAATTATTATTAATAATAAATATTCTGTATCAAATTATATTATTTCTAACAATTTCTTATTATATAATTTCACTTTAAAAATGTGACGAGAACGCAAAAAGTGTTTAATTTTGTTTAAAAATATGTTAAATTGTAATTTTCGAGTGTAGCTCCAGAATATGAGATGGAGAATATGATAATGCAAAGATTTTTAGTGTACGCTTTTTCTCCTTAAAAAGCGCACATCCTTTAAAATATTCATACCGCAGAAAAGAAGGGATGATGCGCGCACCACGTCTCAGTACTTTAGCTTAAAAATAAAAAGAGCAAAAAGGGGAGAAGGTATTTTTTTTTTGGTTTAATGAATTTTCATTCTTACTTCCTTTGTTTATGATTAAAATTCCTTGTGCAATTTAGACATTTTCTTTTTTTCGGGAAAAAAAGCTCTCTCGAGTGACATAATATTTTACTTATGCTTCTGATAAACATTATAAAAATCAAGTCATTAAACATGTAAATATAGTATATAATAAATTATCTTGCCTGTTATATATATATGCTATAAAACGGAACTATTAATCAATTTCCGGCGATAAGAGAATAAATTTATTAGTTTTTTTTTTTTAACAAAATGAAACAAGTGTTCTTCTATGATAATTTTTCTTAGAGAATGCGTTGTGACTTTTCTAATAATGATGATTTATAAAGAAAGTTATGTTCATTAAAGAGTTTTCAAACAGTTTAGTTGGAGAGAAAAATTATTATGAAATCATAAAAAAAAATTCAAATTAAAAAGAATGGTATGGAACTGTAAAATTATATGTTTTACCTCTTTTTGTATACACGTCGCGGTTTATTATAGATATATGTAAAATTAAATATGTATATCGATTT